CAGCTTCATTTTATCCAAATATTCTTGACGGTCAAGTAATACTACACCAGCTCCTTTGTCGGGTTTACTTAGGATTAAATCCTTATTTCTTTTCAGGAGTATTAGCTGATCCAAGTGGTTCTTAGTTAATAGGTTATTCTTACTACATTGTGCATTAAAGTATCCATGAGTGCAGTCCAGTAATGTGGATTTAAATTGCTGAAGACTTTGTGGGGATGTCGTCACAAGATCATGAGTTTGATTCGATAGATTTCCGAATTGTATTTGTGTTTGAAGTCTACGGGTTTTGGGTCCCAAGCTCATAAATATACGATTGTAAAGCTTGATTATAAATTCGTTGAAAAGAGATCCCTTCGCTGAACTTCGTGTTTTATTAATTTATAACCTAATCTTACACATACATATATACTAACACACACTCTTACAAATCGTTTTCAGTTAACTATTTCCATGACGAACTTTTCACATGATTCTCACTTAACTGACTATTTTACAAAGTCAACATCCAAATATGATTGGCTTAACACAGAATAGTTTAGATTGTCAAAAAGCTATATACTTCTTTGATGATTTTGATTTTGATTATCACCCTGAAGAAGTCCAGACAAGTTAGCTGGACGAAACTTTGGAATTATTTAAATTTCAATCTCTGAGATTATTTCAAAAATAATTTTCATTTATAATGAGCTAATAGTAAAGCTAGCAGAATGAATATATGAGTAGGCATTAAGCAATGCACAAGCATACATATTCATACTTTCGCACCAATAATAAAGGTACAAAGATATAGATAAGTTGTTATCGTAAGATGACTCGGTCAGTTAACAATATGATTTATGATTTCAAGTTCTTTGTAACTTACTCCAAGTAAAAGCAGACACTGTTCTCTGCGTAATTTTGATTTAGGTGTTTTGGCTAGTGAATTTAAACTAGCAAATGATGTTAGAGAAGGTGAGAATGGAAGACTTGTCAATTTTCGTTTATTTCCAAGTGTAGCTTTCTCACATACTGTGATGAGCCTTGGTGCAGGATACGAAATTTTCAATGTAGCATAAGTTCTGTCTTTTATCAATCCATTAGTTAAATCTCCTGTGAAACCAAAGTGTAAGAGACCAGCTTCCTTTCTTTCCAGCTGCATCATATTTGATGCATCTCAGCATTTTGACATATTTATCAACAATTCATTGAGAACAGGCATTTCAACTAGGAAATTCTTATTGTACTCAATTCTTTCATCTAGTCTTTCCTTAGATTGCTAGTTAAATTTGATCCCAGTGCGGTACCACAGAGACTCCATCCATTTAGAAATACTTCACATTACTGAAATTAAATGGCAAACAAGTAAAGCACTCACGAGTAAGTTTTCCGAATTCTTAACTCGATAAATTAAAAATGAAGTGTATCACAGAAAGAAAACACATTACCGCTTAACGGTTAACTGTGACCAACACGTTTAAAGAACTCCGACTGGAACCTCTCTGTGGCTACTGCCCGTCATAAATCAGGATAAAACAGGTGAGTTAGGCATGGGGTTAGCAACATCATCCCGTAGAAAACTAACTCACTCAAAACACACCAACCGGAAAAAAATAATTCAAACCATTTAAACTCTGGCCTGCGACTTAGAAGCTCTTCATTTAGAAGAGTTATGACGTCTCGTAGTGAAGGCCGAGTTCCATCGGAATTCATGAGGCCGATGCCCCTTCTGAAAACCAGAGCAACCATTTATTTAGGTACATGCAGTGCTCGTACAATGTGGGAGACTGGGAGAGTTTTCTAACTTGCTGCAGAAATGACGAGATAAAACCTGGAGGTGCTTGGGATTAGTGAAACACATTGGACGCAATTCGGACAACAAAGTCTAGCTTCAGCGAAGGTGTTGTTATACTCCGGCCATGAAGAAGAAAATGCCCCACATACACAAGGAGTTGCATTGAAGCTATCCAAAGAAGTACAAGATGCATTTATAGGATGGGAATCTCACGGACCATGGATAATCAAAGCCTCTTTGAAAACAAAGAAATAGAGCATTACAATGGACGTCATTCAATGCTATGCACCTACCAACGACTACATTGAAGACGTTAAAGACCAATTCTATAATAGGCTGCGATCAATCGTCGATAGATGCCCAACAAAGGACCTGACTATTCCGGTGGGAGACCTATATGCCAAGGTTGGAATGGACAACACTGGATATGAAGACATCATGGGACGACACTGACTGGGAGAAAGGAACGAAAATGGTGAAGGATTTGTTATACGGAAAGGTAATTCACTTTAATTACTATGTCTCCCAAACGTAATAAACGTAATGAAAATAATAGTGAAAGAACCTTTATTCACTGGAGCATTCCAGATAGACAATAGAAAAGCTTAAATACCGGTGGCTTATATTCATTCAATTTGTTGTCCTTAAATTGTCTGCAGGCTAAATTATAACAATGCTTTATTACAATATGACAGATATGAATTGTTTCAGTAAACAGCCATTTTGGGTTAATTAAAACAAGATATCAACGACCTATCATAGAACACCATTTTGTATTGTTCACTTATTAAGTCAACGTATAACATTGTTTTTTCAGTCACCTGGTTACCAAAGTGTTAGGTTTTTTTATTTACCTTAAGGACAACTTTGCAAGTAGTACAGTGTATCACAGTTCATTTTCAGGTTTACTTCATACTTTCAACTCACAATCGACCAAAATACTAAAGACTTGTTAATCATCTTCATGTTTTTGGTCAGTATAAGAGTATGTAGGAATAATTGTTGCTATTGGAGTGTTCAAGTATTTTGTTGTTGAAAAATCTATTCAAATATATGAATAGTCAACAGGTTTCTTTCGTTACTAGGAATTAGAATAAATAGGTGTAACTACCCAAAATCCAGTGACTGCATTCTGATTGGCTGAAACGACTACATATTTTGCAACTATTTAAATGAATTCAGCTTTACTTGAAATTAATTTAGCTACTGACTGAAATTAGTTAAATCATCCGAAAATATTTTAAACAAAGTTTAACCAAAAATTTCATCATCATTATCATTACCTTCGTTTGACTTACATTTTCACATTCATACATTATGATCGTCTATCAAAGAATTCCAACAGATTTGATCATTATACTGATTCATACTGTTTGTAAGTTGATGGATGATTGTTTAGGTTTAAACTAATATATTGCATTCAGTAGTTCATGGATCGTTTGAACAATCCACAAAATTGTGTGAAAATAATTCATCGTAAGTCTGTTGAAAGAATATTAATGGTTTATGATCATAGTAGTGGTGGTTATAAATATTTATATTTTTCTCTTTAAGTGTCTTGGGTTGATTAGATGTTTTTTAATAGGCATGTATCAGAAGATAAGTGACAGAATGTATTCAGTCGACATCAGTTATATATCAATACTTTCTTGTTAATATTGTTCATTTGTAGTCATCTGTTTACACTGATTGGTTACCGAATAACCGTTAATATCATGTATGTTTATTTCTTAGTGGTGACCTAAATTTATGGTTTACTTAGCTGCTAGCAAGCACCGAATAACACACAACCAGCGTTTCCTACCGACTATCTTCAACCACCTAACAAATTTGTGTGTGATGTAAATGCATAAGTAACACAAAATGTGGTATAATTATTTCTATTGAGCAGTGACAAGACATTTATTTCACTTGTGGTATACAGTATAGACATCGTTTGTTAACTATTTATCTCTAGAATTCACATCACTAATCCAATTGAACTAATATGACTCAAATGATAGAAGCAGCGGTCAACTATAATCACAGTCAAATTAAACTATGCTACAAACAAGTAGTAGAGCAATATCTTCAATTTTCTGTATCAATACTACATCCCAAACAGGTTTGTTCTACCATTCGATATACGTGAACTAAATTGCAAATTATTACTGTGCAAACTAACCACAAACATTTCTCAGTCTATTTAAATCAGTAACTGAGTCTAAAGACAGGCAACTACTTGGTAAAAAATCAAATGAGGAGAGGATCACCTCTAGAAGCTAACACATAGAATGCCCATAGAAAAGATTAAAGTAGTCAGAACTACTAAACACGTTTCGACATAATTAGTTTAAATGACCGTTCTAAACTAATTAAGAGTATTGGCCTGGGGACATTTCAGTTGAATGATATAACTTTCAATATAACGTTCGATGAAAGACAGTGCTGAAGATAAAGTTTCTCGAAATAGTGTATCCATAGTTTCACTGACTGTTGATTTTGATATTTTCAATATTTTTGGTAAGTGCGAAAACTGTCAGTAATAAACAAAAAGCAATTTGAAATATTTAGACTGTCTAAAACAAGGGTGAAACTTAGTTGATCTTTAGTCAGCCATTAATGCTAATGCGTTATCTTGATATAAGCATGTTTGCTGACGCTTCTGTTTGTTTGGAATATCACATCAATTGCGTATAAGAATGGTAGTTAAAAGTAAGCTGAGCACACTTCTCAAGAATTTCAGGATAATTTTTGGCATTATTTTCGGTTTCGTTTATGTTGAACTGAATGAACAAACCGTAGATCTTAATCATCTGCTGTTGATTGTGTAGTAAATACAGTCAGCAATTTCGTATTGAAATCATATTCAAAGCTCTTTACTCTTAGTTTCGATTTACCAACTTTGTAAGATGGATAAACTTGTAGAAGTTCTAAACTGTGCAGAGATATTCATTAAATTACGATTTTAGGATGGCCAGGTCATAAGCAAAGTCGAACAGATATCCAAATAATACATATTCCGATATATTTAGCTGATGTAACGATAAAGTTTGTTGTACTAAGTATACACCTTTGTATCTCATCTTCAGACTCAAATAACTGATTTTTAATACAAAATAATGGTTTTCTGCAAGTCGTTTCACACACTAAAACTAAAGTTATTGAAACATGCATAACAAATTTCACTTATGTACATTTCTAAATTACTTGTGTGTATAAGACCGCAATACACAATCTTTTTGACTAGGAGCTGTGTTAATGGTCACTGCATTAATGGAACGTGTGTATGTAATACATGTTGGATCGGGAAAACCTGTGAAGAGCGAGGTAAGTCAGTCATTTATGGTTTAACTAGTCAATATTACTAATAACGAGACCATTTTCTGTTCGGTTTTATAAATATTTGGTTACATTCTATTATTTCCTTATCAAGTTTATGCTAAAGACTCTTATCTCAAACTCATAAGATTTACTGTAATGTATTCTACTTACCCTGTCTACATAATTAGTATGTAAACCAATCACAAATTGAATGTCTCTCAAAAGAAGCTTGAGAAAATAGCACTGAATAAAACAGAATGAGGAAGCATGAAGGGATTGAGAGATGGAAGAATCATGAATGATGTAAGGATAAATGATGTAGGATTTGGAAATGAAGTATTCAATGTAACTCTATAATTTTGCATTGAACAATAAATTAGTATTCCACACCTGAGTTATCCACTAACTACATTACTTGTAGAAGAAATAAACATTACACTGAATGGATAATAATTCACATTTCTTGATAAGCTTGTAGTCAAATTCACTTCGCATCTTGTTATAAGAAATCTTGGAAAATCATCAGTTGGTCAACTAAAGCAAAATCTCCTCATGAATTGGTTCATCTATTTGTAAAAACGTTCAATCATTCGTATTGTGCATTGGTTACAGTTGAAGAAATATTGTCCATTCCATGATTCATAATTCATTTCTGGTTTATATATATATTGTGGAATATTAACTTTGTAGAGATTATGTGCTTACCATTTTAGTACATAGAATTCCAAAATTCACTCAGACAGTATTCACCTTCAAAACCAAGTTTTCTAACTGGATCAATGGAAGTCTGATTGGTAGTCTTGCACTGAGTGATGAAAACTCCTCCTTAGCATCGTGTGGAAGTGTTCAATTTAACATTGTACCTGGTTCAAACTACTTACCAGTAGCTATCGATGGAACAACTGGTATTTTGAAAGTAATTGAAAGTGATTATGAAACAATGAAGAATAATCACACCATCACTTTTCAAGTGACAGTTAGGAATGCAAATACTTCCTAAATATATCTGATGATGCAATGGTCAACATTTAATTGATGAAGAGTATTCTGACGAAGAAACAGGAAGTGAAATCACTGCAGTCAAGAGGGTATGATTTCCGTTTATTGTAGTATTTTTTTAAATCAATTGAAAAGAAATTTCTTCGCTCAATTCGTTCCTTCTTTAATAATCATTCTTGCCAAAAGTGTTAACTTCCAAGTGCGAAAACTATTTGAAATAATGGTATTAGTAAGAGTTGTAAGTAGGTATAATGGTATTTGAATTCGTGTGCATTTTACAGTCACTTATCCTACAAAACAATGTGGTGTTTCAGATAGCAACCTTCATTCATTAATGACTTCGATTCAATGATTCCGATGTTAATGAAATAAGATAGTGTTTTCATCAGGACGTTGTGATTCGATTCAGCATATGTGAACAGTAAGATATAGAACCATGATGTGTACTAGCCAAAATAATTATGATTTGAGGTTTTCAGATGAGTAATGTCATTCTTTCTTCTTTATAGGGCGTCATAGTTCCACCAAATACTATCAACGTCACATTTTCCAGAGTATACATCCAGGATAATCCAAATTATTGTCTATTCGATACATGGTTTATTGATTCGGTAATTGTCCTTCCACCTGGAAATAATAGTTTGATCATGAAATTTTCTGGTCCGTCTCTAAATAATGTCTATTACGGATATGTACAATATTTGTTTGCTTACTACAACGGTTCAAATATAGCAAATAATTATACTGTGAAGTTTAGTAATCTCACATACTTGAACAATAATTCCTCGGTAAGGATATGAATGTAGTTTGATTAATTTTACTGTTTACAGCATTTTCTGTTAGAGATTGTAAATGTATGTGTAACAAGGAATGTCCAGGTAAATATACATATGACGCCTCTTGATTCCTGTTACTAGAGGTTGATTGTCGTGGTGTGTTAAAAAATATCTGGAAATTTCTAGGTTGTGGATATCCATTGATACCGCACTTCAGAAAATAATGAAGTATATCTAGTAGGTTTCTAAAGTACATTGTTATGTACAGAAACATTCATCATGGAATCAGTAAACAGACAAGTTTGATTTATGTTTACTAATAGTAAAATAAACTTCATCTAACAGATATCAAATGTGTATAAAAATGAGATGTTCCTAGATAAATCGAACTACATTATGTAAACACAATCGGTTTTCTGAATTCACTTTCTGTATAGGTATAACCCTTAGTTAACAGTCTCTCATGAAGCTGATATATCATCTAATCTCTTTCTCCTGGCCTTCAATATATCTTACATTGTAATTAAAAATATTGTACTAGTTAAAAGTTACTATGGAAAGTACACCGAAATGTTCAAGGACTTATTCCACATTTCACTGAAGCTTGAGAGTAAATATCAAAGTTCTGTTTCATACAAAAATATTCAAAATACCAGCTGATGCTGATTATGTACTCAAAAGAAAAAGGATTTAAATAGTTGAAACCAACTTTTAAATACTCACAGTGAGATTATGAAGATTCATAACAATGGATATTTAATTTGTAAAAAATTTAATTCAGTTTCGCTTAAAAAAAACATTCCTGATTTACGTCTCATCCAATAATCTCCATATCTTAACAACCTATCGAAAACCTGAATACAAAGCTCCATTCTGAGTATGAATTTGAAAAGTGAGTGTAAATGGAACAGAATAATCTACAAGATTAGAAGAAAGAAAACACTGTAATATAAGACTATAGTCATCACTGAGTAAAAGTTCTAGAGAGACGAAGGAGTGGAAAATACAAGAACTAAAACAGAAAGGATCAGATAAGATGTAGGAACGTCTTTGTGAGGTTCATATTTTAAGTAGCAGTAGTAGATAGAAATTCTGATTTTCTATATTTGCTTGGTTTTATTCCGTAAATTAGATTTTGGTTATAGGTGAGTTGATATACCAAATAATTGTAGTCAATCTACAAACTTGAGGAAATATATGATAAAAGATGTCACATCAAATGACTCAACATCGCTTGAAATCGGTTCTGTGGATGAGTCTAAATTGGTTTGAAATTGCAGTAGTATATCTTCGTAAGTTGATATTAACTCATACCTTTGGTGCCAAATGATAGATATAAAAGTGGAGGATTTCCTGAGAATTCTAGGCCTTAATCCATTTTTGTTAATTGTTTTCCGTAGTCTTCGGAGTTCACAATGACAAGTCAGATAAGTGTTTCATCCTCTCCTGCCAATGATTCAAATGACTTCAGTATTAGGATGCGATTCCAAGTTGGTCTTTTCCCTCAAATGTCGATTCCATCAATAGGTACCAATTTAACAGTCAGAATGGAGGCATTGTTGACTCCAAAGATTATCGTAGATATTCCCATGAGAGTTTCCTCGAACTGTCCGATTCAATATGATTCAGTTAACTTTACCAAGTGCCCACCGCAAGTAGAAATAGGTGGGGTTTATGAATATTCTGTGGACTACTTTATAAGCAGACCCATTGGCGATTACGTGGTGAGTGACAAGTATTATACTTGATCAATTTACATTCTTATGAAAAAATTGTTAAATAATATGACTTCTGACTTCATTGTTGCATGCTATGACGTGCCCCATAACGAAAAATTAATTTGTATATCACCAATAGAAAATATATGGAGCTTTATGTCATAAGACATGTCAACAGCTAGATGAATGCATATTGTAGCGGTAAATAAATCCCCAAAATAAATAGCTCTGTAAGTCTTCGACATTGCATGCTGACCACATTAGTTTTAATGGACTCACCTAGCTGAAGGCGCTTGGTCATGCATCCGCACCAGATCACGAGTGGGAACGCCGTGCTCAACAAACCCTGCAACCGCTAGCCGGATTAGAACAGACGATCCTTGATATATTGATAGCCCATCAAATATATCTTCAAACCTGTTAGCGGAACATAGACTGGATTAAAGCATGCTCAATGCACGATTGCATTGGTGCACGCTTAGTGAACACCAGAAATCTCATCTGAAAAACTATAAATATACTAACGTTTTCCCTATTGCACTTACTTGCTTCTTACTTACATCTAACCTTGTTATTTGGAATATAATTTCTTTCCTGTTCAACCGTGTTCTGATTTGGGGACTTGTCGAGTGATTTAGTGTCCAAGAATACTAAGCAATAGGAATAACTGGGTCATACCGTAAGAAAGAGAAATATAACAGAACCTTCTCGCTTCGGTCTTTTGATTTCACTTGGTGAGTACGATTCATATTAGGTGTTATTGGTTAAAGTGTTGTCAAACTCCGAATACCTGTGGCACCTTCAATATTATTGTCTTTTGAGGATCAAAAGGATGTTCATCGTTTGGAGACAAGGGATGAAATAAATTTATTTAACGATCACCCAGACTTGCTTTTATCCACTTAACTATATCAAAACCTCTCTCTTACAAAATTGGCCATTGTTGACAGTCAGTATCCTACCTAAATTTACCACTAATTCGTTATCAGAATAATCCACGTTTTAACTGACAGTAAAAAAACTGTCCACGAAATTCAGTAATCAAGACTGTTTGTTTCCTCCTCTCAGATTTCGCTAATACGATAAATTTCATTTGATGATCAATAACATCTATAATTCAATCTTCAGTACAGATTATACATATATTTAGTTCGCTCTTTCGAATAATAATTAATATTGGTTAGTTTTCGTACAAACGTCTGTAATCTAATGGTGATGATAAATTCAGTAGAACTAGACGAGGCTATTAAAACATGCCGGCCGGTACTGATGAACACTTCAAAATTACAAAATAAATAGAAAAGGTGTCAGGTTTTGATGACAATTACTCCAGAGAATATCAGCTAGAGGAGTACAGATGTTGCGAAATAGTAAAACCTGATGGTCAGATGTCTGCGAAAATCTGATTTTATTCAGTTACTCTGCTTAAGAATATAATGATTCAGCTGACACTGTAAATAAGTGAGATGAATTACGTGGGTTAAACACCATATTAATTAAATCAATATCATTTGTCAAGATCAACAACATTCAAGTATGTTATAATCATCACCTCTTTCTTTACCACACTCAACAAATACACTGAATGTCGTACAGTGTTTTTCATTAAATTCCGATAAATTCTGATATGATATTGGAATACATTTGTAAACCTTTAAATCATTGGAAGAAATATAAGAATAATCGACCACCTTTTTGAAAAAACAAGATCTGTTTAAAAGAAGGACAGGTGAATGAAATAAAACTCTATTGAGGTTTATCATCTCACATCGTACAGCCATAAATCAAAATCATAGATTATATAACATTTATAAACTTGAAGTACGTTGAATAATCGACCAAATACAACGAAATGAAGTTGCCAGACTTTTTATCCTGGTGATTATATTCTTATTTTTATAGGGACAATTTTTAGTATTGATAGTGTGTTGTTTTAGCTGAAACGCTATCACTATTTCCCTTGTTGGCCATATCAACCACAATTTTTCTAAGTATTTGACCTGATGAATAGTATTCAATTTCATAACACGAATTCTGTTAAATATACCAGATCAGTGTTTCACAGACTATTAATTGTTTGAACAAATAAAGTGTGGCAAATTTTTAACAAACCAATACAATACGAAACAGGTAATTATTCACTATGATAACGAGAGAACTTCTACAACATCTGAGATCATCCATGTTCAGACAAAATTAAAAGAGTACATTTAAATATCCATCATAATGTTGTAGGACATTGAGTAGATATATCTGAATATAAACACTTTACTTTTGTATGTTCACGCAATGCAAAACTGAACGTATTTATTTCCTTAAAGACACGTACAGAAAAATACTTACTGTTGTTTCCTAATAAATTGTTTGATAGTTCACATTCACGACTGATGTGTTGAGTGCTTCGATTGGACATATATCTTTGACGCTACCTACAACATTCTCTACATACCCAGAAGGTTACAAAATAGATACGCAACAATTCGTTGGTGATAACTTCTTACTGACTACCATTGGCTACGTTAGTGTTTCAAATCTACAAAATCCAGGTAAGTTCACCGTACAATGATTTCTAACGTGAAACACTCTATTTTAGTATAAATCATGTATATTGTTAACTGTATCATATATTAACAGTTATGTTCAGTCTAGCTGTGTCCTATAACACTAAGTTCCTGATGTTTCACAACCAACCACGATTCTCAAAACGTGGTACTCATAAATATTGTATTTTGCAAATATTACATATTTTCCTGTACGCATGTTTATGGAATTAAATATACACTTGTCAAAACAATAACAAGCCCATTTTCATTTCATGATACTTATTTACACAAGTACCGAATTTTCATATTGCATGTCATTAGGGCAGTGGATGATATGATTTAAGGCATTTATTCTGCTACTTGCATTTTGGTGTTATGCATTATAGATATCTTCTGTTAATAATCATTTTGAGCTCACCTGAACCTTTTGATAATTACTTCTCTGTTAATATTCCTTCGATGAATCAATTTTTTTACCGGTCAGTATGATGGCCTCGTCAAAGTGATGCTACTAATCAATTTTTAACAACCACATATATTTGGTGACAACATTTGTGCATAGACAAATCCGTGAATAAAACATTTTCAACTGTTGATGATGAATTTGAATAAGCTCAGTGTTTATTCTGTCTTGCCCAGTCATAAATTGGAAAGTGTTCGGCTGTTTTACTTCGAAAAGCTACTAAATATGACACATGTAGTGTAATGGTATGACAGTTTCCACGTACCAAAGATATTTATTACTGAACTGAAATGACAAGAGCTGTTGTGAACAATCGACTATGTTTAACGATGGAGTGATTAAGAGGAATGAAGAAAATGGTAGGGGCTGAATACATAGATTTTACTGATAATCATCTCGTGAACAATACACGGTTTTAGAATTGTAAATAAACCAATGGATAAACGTCTTGTTATTTTAGTCCCTGTTTTTGCTGAATACGAGATCAGATTATTGACACGAATCTCCAAGTGAAGACAATACTAATGGAAAGAAGAACAGGATTTGTTTTACGAAAAGTTAAATGTCTACATATAAAAATATGGACTACAAAAATGAGTATGTGTAGAAGTCACTTCAAATATAAGCTCCTGTATGATACGGATTTCACAGTTCTCTCAATGAAATCGAGACCTGATAATTGAGCTTCATACCTACATTATATATCAGTTTACAAATGAAGAGCAACTGCTACTGACCAAATGATATCTGCTAGCAGATTGTTATACATTTCATTATCAGATAAATTTACTTTTGTGTGATTGTAGTTAAATTCTGAATAATTCTGCTACTTGTAACACTACTTTATTTTGTAAAAGATTTGTTAACAGATTTGTCTTACAACTTCTAAACTTCTATTAGGAGAGTTTCTAAAATGTGTTGTCATCATCCTGCTTAAAAATACACGATAGTACTTCTTCGCTGCTTATCATGGAATCACTCTAGATTTATTCACACGGCGAGACTCCTGATATCTGATTTCGCTAGTTTACAGCCGTCTCCTATTGTCATAGTGAAATTTAATAGAAAAAAAATAGTACGGTTTGACCGGGTTGTGATCAACAGTCGAATTCAACCACTATCAAATATTTACTAACTTGTTTAGACCAACGAAGATACTTTATATTTTGTTGTTATTTTCTAAACTTTGTACATTTCACTTATCATCAAGCTGTCTATTGAAATCAAATATCTCTTGTCCAACTTATTCCCTGAATAAAAATTAATTAGTATATTCATAGTATGCTTTGTTGAGGTTTCCGTGAATTGCACTAGTATACGTCGTTCAAGGTTATGATTTCACTTAACTCTGTAATCTAGGAACAAAAAGATGACCGTTAAGACTATAGAAATTTAGCCAACTAGGAGCGATGGAAGTCAATCAGAAAATGGAATGAGAGTAATATGGAAAACTCCATTCAAAAAGTAATTACGACGATGGTTTCAGTAAAATTATACTTTAGGGATAAGTCAATCAGAATTGAATTTCGTGCTGAAATCCAAATATTATGTGTGACGAGCAGTGGAAATACTTTTGTGTACTGCTCAAAACATTCACAATGACTGCAAAAATTCCGTTTTCGCGGATATAGATTAAAATCGTAAGTGTTTAGTGCATCAAAATTCTACTTCTGTCTCTTTTGATTGTATTTAACAGGCAAATCGGCACTATCCATATGTTCTTACTTTAAATATTTAATCCTAAAACAAACACATACCTAATGGGACTACATTTCATGAATGAACTGATCAAATATTTACTCCAGTATTTTTGACTGAAATTCACTAACACATACGACAACAGAGGAGTTTTAATTTGTCATTTTGTGAATAAAACTCCAAAGCCCTAACCATTACCGTAAATATGCTATCCCTAACGAAAAATAATGTGAGAACTGGTTTTGGGTCATTTTAAAGATTAGCGAAAACGTATAGTCTCTAACAGCACAGTTGAAGTAATATCCCTTTGTTTCTTCAACTCGCAGGCGGAACAACAGGTAGAAGACATTAATATATTCATTAATTACCTAGAATCCATTCACACTGTAATCTCATCGTTTTTTTCACAAACTATTCATTTTTAAAAGCTGCTTTCTGATTAGTTTAGAACTGGCTGGAAATTCGGTTCAGTTTTTATAAGGTCATCCATAAAGTATGCTTTTACTATCATTTCTAGTATGGTTTCAGAATTATCAGGAAAATTTAAGTAACCTTGTAAAGACCTTAAGCAGAATCCTATCCAGTAAATAAGATTGTAATATTTTGTGTTATTGACAACAAACGAAATAGACAAGTAAATATTTTAATTTTAATGGTTTCATACTTTCCGATTTATGTACTAACTCGAAAAGTAACTTACAAGTCTGTGTGTAAAATATTAATTTAAATCAATTTTAGTTCACTCCAGAGATCATTCATTATCCTATTGAGGCTTCAATTCAAACCAGGTTCACAGTATCAATTCAATGTCCACTGCCGAAAAAATGTTAGGCTTAGAGTGTTGCCATTATTCACATAGATGCTGGCGTAACTTTCAGGGTAATCATTAAGAAACGATAAATAAACAGTTTTGATTAGATAAATCAAAAAACATGATTTCTTTCATTTTGATACTACGACAGGAAGCGAGAGATCTCTCAATTTAGTTTGAAATGTCCTAAATATTTTCCGAGAGGAGAAATAAAGATCTTTGATAAGTCATAGTTACAATAGTTCATTTTCTGCTATTAAATATAGTAGTATAAGCTGAAAAATATTCTCCGATTTAAGTAAGAGCAAAGGAATAGTGAAAACTGTGATTTCGATAAGTAGTTAGTTTGCTAAAGAAGGTAACTAAAAGTGAGACGAATAGGATTTCAGTTTCCCAGGAAACCACTTTGAACACGTATTTACTGTCTAGGTCATTTTGAAAGTACCATCAAGGCGTCTTGAAATTTTATGTAAAAAATTGTCCAATAACATAAAATTCATTATTTTTGGAAAGTGATGTTAAAAGACGGTGAACTGCTCAGTCGATAGTTTCTTCATCCTTGAATATTTAGTTTTCTTAATGTAATTGCATTCATAAATATGTTACTGACTGGAGTAAGTTAAATTACAAAATCATAAGTAGGTGACAGACACCCACTCTGTCTATGATCTATAGAAAGTTTTATGAAAGATATACTAGTTATTTCCTCTTTCGAGAATAATTGCTAATTGCAGATGAATATCACAAAGAGAAGTACCAACAGTAAGATGGTGGAATATTGCTCATTTCAATTGGGTAAACTGCTTTATTTTGACTTGAACCCCGACTATATAGCGGTCGTTACAAGGTCTGTAGGTGGCTATCGAACACAAATGCATTGTGACATACTGAACCGTCAATTACTATCGCAAAAGAATGCGATGCAGTTCAAAACAACCCATGCTTTGCAATATTTTAAAAATTGCCAGCGAAGAAAGTTATTTTTTACCTCTTTGTTTCTCATTTTACAAGACCTTCCATATGTAGACTGATAAAAGATGTAACAATAAAAATTTCTCACCCCTCAAACCTTGATAAAAAATGTGCGAAGTTATCATCCATTCTAGGCTTCTTTTCTTGGCATAGTTGAATGGATGTATTGTTAGAAAGTTTGCGATCATTCTTGACTAATGTAGGAGGATTGTGTGGATTTTTGAGTTTCCGAATCACAGACTGATCTTTGTTGAACAATTAATAAATATTAGGAAACACTGGAAAGCTACTTTTTTTTCTAAATTGAGACTCCTCGCCAGTACGCATCCACCATTTCACTGTTGTGAATAGTAACCAGGACCCTTGGTGTGCCGTGCAAACATCTAACCTCTAGACTTCTTAGCTTCCATCCAGTGGGTCACATGCTAACCTTCAATCAATTCTTGATATCTTGCAGCTATCTTTCAGTGTTCTCAGTCAGACCGGAAGATAATGACCTTAGTATATTCAAGGTTACTAACATTACTCACCATTAGAGCTCTTACATCTATGAAGCATATAGTTACGTTTAGTTGACTATCTTTTAGCTTTCATCGGGCTCATTTTTTCATAAATAGCTAACTGCCGTGTTAAAAAACTGCAAATATAAACTATTATTTTCCATTACATTTCATTAGGGAACTTTCGCGATTTACTCTCATAAGTCCCAATGACAAGCATTCTTTCACAAAATGAACTTGTTTTCATATTTCTTTGAATATTTCTTTTCCTAGTTATTGGAACGAGCAATTCTTATTTTATATTCATATGTAAATATTCACATTTAATTTAAAATATATTTTAGGTGTTTATGACACTACTTTGCCAATGATGAATCGATCAGTTCGTCTAACAGTTTTTATCCAGATATATAAACCGAATTTGGTATCCGTCATGTTTGAAGCGAAAATCTCACCATTAGGTAAGAATTCTACAGTGAATTTTTGTGAGAGCCAACCCATAGCATTTACAGGTTCTAATTTGGTAAGTTGTCAGTACAAACCATATTAACTTCCTTTTTAACGAATAGGCTTGGAAAAGTAACTTGACATTAAAGGATACGTCAGTCGTGAATCAAGCTGAAAAGTTGCAATTCTTTAATTTTGAACTGAGTGTTCCACCTTATACAACAGCGACTTATACTATCCTGATAACTAATACTGGTAAACTAATGACGGAACCATGTTCTGTGGATTACTTGTTAACAGAAAATAATTCAACTAAGAACGTAAGTTTAAAATATCATAATGATTGTTTCCATTTTCTTTGGTTTTTAAAAAACTCATAAGGGAGAACAAACTTTACGTGTTTACTTTAACAAACTTATTTCAATAATTTCAAAGCACGAATAACAGTAGAATTTTTGATGCTTGATAATTGACTCCGCCATGATTGTATTTGAATCATTTATATTGCTTGCCACTTGATATTGAGATACCTCAAGTCAATAGACAAGTAAGTGGTAGGGAAAATGAAAACTCATTTATAATTGAAACAACTTTTTTCAGGTTTTTTATTAACGCGAGTAATTCGATTTTCTACTCATTGCGATATGATCAATACACTGTCATTCCATCCAATGCACAGATTATTTGTAATCATTAAGTCGCCATGGTTGTCCGTCGAACCGTAACATAATTCGTACCATTATGATTTCCTGTAAAACTTAAGAACTGAATATTTATGAAATGTTAAGCGGTGTTTGTAGAGAAAATACCTCGAAAACATTAGTCCTTTTCGAACTGATTTCTAAAACGCTTCAGTGAACTAATTGAAGTAGTCAACAACGATATTTTGAAAGTACAGCATGGAACTTTAATATTCCAATGCAACCATTGAGCATATGTGCTTTATTGCTTTTCAATCAATAATTCACTATGATAAATATCAATGTATGCAAAGGTCACCAAAGGATTGTTTGACAATTCTGCATTCCGCGATATCAGCGTTTTCTGCATAAAGTCATAAGACGTATTTAGTATCAAGTCGTTCACTTTGAAACATATCTTATGACTATTCCAATCCCTTTCACCTTCACAAAAATAATAACTACTTAATTGAAAACCCAGTTTCCTCAGCTTTGCCATTTCTTCTTGAATGAAAAAGTCTGGATCGAATATGTCTGTTATTAGATGTTCATACTGAATAAAAACATAATCCACTCGATCTTCAATTCATTGTTTGGCATTTTCGTTGCACTGAGTACTTACAATATACAGCTCGATAGAATGAACCCGAAATCCATTAGTGTGTTACATGATAACGATAATATTACAATATGCTAAAAAATGGTATCTGAATGCATATTTTGAAGTTATTATTCAGATAATAAGTTACATTATAGAGCATTTAGTATGCACATAACTTTTAAGATGTTAAAATACTTAGGATGAAGGTCTAATATTTATCACGAATTCATTGATGTTAATCGATATTTTTTGTAGTGGAGTGTATGTGGTGCGGCGTATGCGTTCTATATGTGCATGTAACTTGAAATTGCAAACGAAAACTTCTACACCTATGTGTAATTTTGAGATGATTTAACATATCTGCTCATTCTATGATTGCATGTAATACATGCTACCACACGTGCTTATCTATGCTTGGGTGTTTATCACTCGAATGTTTCTGACATCTGAATTTAATGAGTATATGTGTATACAACATATTTGGGAATAGATCCATGTTTCTCCACTAATGGACTGATCAGTAGCCCATTGGAGTGTTTGGTTTGCATAAAAGTTTCCGGAATTGATAAGAAAGTACAGTGTAGAATAAAATGTGTCTGTCTGTACTACGTAATAATAATGATTATTAAAATTATTATTGCAATGGAAAAACACATGTCATCAAATTCTCATTTATTAGTACATTCAGTGGAATAACAACAGAATTCCTCATAAATATTGAATTAGACATTTTGATTTTATTTATATTTTCCCTGATCACAAATCTATCTGACTTGCCATTATTTGACTACAACAGTCAGATAAAGTTGAATGTCGACTCGCATATTATAATTAACCTAATTCAGAATAACAGTTATAATTATCTTGACAATTTAGTTTGTTAGTTAATAGTTTCCGCCTATCAGGCATCACTTCTCAATGTTCATTCTAGACAAATATTCCTCATTATTTCTGCTTGTCCTTAACTAATTAATAGTTTTATGAATGAATTGCATAAATGAATGTCATTAAACAATTTAGTCTGTTTCTAAGAATTTGTCTAAAATCAAAATCATTTGAATGAACAAGCTTATCTCGTCATTGTAATATCAGTATTATCTAGAAACATGTTTGGAGAATATCTAATTATTGACTGATTAACACATCTACTAATTGCATACAGACATCATAGATCCTTAACTACAATGAGAAAACGGCTAGTCGATAATTTCCATTCTGTGCACTTTTATTAGAAGTTCAATCAGATGTTGAGCTTCATGTATAATTTACTCGAACACCTTCTTACTAAGATTGGAATTAAAGTTTCAATGAATTTGGAGTAAAACACTCAGCTCTGTGTCTGCTTGATAAATAAGAATACTTCTTCACTACCAATAAAATTTATTCTTTCATGTAATGATCCAATATTTTAAATAATAAAGGAGGTTGCGTAATGATCAATTGGTTAAAGAGGAATAGGGAGCTACAGGTCAGAAATTCATAGTTTCATATTTTACTATGCTTTCTATAATTATGGATGAGTTTCCACTGATAATACGTGTCTAATTATATTTCCATACACAGTTACTACATGTTGCATGTAACATAAACTACGGTTACAGCATTAGTATAAATTTGTATAGCCCTTAACAGTAAAGCTTTCTACTTTTAATATTTTGACTTGTGTTTGACATGCATTTCAACCCGTTTATTAATTCAGTATTCACTGATCTATGGAAATTCTAAGTAGTTAAAATTATTTAGACATTCCTTTGATCAATGATTCCTAGATGCACATACTCTAACATTTAATGTTTAATAAAAACAACGAATGAACATTGCTTTAATCTGGGAGGTGGAAACTTTAAAGAGGAGTTTAATAAACGAAAAAAGTGTTGTTGGTTTTTGTCTCTGGTATGCTTAATGAATGCAAAAGCAAAATCCTTGCAATAGTCATTGGTTCTATTTATCTGATGGTGAACCCTGTTGATTGAGTGCTGTATTCATCATATGAAACAGTAATGGATTTTCAATAGATTTATTCCATCCTTTACTTAATCATGTATCCATCTTCACTGGATCAGTTACATTGAGTTATGTACATATAATCGATTTGACCCGAAAACTTATATGTCACATGACTGAACAGTGTATAATATCTTGTCATTACAATAAATGTCGTATATGTGTAAAGTGTTTTGTGTGTAATACTTCTTACTAGTTTGATTGCTGGAAGTTGAGCAATAATATTTCTCTCGAAGTTGGGCATAAAGTATAGATTTTTCTTACTCAGTGATGTTAAACGTTATCCTATTGATTTCGTTGATATTTATAAACAAAGAACTATCATGTCACCATCAAGGAATTCGATATTAGTAAATGTTTTGACATAGTATTTTCAACTTGATTGTTTTACTTACATTACAGATCAGGCTAATAACAGAATACACTGTATTTCAAGGGCGAAGAACAACAGGCACAACGACAATTGGTATATTCAGAAACAATAGCCCATGGAATATTAATCATAATTTTCGAATCGGGTTAAGATTATTATACAATGCCAGCTATACCTTGGGTGATACAATGCAAGTGCGGCTTCAGATGTTTAGTCTTGTACTAACTCTATCTTCTTTTGTAGTAACGCTTCCAATAACGTCTATGGAGCAACCCATAACCACTACTCCTGTAAGTTTGATTCATGTTTTCATTTACTACTGCATTTAAACAACATTCTACAGATAAAACCTGATCTATCAGTGTAGGACAAATATCTTTTTCAATATCGATCTAGTTTATTTGTATTTGCTACATGAGCCTTCCATTGATATGTTGGAGAGCAAATGATCATTTTCTTGTGGTATACGTGCATCATGTCCAGATCGCTTCGATATTGTGATTAAGTCACAAGTGTTTTAAGCAGAGTTGGACAGTAGATAAGAATAAAATCCAGGACGATTATGCATATATGATCACAGACACTAAGTGGATGACGCATTGCGTGTTCGAAGTACTGAGTTCTAGTCATCATATGAACAACAATACTAGAGTACAGGAAAGCTTATATGAAATCGTATATGCCAGCTTAAACTCATTTGTAAGTCTACTATGCTACCTCAGTGATCGATAAGTTTATCTAACATTCAGATCTCTATACTTCTTTTCAGGGTCATACTGGGAATATTTTACCAATTTATGGGACACCAGTTCAAATATGAAGAAGAGTCGTGGATTCTACTGATATCTACTGTCCGACTCTGCCTAAAATAATTGTGACTTAATCACAATAACAAAATGATCTGCATAGAATGCACATAAACCAACTATGACTAGTCAAAATTCAGTCAGAAAACCTACAACGGAATAATCCAAACTATTGCAAGTCACGTCGAAACACTTTTGTTCTGTAAATATACTGATTTAGGCTTCTAATCCCAGATCATATCAACCACCATTTTCCTAAACACGTTGATTTTTTTCTATCATAGTCTAATTTTGAGTCTTCTTCTATCTGTCACTGAACTGACGGTGAGTGAACTAATTTGCTCCACTGAAATAATTTTTGTACCCAATTAAAGAGGTACAGATTTTGTCAAGATCTCTCGTTTAGCATTAAAAGGTACGGCCGTTTATTTTACGATATTTGACTTGGTGGTTACAGACGTCAGCAATCAAAATACAAAAATATCAATGTTTTAGCATGGAGCAGTTTAAATTGCACAGCTTTATAAATGCAGCATGAAATATAGTACTACGCCACGTTAGCTCCTGGTAATTTTCAACCAAATACTCTTCGTTTAAATCAGACCTAAATTAATCATTCATGCTGTTTGTCTAACACTTATTATTCCATGCAAATCATTTCAGATGAATGTTTATAACCCAAATATAAACTGCATGTAAATGTAAACCTAAGTTGTAATCGATCTCTCAATTTCTCATTAAATCAATTATTTTTTGTTATCATTTGCAAACACTATTTGAAATTAGGTCTCTAAAACTCCTGTAGTTACTATTGAAAAAGTCGAACCACGGAATTCACAACCAACAGTGAACTTTAGTACAATTGTAGAAGTTCGAGTGAAATTCGTTGAAGACTTTGTCTACATGCCGATAACTTTTCAACTACAAGTAAATTCAAATGAAGCAATTATAATCAGACAGAGTATTCAAACAATTGGATATCTATTAAAAGCTGTAGTACTTGTGGGCTATGATTTTTCTGTTAAACCGTAAGCTTGATTATCAACCGTATTCTTGTGTATATGTAAATACGAATACTTAATTCATTACATATATATATACTCATGTATAATGTTACAAAAAATCAAGTATACGGATATGAATCAATTCTGCCACATCAAGCATGGGTTAAACGAACTACGAATACTTGTAATTTACTATTTTCAAACAACAATCCCTTGTTAAAAAACACAATATCTATCAAACTTTCAACTTTTGGAGATTATTCTCAAAGACTATCCTGCATAATTCGTCAATAAATCTGAATGTATTATTCAGAACTCTATGTCAGTTTGTTTTATCAGTTTTCCAAATTACATTTCACATATCAGTAGATTTCTGTGCAAAGAAATGCATTATATTTTAATGAGTTATCATTTCAGAAATATCCACTGAGTGTTAGATTATAGTGAAGTTGAAACTTGATTTCTACATTTTTTCCGATAGACAAGATTTAGATATTTGAGAAAATACTTTAAGTCTCAGTATATAGAAATTGTACATTATTATCCTTTTGTTAATCCATACTTTCGTTAAGAATTCAACACGTGTAGGGGTTGTAGATTGCCACATAAATTCAATTACCAGTCACTGTAGTAGGGACCTAAATGTAGGTAATCTATAACGAGTTAATATTCAATTTTCATTTATATATATAAATGTTGTAGTACCCATGATGCTGACCGTTATCCTTTATATACGTTGAAAAGACTGAACATAACTGAATCACTGTTGATCAAACCCGTTTGACGTATCAACATTATTATTTTCATTATTACATAATGTGCCTTATCACAATCCTTAACAATATGCGTAGCCGATTGTATACCAAAGGTTTCTCAAAAGTTAATTGAGTAAAATGTCCTATTATTCACTTAGTATTGTTTCCTTGAAACTTCCCATTGATATGTGGGATTGCAATTGATCAGTCTCTTAATGGCATATGTGCACACAGTGCGTATTGCCTTGCTATTGCCATAATTCATAAGCATAATAAGCAAAGATGGATAGTTGCTAGCAGTGGTATCCAGGACGCGCGTTTCATTCTATTGAGGACTCAGTGGCTAAGTGGATAACACGATGGCGTTTGAAGCGAACGGCAATGGGTTAGAGTCCCAGAGTGAACATCAAGTCTGAGATGCAGGTACATTCAGTTGACGAGTCCCGAATTGGACGAAATGAGCATCTTCGATTTCACTGCTAGCCCTTATCTATCTTTGCCTATAATCCTATTATTACTATCATTTCGATGAACTATGAATAAAATGAAAATTGAACCTAACCAGCTTCAATAACCACTGATATATTTGTTGTTCACACTTTTGGCAGAACACTCATTAATGTGGTGAAATTATGCACTTTCTACTCACTAACTTACTGTGATTATCGAAAGCTGGAAATATTTCAGTGAAACAACAACTCATCCCTAATAACTATTATAAAATAATTTCATACTGCACTACAGTATTTCTGTAATTCTAACAAATATCAACAAATCTTTCTTCCTTTTCTTTTAATTTTCTTTTCCCGATTACCAAAGTAATTTGGCTACATTGCAAATAAATTCAGTGTACTTCAATGAATCATGTACAGATGCTCAGTGTGATATTGCAATCCGTTATTCGATAATTCCAATTACCACGAAGCCTTTAGTAATCACATCAACATTTACCTCTGGTGTATCCAGTTTTACGAAAACGTTAACTATTTCTCCACGAGCTAACTACTCTACTGTGTTGGTATGACTTCAAACAATATTTTTTACATTGAATTTTACTTTATACTTTACTTCAGGTTAGTTACCCTACCGTAAACACTGGCTGTGGTTTAGGTTTACACAAATATTGATAACTGGTTAGAACAAGTATGATTTTTGCAACGTGACATACATACACAGGTTGAAGTGATGTACAACAGGTTGTTCACTTCGTTGTGTTGTAAAATTTGATAAATTTGAAGACGACTTTCATGTATGATGATTTAGTAACCAGCAAAAGCAGAGTAATATTGAATATAAGATAGCTAGCATCTATGATACACACTATGCTCTAAATATTAGTGAAAATTCATTAATTTATAATATTCTTCATTAAATCACCTCGTAGATTAGTCCTATCAAGATTTACTTTCGATTTGAACACCAAACCTGACTCTCTGATTGACTTACATGACAGGTGAATGGATGCAGCAGGAAATTCTAAAATTCACTTGAATGAAATCGCTGAAGAGCATTGTAATTTTTTTGTCGAGTTTATTAATTCGTGATTATAGGGTAAGTTGTAAGTGTTTAGTTCATAACACATTCACATTTTACAGTGTATTAAAGCAATGTGCATTTGTTATTTTTTAAGTCATCAAGTCAGGTTCCAGGAGTTGATCTAATTTCTATTGATTCAAAAACAGTCAAAAATCAAGTTATACCGAACTATTTAACATCACTGAAGTTAACGCTAACTCTGAAACCCAATGTATGGCAGTCGATATATTTTCAACTTTATGCTCCAGGTGCCTACCAAGAATACATATTAGTCAAGCCAATAATGCTAAGCCAATCAACATCATTGCCATATGTCAGCTCAGTTTCGAACTCTTTGGAAAATATGGTTTATATCAGTATAGATAAAGCTTATTACGAAGGTTTGTTAACATTTACTGCACTGTTTTACTAATAGTGGTCGGTATTGATATGATTACTAATACACTATCTCTCAATGGCGAACGAGTTTATAGATGAATCCTCTTCTCTGTATTTAATAAGGCTACCGAATAATGTCACGGCAGTCTTCAAGCTGATTTCTCGTCAGTTAAAGGGTTTTATTACTTATTCAATAATGTATGCTTTTTCTGTTCTTACTACATATGCACACTTATCTACGTGGTTGCACTTTCATATTAACCCCCTGAATTTTGTTATGATTTCATCAAAACAATCGATGTAGATTGTTTCCTTGAGTGTTAATCTATTCAGCTCACCGTTTCATTTAAACCATATGCATTGAATCATTTCCCCATAAAATTTTAAATTTTGATTGATAATAAACAGACCAAATACATTTATCAAGACACTGAAATATTTAATCTGCAGAACGTGTTTCCCTCCGTTAAATAATTCAGTGAAAGTAGATCGATTTCAACTCAGTTCAAGAATTCCAAGAAATTAGTGACGGTTCGCCAGTAAATCAAGATAATTTCCTATGTCTACTCTTTTCTTTGAAACACTTATATAGATATTTCTGTGAAAAAGACATCGCCATTGTTAATCATTTGACCGTATTCTTAATTGTAATTAGTGTCTGCGATCGAGTCTACCATTCCTTAAATTTATTGTTCCAGAGAGAACAAAATTCATCTAAGTCCCAAAAACCATCAATATCTGTGGAACTCAGAAAACAATTTTGTCACAGTCTCTTAATCAAACTGTGAATTTTTTAACACGGTAGTACTAAGCTTGCAGTTTACAACGCTCTGCTAGTTTGAAATTTATCCAGAAAGAATTAATTGATATTCCCACTGACATTCCTATATCGAGATTAGTTTGAATTATTCCAACTGAAAATTAATTATACTAGCCTACTTTAAGTAATCTTAAAAGATTTATTGTCTGGTTTAATAAAGCAATAGTCTATTTGAAATAATGATGATGAGTCATAAGACTGATATAATAGACTCAGTTCTAGTCAGTACTTAAATTTAAGGTTCTTGAGAAACTTCATACCACTTCTGTTTTATTTGTAACAGTGACTGTATTATTATCAGAATAGGTTTTGTGGAGATTTTTAGAAATTTCACAAGTTGAAATCATGAGCCGATTGAAGCTAGACCGCGCGCGAAGCCAGTAGGTCCTGTGTTCGAATCCCGCGGGGGTGGGTTCGTGGATGCGCACTGCTAAGGAGTCCCATACTAGGACGAAACGGCCGTCCAGTGCTTCCATGTTTTCCATGGTGGTCTAGCTTCAATTGGCTCATGATTTCAACTTGTGAAATAACTGTATTGACTAATCATTGTCAGCAACCTAATCCCGTAGAAACCAACCTTGTGAAAACAAACGCTAATCAGAATACACAAATTAAAGCACTATAACTCTGCTCTCCGAGATGAAATATCTTCATTCAAAAGAACTATGAAGCCTAGAGGTGAAGGCCGAGATTCTTCAGAAGTCATGAGACCGATGCTCATTCTAACAACCATAGCAACAATTTTTATATGTACATGGAACGTCCGGACAATTTGGGAAACCGAGAAGACTATTCAAATAGCTGTGGAAATGAAAAATACAACTTGACGGTGCTCGAAATCAGTGAAGCCCACTGCATTCAATCCGCACAGAAAAAGATAGATACCAATGAGATGCTGCTATACTCTGATCATGAAGAGGAAAATTCTCTTCACACTCAGGGAGTTGCATTGATGCTGTCCAGTGAAGCATGAAATGAACTTATAGGATGGTAATTTCATGGATCCAGAATCATCAAAGCATCCTTTGAAACAAGAAGGAGGAAATCACAATGAATATTATCCAGTGTTATGCACCCACCAATGATAGCAACGAGCACGACAAAGAACAGTTTTAAGAGTAGCAAGACAATTACCGAGATTTAAGAATGGAGGAACATATGGGTAGAACACTTTGAGAAACTTTTGAGTAAGCCAGCTCCACTTAATCCACCGGATATTGAAACAACACACACAAACCTTCCTATAGACATAGAAGTTACTGTAAACATGTGCCACATTCTATTTTGGAAGATTTTGGAGGAGGAACAATTGCCATTGACATACTGGAAAGAAGTACACCTCATCAAGATACCAAAGAAAGGAGATCTGAGCCAATGTGAGAACTACATAGAAATCACACTGTAGTGCGTGCTATTTATATTGATGTAAATAGTATATGACGCGAGTTAAAAAGGTGATGTTGAAGGGGAAAAAAAAGCGGGAACACAATAAAATTTGTAAGAAAACTCATGAACAATGAAATGTGAGACAATGGATTGATGATTGCAAAAGGAACAGTTCGGTTTGTTATAATGGATTGATATTTTACAAATTAACCTTATAGTATATGGCTTTTCTATTTTGCCAAATAACTCTGTAAATGTGTCCCAGCAGTGTTCTGTTCATTACAACACTACTGTCAGTATTCAACAGAGTGTTGTTGGACCGAATGAAGGATTCAGGAGACATCCAACTTCGAGATCCACGTACTGCATGTCTCAAGAATAGGTCGTACACAAACCAGATCCCGACACTACGGATCATCGTTGAGCAATCAATCAAATGGGACTCGTCACTGTATACCTACTTCCTTGACTATGAGAAAGTACTCGACATTGTGGATAGGAGGACTTTATGTAAACTTCTTCAACACTATGGTGAACTTGACAAGATCGTCCATATCAAACGGAATTCATCCGATGGGCTACTGTGCAAAGTGGTGCACGTATGGCAGCTGACAGATGCATCACAATTGAGGAACGGAATAAGGCAAGGCTGCTTACTCTCTCACGTACCTAAGAAGCATCATCGATGAACAAGGAGGATCGAGTGCAGACGTAAAGGCGAATATTGGCAAAGTAAGGATAACATTCCTACAATTGAAGAACATGTAGAACACAAAACAACTCTCAGCCAATACCAAACACACAATCTTCAATGCGAATGTCAAAAAAGTTTGTTCTCTTGTACTGAGCTGAAACTTGGAAAACTACTACAAGTAATTATAAACAATTGTCTACGTAGGATACTGGTGGGTGGCCTATGCTCCAACACTAGGGGCAACAGGAGTTAGTAAGCAAGTAATTAAGTATTATTATTTGAGATCATCCAGCTAATTTGGTAGATGACATCCATCTTCTTAATATTCAACTCAATGTTATTTTTATACATAGTGCTTGCACAAACTTTTTTTATTTCCTATTGTTATCTTACTTATTATTATAATTTGTTCTGACAATTATGATACTTTACTTCCATATACGTTTTGATAAATTCTGCATATCTTTACTGTATACCCACTTTAAAATCTAAATGTGAAATTCAACTTCAGGTACTAATTGTTTTTAGATTGATAATTTTGCATGCATACGTGCTGGTGCATAGTTGAAAGTAGATTACTTGACGAGAAATTCCCTCGTTTATCGAACGTTCTTGAAACCTAGTGGATATGTTACAACCTAGTACAGTATTTAATATACATATACATTACTAATTGATCATCTAAAATATCAATATTTGATTTTACAATCAAACAATCTGAACACTTTCAAACAAATATTCCTTCAGCTGATTGAACAATCTTCAAGAAAGTTATGTTTGCAGTAGGTCGAGTGTATTAATATCCATTTCGTATGAAATTTTCGTTTGTCGATCTCATAAGAACTACGTTTTCTTGTGTAGATGCACGTAGATATAATAAATTGATAGTTGTCAAAATTCAAGCATTCAAATTCGCCTCATTAGGAAATTAGACTGTCAATTTATGTCTTACGTTTATAGGAATTGCAACCGATCAAACGACTTCGGCAGCAAATCAGTTGACTTACCATATCCCAATGTTCACTGCAAATTCTGTCAGACCACTGGTCAATTTCACTTACAATATGACAGTCAATTCAATCTCTATATTTGGTAATTTCATATTTACTACCACCACTCCAGCAGTAAGTCAGAGTACACATTTTCATTCAACTTGCTTCAAATTACATTAAGATAATTTTGTTACTTGACTTATTCACATTATTTAATGGAATCCGTATACAATACTAATGGGTAAAGTGTTATTTTCAAGCAAGACCCTGATGTTTAGATTACGTAGACTCGATAAAACTTTTATCCATATTGTTGATGCACATTGTAGTTTTATTGAGGTACTTTAAGAAAAGACAGGTTTGAGGATACCACTTATCTGTGGTTGTAAGTAGATGCTGATAGTTCGTCAAACACAATCAGTACCGAATTCCGGCGTAAAATCGTTATTCACAATAGAGGATCTTCTCAAATGGTTATTAAGTTTTTCTGCTGTTCGTTCGGTTCAATTTATAACTGGCAGAATATAATATGAATTGTATTTCGTTTTTCACCTCAGCTAAATGCAAGTTAATAAGTCTAATTAGTTCAAGGTAATAACATATATGAGAATAAAACATAAACCATCCGTCAGAGGACAATCATTTTTTTCCATGACAACATTGAGACAGGTTTAACAGGTTTATCAATAATTTGAGCAGAATACGCTAATATTTCGCTAAATCATTTTTTACATTCTCACTTGTCGCTTCCATATTAAATTGAGCCTTACTTTAACATTTCAGTAGAATATTTCAGTGATTTCACGTGGTAATGAAACATGAAATTATCATCATCATCATCATCATCATCATCATCATCATCATCATCATCATCATCATCATCATCATCATCATCATCATCATCATCATCATCATCATCATCATCATCATCATCATCATCATCATCATCATCATCATCATCATCATCATCATCATCATCATCATCATCATCATCATCATCATCATCATCATCATCATCATCATCATCATCATCATCATCATCATCATCATCATCATCATCATCATCATCATCATCATCATCATCATCATCATCATCATCATCATCATCATCATCATCATCATCATCATCATCATCATCATCATCATCATCATCATCATCATCATCATCATCATCATCATCATCATCATCATCATCATCATCATCATCATCATCATCATCATCATCATCATCATCATCATCATCATCATCATCATCATCATCATCATCATCATCATCATCATCATCATCATCATCATCATCATCATCATCATCATCATCATCATCATCATCATCATCATCATCATCATCATCATCATCATCATCATCACATCATCATCATCATCATCATCATCATCATCACATCATCATCATCATCATCATCATCATCATCATCATCATCATCATCATCATCATCATCATCATCATCATCATCATCATCATCATCATCATCATCATCATCATCATCATCATCATCATCATCATCATCTCATCATCATCATCATCATCATCATCATCATCATCATCATCATCATCATCATCATCATCATCATCATCATCATCATCATCATCATCACATCATCATCATCATCATCATCATCATCATCATCATCATCATCATCATCATCATCATCATCATCATCATCATCATCATCATCATCATCATCATCATCATCATCATCATCATCATCATCATCATCATCATCATCATCATCATCATCATCATCATCATCATCATCATCATCATCATCATCATCATCATCATCATCATCATCATCATCATCATCATCATCATCATCATCATCATCATCATCATCATCATCATCATCATCATCATCATCATCATCATCATCATCATCATCATCATCATCATCATCATCATCATCATCATCATCATCATCATCATCATCATCATCATCATCATCATCATCATCATCATCATCATCATCATCATCATCATCATCATCATCATCATCATCATCATCATCATCATCATCATCATCATCATCATCATCATCATCATCATCATCATCATCATCATCATCATCATCATCATCATCATCATCATCATCATCATCATCATCATCATCATCATCATCATCATCATCATCATCATCATCATCATCATCATCATCATCATCATCATCATCATCATCATCATCATCATCATCATCATCATCATCATCATCATCATCATCATCATCATCATCATCATCATCATCATCATCATCATCATCATCATCATCATCATCATCATCATCATCATCATCATCATCATCATCATCATCATCATCATCATCATCATCATCATCATCATCATCATCATCATCATCATCATCATCATCATCATCATCATCATCATCATCATCATCATCATCATCATCATCATCATCATCATCATCATCATCATCATCATCATCATCATCATCATCATCATCATCATCATCATCATCATCATCATCATCATCATCATCATCATCATCATCATCATCATCATCATCATCATCATCATCATCATCATCATCATCATCATCATCATCATCATCATCATCATCATCATCATCATCATCATCATCATCATCATCATCATCATCATCATCATCATCATCATCATCATCATCATCATCATCATCATCATCACATCATGCGTACAATGCCGTCTCATGATGGGAAATGTTAATTTTGTTCTCCCCAGTTTAATAACGAAGATTTGAGCAATGACTCGTCTCAAATGTTTACTCATAAATACACAGGTTCTAGACAGTTTGTCTTATTGCTGAACTAAAAATGCATGTTTTTAAGTCCTAGCCTTAACAACTCTGTGAATTTTGTCTAGAATATAATTATGTTGAATATTTTCATTAGTAATGTTAATAAGCAAAGATAGATGGTGGCTAGCATTAGAATCCAGGACGCGCTTTTAGTTCTGCTTGGCACACGTCAGCTGGATGTATCTGCATCTAATATGGGATGCATTTGCATCCAGCTGACGGGTGCCAAACACACGTCCTGCATTCCACTGCCAGGCACCACACGTCTTTGCTTATAATGCTTGTGAATTAAGGAAATATCGAGACAATCCGCACAGGATGCACATCTGTCAATAAGAGACTGATCAATTGCAGTCCTAAACATCAATAGAAACGTTCGAAAAAACAATTCCAAATGAAGTAATGTTAATAGATCGTAAAGAAACGTCAGAAGTGTGAAATGTCTTACATATTAACTTAATTTGTTACTTCGGGAAACGTAAGATTGTTCTCCAAGCTGTACGCGATCAGTCCTTAATCAAGTGGTTTTACCTAGTTTTCTCACCAATGAACTAATTTGTAACAGGAAGAGTTACTCATGAAGACGTTTGGCTTCAGTAGTTTAACATATATTGACCTTCAAATGAACAATAATCCACTCCAGTCGTATGTCGTTCTACCACCATGGTTTCTTTTGAAGAACTATCTTAGGTTTTTATTCCTGTTATAGTGATGAAAATTCAATCACTGTCACAGTGTTAAGACATTGGTTTAAGAAATGGTTCGCAAATTTCATCTAGTCTTCTAAAACCATCATCATTTTCCATAAATACTCGGACTTACTAATCATTGAAACAGTGGAAATGTTGTCTGTTTAAGTTAGTACTAAACACTTGTTGTTTCTCATTTCCAGTCATCCATTATAATAATCGTCTACAGTTTCGCCATTCAGTGATCGTGAATTAATAAAGCTTTATTCATGTTTGGGATGGGTGAGTACTCTTGACAGCTTAATGCTGTTTCTATTATTAGTCTCTCATGAAACTGCGAAATAGCATGTTAACATTAGATGTCTAAAGCGTAACTAAAGTCTTGATTGAAAACATGTGGATTATACAAGTTATAAGAAAAACTAGAAAAAGAGAATATTGTATCATAAAAGTTATTATTTCGTAAAATCCGTCCATTAATTTTGTGAAACAGCGACAAATAGGCTATGTTGCTGTGATAAACTTGTTCGTCGAAGGAAATATTGCTAAAACGTTTCGTTGGCAAGGTTTGATTGCCGGCCACTATAGTTACTGCCCAGGGTTACTCTATGAGATTGACCGTCTTTGTATGATGAATGAAGTCGAAGTTTAAACGAATCATTCATATGAAACACTGATGCGACATAGTTTTGAGTTCTCCTGAAAGTCACGGCTTGAAAACTATGAATGTATTAACTATAACATTCTATACAGTGAGTTAAATGGACTTTAACTGATAATCGATACAAATAAATTCTACCTAGTTATCTGAATTTTTTACAATAAGATAATTAATTCAGTGTATCAGAATATTAGTAAGTATCACTTTAGGAAACAGAAGTTTACTCATGTCATGTACCTTCAAGATTTTTAATGAAGTGAAATAAACGTATCTTTCAATCTTCTTACTAGTTCGTAATTTCCAATAACAGTTTTGTATCAAATGGAAGTGTTCTATTATATATAGCAATTTTCTAACATCAATTACTATGATACTAATGAGTCGACGAAAGAAAACGATGTCAAAGCAAGAAATTGGAAAAAAAGTTAAGCTCTATTTTCTCCATAAGTGGCTCATTTAAATTGGGTCACTTTACTTAAACCCATTATTGATATGAAACTGTACACTGTCTACTTAGTGAACTTTAGTTTTGATCTATATGGCGTGAAAATAGTGGGATCACAAGGATTAGCCATTCCGTAGTTGTAAAGTATATGTTCATGAAAGTAAAATGTTATCGCAAACAATTAATTGGTAATACATTTGAAACCACTATTAAAGTATACTTGACACCTAATGACATTCGTTAAAAAACACTTTGTATCTCCTCTTCTATTCCATTCATGCAGATGATGTTAATGGTTTAAGAAAAAATGACATTGAATTTTTTCATCTGAAGAAAGATATGAAAACAATTTCCTGGTTTTAGAGGACATACTTGACAAAGAATGACATTGAAAAATGACATATTAACATAAGTTAATTAATGAGATTGTAACCAAGATTTCATATAATTTTCATTGGTTTGAAAGATGGTTTTAATTAGGATTTATTTACCAAAAAAACATGACACTATTTCCTAACTAATTGTAATTATCAGTATATGTTCGTGGTGATCGCTGAGTTTTTATTGAGATTATGAAGTGATCGATGTTAGACCACAATTGAAAACATGTAGGCACTGGATAGCCGTTTCATCCTAGTACTTGACTCCTCAGCAGTACGTATCCATGATCTGGTACTAAGGACTCGAACACAGAACTTTCTGTTTCGCGTGAGAACGCTCATCCTCTAAACCACCGAGCGGTCATCCAACAATGTTAATGTCTGTACGTATCATTACTAAGGTTTGACTTGATAATTTCGAATAAAGTGAGCATTGGTTGGATTGTTATAAATAAATAGTACATTTGTAATATCCCAATGAGTAGAAAATAGGATTTTCTGATGTTTCGTGGCTTAGTATAAGTCACTTGTTCAGAGAATAAATAATCAATTGGATTAATTTTAATTTGGTTATTTATTCTCTGAACAAGTGACTTATACTAAGCCACGAAACGTCAGAAAATCTAATTTTTCTATTCATTGGGACATTACAAATGTTAATGTCTAATCATGTCAAGTGTGAGACAGTTACTCACAGAATACGATGGATGATGGTCGCGCAAAATCATGTATTGGTTGAAGTTATACATTAATCCCGCGTGAAGGATCGTGGATACTCACTGTTGAGGAGTCACATACTAGAACGAAATGGCTGTCCAATACTCACAGGTTTACAATTGTAATCTAACATCGATCGGTTTATGATTTTAATTAATTGTAAGTAATTGACATTCATGTTTGTGTTGATCTAAAATATCAGTTGAATGTACATCTATGAATACATTAATCCTATGTTTGTGTTGAAATTAAACATGTTGTGCATGTAGTTTTTCTTTTTCAGATATTAAGATGAGAAACATATTATTGAATAAGTACAGTACATAATTGTATGAGTGAGGAAAATCTATATTAATTTGTGAATTTGCCAAGCAATTTTTAAATTCGGGATTATAAAACATTTTCTTGCTAATTGTGTAACTCTTTTCATACAACGTGGTAATTTCAGTCTTGATATTTTTTAAACATAGGCATTTACTACAACTCTTACAAATACTTGGACTTTAATTTCTCCAAGTGCCACTGATGTATATAAACAAATGTGTACTGGAGGACCGTTTGAATTTAATTTCAATATGTGTCTGATTGAAAGACGTTGTTCATTCTTTACATATTGGATCAACAGAATTGTGAATGGTAGTGCAGCTCTTAATGTCACAAATGTAGTTGTATATAAAAGTGGTTCAGATGTGTGGTTCTCAACCTCATTCTCTATAAATTTGACATCTGAACGTAGGTTAGTTTAAACTGATTAAATCCTACGTTGTTGTCCATTAATTGTTTTATATGCTACTGTAACTAGACTTACTTACTTACTTGCTTACTTACTTACTTACGCCTGTTACTCCTCGTGAAGGAGCATAAGCCGCTCACCAGCATTCTCCACCCGACCCTGCCCTGGGCAATCCTTTCCAGCTCCTTCCTGTTGTTATTTATCCTTTTCATATCTGCTTCTATTATCCGACATAATGTGTTCTTAGGCCTTCCTCTTTTCCGCTTCCCTTCAGGATTCCAAGTTAGGGCTTGCCTCGTGATGCAGTTTGGTGATTTTCGTAATGTATGTCCTATCCATTTCCATTGTCTTTTCCTGATTTCTTTTTCAGCTGGAAGCTGATTTGTTCTCTCCCACAAAAGGCTTTTGCTGATGGTATCCGGCCAATGGATGTTAAGTATCTTGCGAAGACAGCTATTTATAAATACTTGTACTTTCTTGATTGTGGTTGTTGTAGTTCTCCAAGTTTCAGCTCCATACAATAAAACTGCCTTGACGTTCGTATTGAAGATTCTCACTTTGATATTGGTTGAAAGTTGTTTTGAGTTCCATATGTTCTTCAATTGTAGGAATGCGACCCTTGCTTTGCCAGTCCTTGCCTTTACGTCTGCATCTGAACCTCCTTGTTCATCGATGATGCTTCCCAGGTATGTGAAGGACTCTACATCTTCCAGAGTTTCGCCATCAAGAGTGATTGGATTGCTGTTCTCCGCTTTGAATTTGAGGACCTTGGTTTTCCCTTTGTGTATGCTGAGGCCTACTGATGCAGAGACTGCTGCTACACTGGCTGTCTTCATCTGCATCTGTTCGTGTGTACGTGATAGGAGGGCTAGGTCATCTGCGAAGTCCAAATCGTCTAATTGATTCTGAGCTGTCCATTGTATTCCGTGTTTTCCTTCAGATGTCGAGGTCTTCATAATCCAGTCGACCACCAGAAGAAAGAGGAAGGGAGAGAGTAAACAGCCTTGTCTGACTCCGGTCCTTACTTGGAATGCATCTGTCAGCTGTCCTCCATGCACTACTTTGCACTGTAGTCCGTCGTATGAGTTCCGGATAATATTGACAATCTTCTCAGGAACTCCGTAGTGTCGAAGAAGTTTCCATAATGTCCTCCTATCTACACTGTCGAATGCCTTTTCATAATCAATGAAGTTGATGTATAGTGATGAGTTCCACTCAACTGATTGTTCGACGATGATCCGTAGTGTTGCAATTTGGTCTGTGCACGACCGATCCTTACGGAATCCAGCTTGTTGATCTCGAAGTTGGGCGTCTACTGCATCCTTCATACGGTTCAGCAACACTCTGTTGAAGACTTTCCCTGGTATTGACAGTAGTGTAATGCCTCTGTAGTTTTCACATTTGCTCAGATCTCCTTTCTTTGGAATCTTGACGAGGTGTCCTTCTTTCCAGTTCCTCCTCCCAAATCTTTTTGAATAGAAGGTAAGCATGCTTGTGGTTGCTTCGATGTCTGATTTCAGTGCTTCAGCTGGTATGTTGTCGGGTCCTGCTGCTTTCCCGTTCTTGATTTGTCTGACGGCCATTCTAATTTCTTCCGTCGTTGGTGGGTTGACATCTATAGGAAGATCTGTGTGTGCTGCTTCGATGTCCGGTGGATTCATTGGAGCCGGCCTATTCAGGAGTTCCTCGAAGTATTTACCCATCTGTTACGCTGTTGTTGAATTTCGGTGATTGGCTTGCCTTCTTTGTCTTTGACCGGCCTCTCTGGTTTACTGTATTTCCCTGCTAGTTTCTTCGTTGTATCGTGAAGCTGTTTCATATTTCCTTCTCTAGCAGCTTTTTCTGCCGTCGTTGCTAGTTCTTCCACGTATTTCTTCTTGTCGGCTCTAATGCTCATCTTCACTTGTTTGTTTGCTTCTATGTATTCAGCTTGTGCTTGGACTTTCTCTGCTCGTGTTCGGCTGTTGTTAATTGCTGCCTTCTTGTTCTTCCTTTCTTTGATCTTGTCCAGTGTTTCTATAGAGATCCATTCCTTATGATGGTGTTTCTTTAGGCCCAGAACCTCTTGACACGTTGAAGTTAATGCTTCCTTGATGCCTTTCCAGTTGTCCTCCATACTAGTTTCTTCTTCTTTCAGTAGATCTTGTAAGGCTTGGAACCTGTTGTTGAGAGCTATCTTGAATTCATTGAGTTTGTCAGTATCTCGAAGGAAGGCTGTATTGAACCTTTGTAGTGCTGTTTGTCCACTTGTCCAGTTCTTTTTAGCTTCAGTTTTAAATTGGCTACAACTAGGTGGTGATCTGAAGCTACGTCAGCACCTCTCCTGGTTCTCACATCTTCCATTGTCCTTCGGAATTTTTTGTTGATGCAAATATGATCTATCTGGTTCTCTGTAGTGTGGTCCGGTGAGATCCATGTAGCCTTGTGTATACGCTTGTGTGGAAATATTGTGCCTCCTATGACCAATTTGTTGAATGCACATAGATTTGCAAATCTTTCTCCATTTTCGTTTCTCTGTCCCAGTCCATGTCGTCCCATAATATCTTCATATCCGGTGTTGTCTATTCCGACTTTGGCATTTAGATCTCCCATCAGAATGGTGAGGTCCTTTCTTGGGCATTTCTCTATGATTGACTGCAGCCGCTCGTAGAATTGATCTTTAATGTCGTCGTTGCTATCATTGGTGGGTGCATAACATTGGATAATATTCATTATGATCCCCTCCTTCTTTGTTTTGAATGATGCTTTGATGATTCTGGATCCGTGAGATTCCCATCCTACAAGTGCATTTCGTGCTACTTTGGACAGCATTAGAGCAACTCCCTGAGTGTGTGGAGCATTTTCCTCTTCGTGACCGGAGTATAGCAGCATCTCTCCCGTAGCTAGCCTTTTCTGTCCAGCTTGGGTCCAGTGGGTTTCGCTGATTCCCAGTACTGCCAAGTTGTATCTCCTCATTTCCATTGCTATTTGACTGGTCTTCCCGGTCTCCCACATTGTTCGGACGTTCCATGTACCTACAAAGTTTTTGCTCTGGTTGTTAGAAAGGGCATCGGCCTCGTAGCTTCGGAAGGAACTCGGCTTTCATCATGAAGCGTTATAATTCTTCTAAATGAAGACCTTCTAACTCCCAGGGCAGAGTTAAAATGGTTTGGATTATTTTTTCTGGTAAGCGTTTTTTTAGCGAGTTAGTTTTCTACGGGATGTGGACGCTGACCCCATGCCCAACCCTCCTCCTTTACCCGGACTTGGGACCGGCAGTAACTCTAGAAGAGCTACATGCGGAGTTACTGTAACTAGACTAGCGTTCCACAAATGTACACACTTACTTTCAGTGATTGAAAGTGAATTGTGTGAAATTATGAGAAAAAAACTCAAGAGATTTAGATAAGAATTATATTGGTAAATCGAGAAATGGTTTTAGTTGAACAGCTGGAGCTGAATAATCTATTAATACACCGATTAAGACTACTTATGAGTCAGTAATCTTATGTTCGTTTTGGCCCATTTTTTACCTCAGAGCAATTCATTTTTTCACATTTCAATTTATGTCAATAATTGAAGACCACCAAACTAGTTCATTCATACAGAGGAAGAGGAAGCAGTAAAATACAATGATGAATTCATGAAATTATCCATTTAATTTAGTTCTTGCTTCATTTAAACTTGTTAAGGGAACTGATCGGATAAAAATGTAAAACAATGTACAGTCATAATGAAAAAAAGAGATTTAAAAAAAGAGTTAATTCTCTCTAATTGGAATTTTCTAAACATCAAAATGATCATTTTTACTCTACTCAAACATGAGTACATAGATAAATATTAAAAGTTATCCGATTTCAAACATTAACAGAATGTTGCTATGAAATAACTGAGAAAGTGATAAACCAGTTGATGTGATAAAATAGTGATAGAAATTTACTCGTCTATGACCACATATATACACGTCATTAAAATGACGTGTACCACATGATTTAGATGTTAGTATATGGTTGTAGAGATTTCTGAATTTCATTAAAATCATGAAGTGACCAATGTTAGACCATCATTGAAAACGTGAAAGCAGTACACATAAAGCGATCTGTTGAGGAGTCCCATACTGGGGAGAAATGGCAATTCAGATTTTGAATGGTGGTATTACGTTGTTCAGTTCATGGTTAAAGTGAAACAAGATTTCATTGCTTTTAACGTAAAAATATGCCTAGAAAGTTGAAACTCCAAATTATTTCATAATGATTCTAACTCGAGATTATGTCTATATTAATTATTACAGTTTAAATAAGAGAGAACATTTGGTTCATACTTTTTCTGCAATCGACTGTATCGTTACTCTGTTGACGCCATACCAAAAAATAAATTTCTGTTCACCATTAGCATGACTTTTGTGTTTACCGATTTAATTGGTAATGCACCCCATTACTCCTCTAACACGTACAAACAAACCATAAAATTAATGATTTATAATTATTTTCTTCAGTTATGTGAGGGTGGATTACGGCCCATTATGCACCATCAATCAAAATGCTTATTGTGTAAGTCTACAAAATAGTAAGTGTTCTGTTTTACACTGTATTCAGATAAAACTGTGTCGGTACTGTGTTCTTGGATAAAAATTGAAAATAAACATGCTTGATCCTTTATACAATTATGGTAAAATACATTAAAACCAAATTTCGAGTTGTTAATGGTAATCTAATGGAATGCAATAAGTAGTATCGATCAAAAACTTAAAAACTTCATAGAACATAGTTACACAAAATTTTGTCACAAACAACAGAAAAAATTAGTAACTAATTTACGTGTAGTTAGTAACAGATATACAAATCAAAGTTTACATTTTGAATCCAATCAAAATTAACACGGACTAGATTTCACTTTCAACATGATTATCTAAATATCCTTAGTAGCTTTGATAGTGAGGATTTCTCACTACCCTCAAATCTAAACGTCTATCCCAGAGTTAATCAGTTGAACACCAGAAGGTCAAGTGTTGATTAGTGTTGACAACTCCATTGTTGTCAGTATTATTTTCACTACTGATGATTCGTTAGGCCGTTCGAAGTCCATGGTAGGCATGCGACTACCAATCTGAAGACGAATATAGTAAACATCGAAATGAGCTCAGTTAATTTACAGGTATTTGATAGTGATTACATTCTAAGATGATATGGTAAACATCAGTCGTTCTTTGAATCCTAGTGTATTCGTTATTTTGCTGACAACTATAACTGTTATATATAATGATCGAGTCATTCGTCTTTATCTTGGTGAGATACACGTTATTGGAATATTTCAAGGTTTTCTGCCGAAATTCGCAACGTAATTATTGGCATTTTCTAGAATAAGACAAAATATAAATAAAGTATCTTTGTATTAAAAGTGTCAAGTAATAAGGCTACTCACAAATAAAAACGTATTTGACTTTTATGATAACGAAAACACTGAGCGGTAGTGACAAAATGTTAGTTTAGGTCACTTCTAGATTTCAAATTCAAATTGTTGGCCTGACGTATGTATTTATGATCGATTATTTCACGTTTTAATATTCACATTAAATTCCTGCCAATTTTCTGGAAGATGGATTTATTTATTCATTCACCAAAATTCATGAAATTGTTACTCACCTACTGATCATCAATGGGAAAGACATAATTTATGTTAGTCCTGATATTTGGCCTATTGATACGACGCTTAAGCAGTAAGATAACTCTTCAAATACAACAGTGATATGTTGATGATATAAGAAATCAATACAACACTGTAATCAACCATTTTTCTGTTTTTCATTATTTTCTTACACCATAACAATGTGATTCTTTTGTATTGTGTAGACGCTATTTAAACATACTCTTTATGTAATGGGAGATTGCAATGCGACAACGACAATAAACTACGCTTTCCCAACATTTGTTAATATCAGTGGGAGTACAAAGAATTTTACCGCCCAGACTTTGGTATTGAGCCCAATACCAAGTTTCCCAATATACACCGACGTAAGCTATAATTGATTTAGAAATAATTTCAACTTCTTGTTATTACTCAAACATTTTCTTATTTCTATTTGTTCAACACAGTTCCGATTTAGTTATGTTTTACGCAAAATCATTACATAATCTGAAGACAAATCTACAGATAATCCAATAAAATAGAATCTTAGATTTGCAAGTCCATTAATGATAACTATAAAATAGGGAGCATTGGTTTAGATAAGGATTCTGTTTACGGTGAATTCATTTTCAAAGCTGTACAACCGCAAACATTTAATTATTTTTCAAAGTGATCATAACTACAATAGTAGTGATAATAAAATTTTGCTGAACGTGGTAACAGTGCGGTGAAATAAACATGTTTTTTACTAAAGAAAAGTGATAATAATACGTTTGGTGAAACTTTGAATATTCATCATGAAGATAAATAAAGAAATTATGATTGGATAGGGAAAGCTCAGCATGATAAGATAAAATGCTGAAATTGAGATGAATTGCATTTAGTAGGATCATAGAAACAGAAAAACATCAAGGGTTTGCAGTGAAGATAGAAGTGAAGTAGATGATCATGAAAGAAGGAACGAATAAAAAGTTACGAGAGATTAAGGTCATGGTACACACATACACAGCAGATGTTTCTGCAATGCCAATACAACTGCCTCTGACAGCTTTCCACTTACCTTGCAAATAACTTTGAAAGCAGAGTCAATTTGCATTGAATGACCCGTGTTCACAGGGTGTTCAATTGTTGAGCTTCTTATTAAGCCATTCTCGCCTCTTTTCAGACAGTGTTCTTGAATTCTTTTGAATGAAATACGCATCGGACGATCCCAATACCTGGCTCCACATGAACAGGTAAATTGATAGACAGCAATGGAATTAGTTGAATATGATAATTTGTCTTTGAGATTGTTAATGAACATTGGTCGGTTAGAGAACAATAGTCACAAAGTTATTGCGATGAATATTCTACTGGGAGAGTCGGGAATTAAATTCTTCAGAATGCCTGTAGCTATATCACCTTTGAAATCGATCTTCATATAAAGAGTTTTCTTTGGTAAGGAGGCTAGTTGTGCTTTAGGATGTTTGAGTTTTATATTCGTATGAATAAATACCAATGGAGATCCGTTTTCTACAGTTATTCTCTTTAGGTGGTTCATTTTGTTATCTATGAACTGGAGACAACAAACTCTTAATTTCTGTGTAGCAATGTATGTGATTTAATATTGCTTTCGATTGATGTGGATCCAAGTGTGAAAGCTTTATAGCTGGTCATTCTATGAAGGTTTCTAGTAAATAGATCTTCTTACAGTTTCATCATGATTTACTGTCACTTTGATATCAAGAAAGTGAATACTTTGTTTATTTACAACTCCTAGTGTGAAATTTATTGCTGTGTGGTAGTAATCAAATGTTTGCAGAAGATGAATAATCAAATAATATTTATTGTTGCAAATGATAAAGATATCAAACACATACCTTTTATATTAGTGGGAATTGTCAATAGTTGCTTTAAGTTCATCGTTTTCCAGGTTGGACACAATCTGCTAGTAATCGGTCAAGAGAGGATCCCATTCCTGTGCAATCTTTTAGTTTATAAATTACGTCGCTGAATGTAAAGTGTACATCACAAGTCCATCGTAATATTAATTCCTTTTAGTAAGGTTTTTATAGTGCGATATTAATCCCATGATCATTTATAAAGCAAATAGTCTTTGTGAGTAGGAAATTGATGAATGCTAATTGAACATCAAGTAGAAGGATAAGTTGGTCATTTATATTCACTTATTGCATGTAATCAATAAATTCGGGAGCGTCGTGTAGAGAATGTATACAAATATGTTTTCCTATGAGTTGCAGGCAATCTCTCAACCATTTTGCTATAGCGTAGTAAAAGGATCCAAACCTATGAAGAACTATTCGGAGGGGTAGTGCAGGTTTGTAAAGTTTAAGCAAAACACATATTTTTGATGATATTCTTCTCCACATGGATACAAAGAATATTTAGTCCTGAAGTTACAGATAGTCAAATGAATCTCTTAAAGGAAATGTGCATCGAAAAAGAGTATCCATCGGTACATATTTGATAAAAGCATAAAGCTTGAGCATCCTGATCGTAACTGACAGATATTCAAATCAACTTCAAAATAAATGGTTGAAAATTCTCATAACGTAAATTAGAAAAACAAAAATAGAACCACACAATGTAGTTTACCATTAGATTTTCATCAGAATTAACTTTCATGCAAATAGAACTGCATATTAGAGCTAAGTCTGATAACGAACCAATTGAAAACAATATTGTTCAGTTTTCTGTTTGTTGTTCATATTCGAAATGAACAGAGACAATGTGTCTGTTTCAATATTGATTAAGGTTATTCCAATTAATCAAAATGACAAGTCACTTGTATTTCGGTGTGCATTAGACTAATTTTTCGAAGAATACACGTCTCAAAAAATCAATTTCACCAAACTATGTGATATAATGAAGTCTCGAGTGATATTTTACGATTATGTAAGATGGAATTTATGCTACATAACAAACAGATGTACACGATTTGTAATATCATCCATTAAACAAAACTTGTGAATGGTAGTTCCATATTAACAGAAATTGATTATACTATTTAAGGACAACACAGACCATGAAGTGTAGAACAATCACTGTATATCATGTTAAACAGCAAAATAGGAATGAAGCTCATAATAACTGGCAAAATAATATCAACTGAGTAGAGAAAGCATATATTACTTCTCGATCACCCAATACATGAGCAAAGTAATCAAAGTATACTTTTCAGCATAAAACTGATGAATTACTATAACATTTCTCGATAAACTATCACTGAGAATGATTAAACATGCTTCTAAACTACATTAATTGGTTGAAGGTTAAGATCATGAATTCTAACGATGAATTCTAAATGTCTGAAAATAGACTCGGATTGTAATTTCCACTTATTCGTCTTAAATACATTGATATTATTTGAAATTAAATGTCTATGCACAAACCTAGGTTGAGATATTGAACAAACCACAAAAATCACATAGTACTTCAAGTTTGTATCTGATATCAGATGCAACGGCCGGAAATCTGTGATTAGTGGATTATGCACTGAAAACGTTCATTCCAAGTTTGTCTCCTTCGGGGTATATATATCCACCTCTGAATACGTACATGAATTATATTTATTTAGGCTCTATACATTCTTGAGATCATCATTTATCTCAATATGCCAGTTTCGTAGTTGCACTACTATATTACAACAGAGGTGTAGTTGAACACGGTGTTTCATTAAAGCTTCTGTAAAGAACATTAGACAAAGAGTCACCATTTTGAAATTGTCTTTTTACTGCAAGCAAAATTTGTACCTTAAATAACAGTCAACCAGTTTTGTTAGATTAAAGCTTAGGATATTTCATTTCAGATTATGATTGAAGTAATTCCATCTAGTGTAACGCTGCAGCCAGGTCAAATAACAACTATCAATGTGAAATATATATTCCCACTGAACTCCACCTATCTGAAATCTACAATACAAATCAGTGGAACTGGAAGCAACAACACTAATGAATCTATAATAACTATTGCAGATTTTAAAATAAGTTTGGGTTCTAACTTATTTTACACAACAACTGCTTACTCATCTAATTTTTTGTCAACTTATCCAACCGATCAAAATGATCAGTTGTTAATATACTTCGAAAATATCACAAACATTGGTGAGTTACAGTTTATCAGTTCATATGTGCTTATTTCTTGGGTAACTGTCATTACTTACACTAATAAAATTCAATATCATAGATATGTTTCTTAATTCATGAAACACTTTATGTTTCAAATTTGTCAATTTGGGCAAAATATGTTTATTCTTAGCGGATAGTGTTATGCAACTTCTTTTGCAGTTAAAATATTTTACCACAATATTACTTTAGATGACATATGAGAATAGGTGTATGATATTTTCCTTAACACTTCAAGACTGAATTATCTTTACAACAAAAGTCTAAAATTTAAGTAGTACTGATTATTACTAGTGTAATGAACGAACTCCATCGTTCCTTCACGACTATTACAATCACTCTCTGTCCACATTTCCATTCTCTTCAATCCGATCTTCTCAACCTTCGGCTGTCAGCCATACTACTTCTGACTGGTGTTACACATTAATTATGTCAACAGACATAAGTGGCATACACCACACCAGTGTACAAGATCAAAGTTAGGCGAGAAAATATCTCTAAAACTATTACTGAAACACATGATTAAAAACAGTGAAATAAGTTGAAGTATTTTGGAATAAAACTTGACAGAAAAACACTTACACTAGCTTACTGTTTTCCTTGAAATTTTGATCTTCATTTCATCCTGTAATTTTTAATAGCCTACCTCACAGTCGAAAAAATCTAGCTTTATACATGTTTTAACTAATAAACACCAGAGAAGCAGTAAACTGAATACTGTCCTTTAATTTCTCTCCAATCAGAAGAATGTTGTTAAACATTCATGGATATGGCCCAAATCTGGAGGAATGTTTATGTACAAAAAGACATCGCAGCTGAACATCTCACCCTTACATTACAGAAACTAAGACAGCGAGATAAATTCTTTCTGTGTGTAAACAATGAAAATGTTCTACAATGAAGGTTAATAACAAACAGTATTCAAGATATTTCATAAAGATGCAAGCAAAATCATTGCCATTATGTGAAGTGGAATAAAATAAATTGATTTGTTTTTTGTCACCACTTTCCAATGTATTGTAACTTACTACTTGATTGATTATTTGAGAGTACCGTTTTGAATTTTATTGTTCTCGGTTAGCTCCTAACCAATTTATTCCTGATATTTAAAACACTAGCTGTTAATTCAGAGTGAATAAAATGTTCAGCGTCTTCTTCAATGCACTATCTAATAAAATTATCACCTATTTTAGGTACGGTAAGTGTACCCGTAATGCGAAACACTCTCAGTCTTTCAATAGATATCCAGTTGAGTGATAGTAAAATTGTAGAAAACGGAACTGTTTGGCCGTTGCAAATCACTGGTCGATTCAATGCCTTCACTAATATTAGCAAAATATCTGTATATTGTATAAGAACAGGGTCAGAAAAACCATCAATTCAGGTTGTACTATCTCAACTGTCATCGTTCACATTCAGTGATTATCCTGATAGGTATGTTTGAGTCGTTCTGACCTTTAGTATATATTTATTTCATGGAATAATTGGTTCACTTCTAACGCGAATTCATTTTTCACTTGAATATCAATTTTATGTAAAACAGTCAATGTATTGTTCAGATAGTGTCCAAATGTCTATAATAATGTTCCATATAAACGATTACGCTGATGACTACTCACGTGAAGAGTACAAACTTTAGTCTTGAACAAAGAGTTTGGAGATCTTTCTGTTATCCAACAAGCAACACAAATATCATACCCAAATTCAAGTGACCGAATGAATAAGTTTAATTTCTTTCTTAATTTGGTTTCAAACCTCGTTGTGTTAATATTCTCGGTGATAAATTTCCTTGGAAACCTTTCTCATAACACCTTAAAACCAGACACACAACTCGTTTAAGCATCCATCAGATAAAACACTGTTTAAACATAAAATTGGTGTCTTAAACAGATGTGGCTGTTTTGTTGTAGTACAGATTACTCATCTGAGTTATAAATTTCAAATCTATAGGTCAATCATCATCACTGTGTATCCTGTTTATCCACAACACGTCTCGGACACAAAATCAGAAATATTAACTTGTGCTGGACTCAAATAACCCATGTAGAAAAGAAACGATATAATCCCATTAGCTGACTCTTGACAAATCAGTTTTCAAAGAAGTGTCTATCTTTTCATTTATCAAACATGAGTAGCGTGGGTAACTACTAAACTGACCTGTAAATTATAGCATTTTATTTCAGATAAGTCTCTGTGTTTATTAAACGTGTTTTGAGGGATTACTGACAAATAACTATACAATGATTTTAGTCAATACTTTTATTTTTCTAAAAACCTTGTTGCCAGTCTTGTGAACAGGAACATGACTAAGTAATTTTTCATCCTCAGACTATAAAGTAAATAATAACTATTAAGCTTAAATCAGTTTTGCTCTTAAAAGTGTCCGAAAGCCGGTGAAAATCGTACCTGAATTATCGTCCACTTATCTCAGCACGAAACATTTTGACTTTTGTTAAATCAATCGATCTGTCAAAGATAATATTTAAGCATGGAAGGTGATATAGTTGTTTCTCAAAACTCTCATGAAATCATTATTGATTTTTATTCGTTACCATTTACTTCGAACCAACTAAACTCACGTTCACTAAAAAGTGAAAAAAATGGAGCAATGAAGAAGGCAGAAATTTGACATTGTTCTCCGTGATACCTCCAACAGTAACTGGATTTGATTCAATTTCAACAAACTGACCTAATGTTATCATGTTTTCTATGATACACAATGAACAATCAGCTGGGAACATTTAACTGATGGAACTACTCACTCGTTTACATCAACAGCAAAAATAATTCTCTTCGAATTTAAGAAAAATAATCCATTATACTTTTTACAAGATCTCTGACAATACTCGACATTATATGATTAAGTTAGCAATAAAAAAATCGTATTATTGTGCAAAATTCTAATAATTTCACCATTTTCGAGCTATACACGTCTACGCTATACTTAAAATATTTAAATACTGAAATCTAAGTAGATGCAAAGTTATAAATATTCTTGCTATTTCTCTGTTGATTGTAATCAGTTAATCCTATCAAACTAGATTGGAAGGCGTGTAAAACCAAATACCGAATCCAACTACTATTTGAATTAAATCACCAAAATTTGAACCGTTTTACTGATTGACATAAAATAACTCTCTACATATTATACATTTTGTTTAATCCAATACTCAGAGATGTGGTGTATCTTCAGACAACCGTTCAAATGATGAATGGTACCGGATTGGAATGTGAAAGACAATCGATAATTTTCTATCTCAGTCCAGAAATAAAATCCATCAGTGTAGTTAATCAAACAGGCAACATAGATAATGTAACATTGAAAACTCCTTTAAACCCAGTAACTAAATCACTTCAGTTCATAGTAAGTTTCTGTGTTTCAAGACATATTTTGAAAATAATGTTGTTCAATTTAACTGACTCAAAATTTAGTTGAAGTATTTAAAGGGATTGAATTAATTTTCCGATTGCAAATGAAATCATCATCAACTAGTCTTAAACCGTTAACATAATCATATTATTTGAAGAAAAGAATAACTGGTAATATTCAGAAATACACATATTGGCTCTCTAGATTTAAGTGATCCATGAGATAATTGTACATAATGATCTAACAGAAACGAGTAATTTTCTTCGGTCCTATATTTAATACCAAGTTATACAACAATTAGCCAGTTGAATGTGTCAAATTGATAATAGACCATGCCAGGAGGATGGATCACAGTATTGCATCAAGGGCCTCAGATACTCAATAAGAGACAAACGATTGAGAACCAAATACGAACCACACAATAATTTAATTATGTGAAATATTGGAATTGAAGTATGATTGGTTGTTGAGTGCGGACAAACAAGCATAGCCTACCGACTATTAAATATGTGATTTCTTGAAACAATTCATTCTCATAGCATAAACATAAAGAGGATTCGGCGAAAGGAGTTTTCTTTTTCACGAAATCACTTACTTTAGTTATACGTTCACATTTATAGTTGTATCGTAATTATATGCCTGTAGGATAAAAAGGATTTGAGATGGTGGAGACGATTTGTAGCTCAGGTAGATCATTCTGGTGGTTTTATTCTTCGACCCAAATGGTGTTCTCATCATGGAGTGATTCGACACTTTAAATATCAAACGAGAGTGCGTAATAATCAGGGGGTTAGAGAAGAATAGAGGGACGAGAATAATTTACAGGTCAGAATTATGAAAGACAATTGTCCTCTTTACAGATATGAAGGGAACTGGTAAACACAAAAGTGATAATGATAACTGAATAATAATAATAATGAAAAATTGTTGGAGTATAATAATAACTGAGATGCACGTACATACAGCTGACAAGTCCCAAATAGGGTGAAACGCGCATCTTGTCTCCCACTGTTAGCCACCTTCATCACTGCTTATAACTGATCACGGTTCAAAACTGCAAAACAATAATTTAAAAAAGGAAGGGAAGAACAAAATATACTACAGAAGGGAATTAGAGCCAATGGAGGATGAAAGGGTGGTCATGTCGTTTTTGCACACAGAGTTCAAGCTCGGATTTGTCGATTGCCAACGCCTCAACAGTGCATATGTTTTTGACTCGGCCTTCCTTCGATCCACTTCCTTTGATTATTAAGTGTTCCTCTATCGGAATGGTAACTGTTTTGCATCCTCCCTTTACAATCCAGGACAGGTATTGTTCCGAGATGCGTTTAGAAAGTGGTCGCTATATGCGGCCAATATAACCTGCTCCACAGAAACAAGTAGATATATAGATGCACATCAACATGAACAAAAGCGGAAGTTTATCCCTATCACATCTGTGAATGTTAGGCTGGCTTGAGAAGACAAAACGGAGATTAGTTAAATAGGTTTTATCCAGGGATTTTGAAATACGTATATTAAAGATTTCGGCAGCCTTATCTCCCTTAAATTCAATATTCTTAAAAAGAGTTTTCTTTTGAACTGTCGGTGCTGGTTTTAGGATGTCTTGGTGTTAAGTTCCTATCTACTAATCTAGGTGGATAACCATTTCTGATGGGTGTCTGTCAAAGTTGAAGTAGTTCGTCAACCACTTCATCATCAGAACATTCCCCTAGGCCTTGAGGCTAAAGAGTGAATCAATTATCTTTTTCTACTCAATAAAATCCAACTATGGAAATCCGTATACCGACCATTCCAGGTCAATTTTTATATACAGATCCCTGTAAAGAACCGCATGAACTTTTCAACCGACATCAAGAAAATGAAATTCCTCATTCGCCTCTGTTTCCAACATGAATTAAATTGAGTGACGACAACTATTGAACCAATACGAAGTTTCATTGTGATCCATTTTTTCTTCACAAATTTGAAAGTATATGGTAATCTGAAGTATTCGAACTTATGTGCAAACTAAGAACTCCCGAAATAGAGCAATTTAACTCAAGTAGAACAAGCCGAGACAAGGGAACGCGTTATATTTGGAATTGATAATCAGCGGGCAGTCAAGTACAAAGCAATCATTAGTTTGTACAAATACCACAACCACCACAGCTTGAATGGGAATCTAATTTCTGTAATCGATTGCACTTTTCCTTAAGTTCATCATGTGTTTGTCCGATTGTGTGTTGGATGTAGATTCTGCATGATCTAGGATGTGCTCATTAGTATTAGAATTAAAAACCGGAATTGGAACAGATTCACTTGGTTCCTGCAATTGTGTTTGATCATTATATCGGTTGTGTGAACGTAAATCATTGATATCTAGGATTTCAATATTAGATTTTGCAACATTCTTCACCACAATTTCATGACTGGTCGAAGATCATTTCCACGATAACATGTAACACATGGAGACTCTAAACGCCTCATATTCGAACGAAGGATTCTTCCTTTTATTAGCTTTGTTGGAATCTCTTTCGTTACAGAATGCTTAGCATTTCTATATTGCAGTAGAACTGTGTCTACTCCCCTCTCCAGTCCATCAAATGTGGAAGCAATAATGGGATTAATAGCATTTTTCAATGTCCTGACGAAATGTTTTGCCTGACTCTTAGAACAAGTGTGCCTGGAAGCAGTGAACAGATGTCTACACCCTATACCATTGAACCAGGTAGTGACTGTGTCTGCAGCAAGATGAGACCGATTATCAGTCACTAATACCATGAACTATCATCCATACATCTCTTAGATAAGTGAAATCTCTCAACTATCGGTCGAAGTACCGTATCTTTTTCAGATTATCCATGAAACAATCAGTCAAGAGGGGGCGGCTAGTGGTGAACTCATTGCAAATTCATCGGTTTGTCCATAGAAATGATTACTAAACCTGAATCGCACATTGAGCGTACATCGTGGAGATAGCTCTTCTAGATAATGTTTTAGGGTACTAATATCAATGTGCAACCTTATCTGGGTGACACTGCACTAAATCCCGATTTTTCAGAGGATGAAATAATTGAGACTTATGTTTTCTTGAGGGTAGTCGTCTAGTTATAAGTATCGTGATTACATATTGAGTTCATTATTGATAGTTGACGTACTACAAAATTGAGGACCAAGTAATAATGCATGTAACTGAATAGTCGACAATGTTATACACAACTGTATTTGATATTTCGAATCTTGAATCACTTTATGATACAATCTTTTCTATCCTTCTATAGACATATATTCGCCATACAACTATAAATACGAATGTGTAGTTTGAGTAAATGATTGCGCGGCCAAGAAATTTCATTTTGCTGAATCCTTTTTATGTGTGATTTCTTTCAATCTTATTGATTTCTACGTCTGATTCACTGGGTGTGACTGTTTATAACTGTATTGAATGAGGTATTATCTAGTGTTATTCTGGTTTCCTATTCTGCGTCGTGAATCCTGGATCTGATGTAGCGTGGCTAGTTATATCATTGTAGTAAACATGAGAGGGAAAATAATATTTTAAACAATCCGTTATATCAGAAAGTTGGATGGTGACTAGCAGTGCAATCGAGGACGAGTCTCAAATAGGACTGCTAGCCACCATCCACCTCTGCTTATAATGCTTGTGACGTAAAACAATATTGAAGCAATCCCCACAGGATGCACGCATGTCAATAAGAGACTGATCAATGGCAGTTCTAAGAAACAATGGAAAGATTCAAACAAATAATACAATATAAATTAATCCGTTATATCATATAATAGTAAAAATGTGATCAGTTAACACGGAGTGAAATCGGAGTAGACGTCTCTTGCAGAAATCATTTTATAACATAATATAATCACTTCTATTCATTATAATCAAACATTTCTATCTTAACTCACTAACCAATTACTATTTATTTCCATAAGGTATATTACAACGTTTTAGCGATCGTTTTGTACTTGATCAACATAATGAATAAACTAGTTACCAGTTTCGCCTTCAATGTTCGATAAGTGCTCAATTTCCATGCACATTCACGTGTGAGTGTGTGCTCCATACAACATTAAAACTATCACTAGTTTTTGTCTCAGACGTTTGGAGTTGTCTGCAGCTATCTGCTATGAATATGCTAGTGTTGCTCATTACGACATACCGGATGGAAAACACAGACTCGTTGAAATCTAATGCCTGAAATAAAATTTACGATCAAAATTACATTCCCTACATAGCACTCCACTCAGTAAATGAACTAAAAGGTACTACAAAATGTTGTATACATCATAGTTACTGAACACTAAATACATTAATGATAACTTCCACCCATTCGATCTGTTAACCGAACATGGCAAACGTTCAGTCAACTGAGTCGTGAAGTTTTTATTATCCATAAATGGTTTGTAATCTTTGTTGCGCAATATCACTGAAGTATTCTAAGGGCACTTCATCATTTGATTTCATTGTTCAACCGCATTGCTACATAAAAATTTTTTTTTCTACCACTTTCTGAGTCATAGTCAAACATTTCCGATTTCAAATTTCGATTTTAAAAGTGAAATATCACTCTGAAATACCTTTCTAAAACAAAACTTGTATTTGTGTAGTTATTACAGGAGACAGTTAAAACAACTCACTTCCATGTTTCATATCTGTTTACCATCAGTTGTTGCATATAGTTCCAACTCGAGGGAAATCTATTTAACCACTGCAGTCATTTCAAATTTTAAGTTTCTACTGTGAAATATTTTCAGTATTTCTTGTCAAACATTCAAACTCATTTAAATCCATCGAAACATTGTTTCATTTGCCTAACCGAGAGCACGAGATCGATCTAATACCAGCATTCACTGTCATTTACTGTACCAATGAAACTTTCAAAGTTTGTACAATTCCGTTCACCAAGCATAGGGGAGGTAAAATACATTTGTTTTGTTTGCCTACGTTAGTCATCATTTGAAATCTTCTCATATCACGAAATGAAACAAAAATTTCAAACATATATCAACTCTTGCTCTGAAACAACACTTAAGCATATTTTTTTCTCGTTTCAGGCAGGACGTTTATATTTTGGTGCAAAGTATGAAGTCATCTTTATTCTGAAATTTAATCCATCTCGTAGTACAACCATTGTGAAATATCCAGTTCTAGTCGAAATCGTGTGCAAACCCTATGAACGCGGTAGTCCTATAGTGAATAGCTGCGCAAAACAAAGGTTTTACAAGTTCAAATATCGTCTGCGTGTTCAACTTGACTACACTTGTGAGTTTTATCGGTGTGTATTTTTCCAAATTCATGACATGATTATGAATCAGCACTACATACCAAGGAATGACTGCATTATGGGAAATACGTTTACCTTGTATGTCGGATACGTTATCTTAAATGGAAAATGCTTTCTTCACATGAATCGCTTTCTACTTATCATTGTTAAAATTTCCGCTGTTGTGAAAAAGATTTCAATCTTTGCATTGCATCCGATTATCATACTGTCATCAAGTATTCACACATACAAATACAACTTTACAAGCCATCATAAGTTACTGAATTTTTCTCATGCTACTGAAATCACAATCATTATCAAAATGTGAGGTGCTTGTTAATTGCTTTCAGAGAAAAGATGAGTTAGTCCTCACATAGAGTTGTCAATTATTTAGAGGCTTTCCATAATGATATTTCATTTGATCATACAAAATTGCTGGTAATGTACAATCGCAAACAAAAGATAAAAAGAAAAGCACCCATCTTTTTGTTGAGAATTATCAACTAAATATGTTTGCACTGTAACTATATGCAGCTCTCTTACAATCCCCTACTAAAATGACTTTCAATTTTGTCAATCATCACCATAAGGAATGTTTGTCATTGGTTACTTATCTACAGTCAGATCACATTACTGCGAAAGAATTCTCTATCATTTTATTGATTTTTGGGATAGTTAAAATAATTCTCAGTGACTCTGTGATGTGTTATTTAACAACATTGTCTTGTATTGACCTTTTGCATTCAGATCCTTACAACTTACCTCATTACGTTGCAATGCGGAACTCTTTTGTGCAGTTGCCTGACCGTCAAGCGAATACATTTCTAAATGTTGGTGATATTTTGTTTTATTGTGCACGTGCGTTTAGTATAAAAAGTTCATTAGATTTGGTGAGACGATGTTTCAAGATTGGTAAATTGCCTGAAAGAATTTGGTTTGGTAAGTAATCATAGACAATCCGTTGTGTTTTATTATTCAACAGTGGATATTTGAAGTTTAAAACTACATACTTACGTCTGTTACACTTTGTGTAGGAGCATAGGCCACCCACCAGCATTCGCCATCCAACTCTGTCGTGGACAACCCTTCCCAACACTATCTAATTCCTATTCATTGTATTCATGTCTGCTTCGAATTCGCGACGTATTGTGTTATTCCGCCTTCCTCTTTTCCGCTTGCTTTCAGGATTCCAAGTTGGCACTTGCCTTGTGATGCAATTTGATGATTTCCTCAACAACTGTACTATCCACTCCCATCGTCTTTTCATAATTTCTTGTTCAAATGAAAATTGTTTTGTTCTCTCCCACAGTAGGTTGTTGCTGATTGTATCCAGCCAACAGAAATTGAGTATCTCTCGTAGGCAACTGTTTATAAATATTTGTACTCTTTTGATAATGGTTGTAGTAGTCCTCCACGTTTCAGCTCCGTACAATAGAACTAACTGTATTGACATTTGTGTGGAAGATTATGTCTTTGATATTGGTTGACAGTTGTTTTGAGTTGCATATGTTCTTCAATTGAAGGGATGTTATCCTTGCTTTGCCAATCCTCCCCTTTACATCTGCATCTGATACTCTTTGTTCATCGATGATGTTACACACGTACGTGAAAGTTTCCACCACTTCGAGAGCGTCTTTTCGTCAAGTGTGATTGTGTTGATGTTCTCTGTATTGTACTTGAGGATCTTGGTTTTTCACTTGTGTATGTTGAAGCCTACTAATGCACAGGCTGCAGCAACACTGGCTGTTTCCATCTTCATTTGTTGATGTGTATGTGATAGCTGGCTTACTCAAAAGTTTCTCAAAGTGTTCTACCCATATGTTCCTCCATTCTTAAATCTCGGTAATTGTCTTGCTACTCTTAAAACTGTTCTTTGTCGTGCTCGTTGCTATCATTGGTGGGTGCATAACACTGGATAATATTCATTGTGATTTCCTCCTTCTTGTTTCAAAGGATGCTTTGATGATTCTGGATCCATGAAATTACCATCCTATAAGTTCATTTCATGCTTCACTGGACAGCATCAATGCAACTCCCTGAGTGTGAAGAGAATTTTCCTCTTCATGATCAGAGTATAGCAGCATCTCATTGGTATCTATCTTTTTCTGTGCGGATTGAATGCAGTGGGCTTCACTGATTTCGAGCACCGTCAAGTTGTATTTTTCATTTCCACAGCTATTTGAATAGTCTTCTCGGTTTCCCAAATAATCCGGACGTTCCATGTACATATAAAAATTGTTGCTATGGTTGTTAGAATGAGCATCGGTCTCATGACTTCTGAAGAATCTCGGCCTTCACCTCTAGGCTTCATAGTTCTTTTGAATGAAGATATTTCATCTCGGAGAGCAGAGTTATAGTGCTTTAATTTGTGTATTCTGATTAGCGTTTGTTTTCACAAGGTTGGTTTCTACGGGATTAGGTTGCTGACAATGATTAGTCAATACAGTTATTTCACAAGTTGAAATCATGAGCCAATTGAAGCTAGACCACCATGGAAAACATGGAAGCACTGGACGGCCGTTTCGTCCTAGTATGGGACTCCTTAGCAGTGCGCATCCACGAACCCAACCCCGCGGGATTCGAACACAGGACCTACTGGCTTCGCGCGCGGTCTAGCTTCAATCGGCTCATGATTTCAACTTGTGAAATTTCTAAAAATCTCCACAAAACCTATTCTGATAATAATACAGTCACTGTTACAAATAAAACAGAAGTGGTATGAAGTTTCTCAAGAACCTTAAATTTAAGTACTGACTAGAACTGAGTCTATTATATCAGTCTTATGACTCATCATCATTATTTCAAATAGACTATTGCTATATTAAACCAGACAATAAATCTTTTAAGAATACTTAAAGTAGGCTAGTATAATTAATTTTCAGTTGGAATAATTCAAACTAATCTCGATATAGGAATGTCAGTGGGAATATCAATTAATTCTTTCTGGATAAATTTCAAACTAGCAGAGCGTTGTAAACTGCAAGCTTAGTACTACCGTGTTAAAAAATTCACAGTTTGATTAAGAGACTGTGACAAAATTGTTTTCTGAGTTCCACAGATATTGATGGTTTTTGGGACTTAGATGAATTTTGTTCTCTCTGGAACAATAAATTTAAGGAATGGTAGACTCGATCGCAGACACTAATTACAATTAAGAATACGGTCAAATGATTAACAATGGCGATGTCTTTTTCACAGAAATATCTATATAAGTGTTTCAAAGAAAAGAGTAGACATAGGAAATTATCTTGATTTACTGGCGAACCGTCACTAATTTCTTGGAATTCTTGAACTGAGTTGAAATCGATCTACTTTCACTGAATTATTTAACGGAGGGAAACACGTTCTGCAGATTAAATATTTCAGTGTCTTGATAAATGTATTTGGTCTGTTTATTATCAATCAAAATTTAAAATTTTATGGGGAAATGATTCAATGCATATGGTTTAAATGAAACGGTGAGCTGAATAGATTAACACTCAAGGAAACAATCTACATCGATTGTTTTGATGAAATCATAACAAAATTCAGGGGGTTAATATGAAGTGCAACCACGTAGATAAGTGTGCATATGTAGTAAGAACAGAAAAAGCATACATTATTGAATAAGTAATAAAACCCTTTAACTGACGAGAAATCAGCTTGAAGACTGCCGTGACATTATTCGGTAGCCTTATTAAATACAGAGAAGAGGATTCATCTATAAACTCGTTCGCCATTGAGAGATAGTGTATTAGTAATCATATCAATACCGACCACTATTAGTAAAACAGTGCAGTAAATGTTAACAAACCTTCGTAATAAGCTTTATCTATACTGATATAAACCATATTTTCCAAAGAGTTCGAAACTGAGCTGACATATGGCAATGATGTTGATTGGCTTAGCATTATTGGCTTGACTAATATGTATTCTTGGTAGGCACCTGGAGCATAAAGTTGAAAATATATCGACTGCCATACATTGGGTTTCAGAGTTAGCGTTAACTTCAGTGATGTTAAATAGTTCGGTATAACTTGATTTTTGACTGTTTTTGAATCAATAGAAATTAGATCAACTCCTGGAACCTGACTTGATGACTTAAAAAATAACAAATGCACATTGATTTAATACACTGTAAAATGTGAATGTGTTATGAACTAAACACTTACAACTTAAACCTATAATCACGAATTAATAAACTCGACAAAAAAATTACAATGCTCTTCAGCGATTTCATTCAAGTGAATTTTAGAATTTCCTGCTGCATCCATTAACCTGTCATGTAAGTCAATCAGAGAGTCAGGTTTGGTGTTCAAATCGAAAGTAAATCTTGATAGGACTAATCTACGAGGTGATTTAATGAAGAATATTATAAATTAATGAATTTTCACTAATAATTTAGAGCATAGTGTGTATCACAGATGCTAGCTATCTTATATTCAATATTACTGTGCTTTTGCTGGTTACTAAAGCATCATACATGAAAGTCATCTTCAAATTTATCAAATTTTACAACACAACGAAGTGAACAACCTGTTGTACATCACTTCAACCTGTGTATGTATGTCACGTTGCAAAAATCATACTTGTTCTAACCAGTTATCAATATTTTGTAAACTAAAACACAGCCAGTGTTTACGGTAGGGTAACTAACTGAAGTAAGTATAAAGTAAAATTCAATGTAAAAAATATTGTTTGAAGTCATACCAACACAGTAGAGTAGTTAGCTCGTGGAGAAATAGTTAACGTTTTCGTAAAACTGGATACACCAGAGGTAAATGTTGATGTGATTACTAAAGGCTTCGTGGTAATTGGAATTATCGAATAACGGATTGCAATATCACACTGAGCATCTGTACATGATTCATTGAAGTACACTGAATTTATTTGCAATGTAGCCAAATTACTTTGGTAATCGGGAAAAGAAAATTAAAAGAAAAGGAAGAAAGATTTGTTGATATTTGTTAGAATTACAGAAATACTGTAGTGCAGTATGAAATTATTTTATAATAGTTATTAGGGATGAGTTGTTATTTCACTGAAATATTTCCAGCTTTCGATAATCACAGTAAGTTAGTGAGTAGAAAGTGCATAATTTCACCACATTAATGAGTGTTCTGCCAAAAGTGTGAACAACAAATATATCAGTGGTTATTGAAGCTGGTTAGGTTCAATTTTCATTTTATTCATAGTTCATCGAAATGATAGTAATAATAGGATTATAGGCAAAGATAGATAAGGGCTAGCAGTGAAATCGAAGATGCTCATTTCGTCCAATTCGGGACTCGTCAACTGAATGTACCTGCATCTCAGACTTGATGTTCACTCTGGGACTCTAACCCATTGCCGTTCGCTTCAAACGCCATCGTGTTATCCACTTAGCCACTGAGTCCTCAATAGAATGAAACGCGCGTCCTGGATACCACTGCTAGCAACTATCCATCTTTGCTTATTATGCTTATGAATTATGGCAATAGCAAGGCAATACGCACTGTGTGCACATATGCCATTAAGAGACTGATCAATTGCAATCCCACATATCAATGGGAAGTTTCAATGGAACAATACTAAGTGAATAATAGGACATTTTACTCAATTAACTTTTGAGAAACCTTTGGTATACAATCGGCTACGCATATTGTTAAGGATTGTGATAAGGCACATTATGTAATAATGAAAATAATAATGTTGATACGTCAAACGGGTTTGATCAACAGTGATTCAGTTATGTTCAGTCTTTTCAACGTATATAAAGGATAACGGTCAGCATCATGGGTACTACAACATTTATATATATAAATGAAAATTGAATATTAACTCGTTATAGATTACCTACATTTAGGTCCCTACTACAGTGACTGGTAATTGAATTTATGTGGCAATCTACAACCCCTACACGTGTTGAATTCTTAACGAAAGTATGGATTAACAAAAGGATAATAATGTACAATTTCTATATACTGAGACTTAAAGTATTTTCTCAAATATCTAAATCTTGTCTATCGGAAAAAATGTAGAAATCAAGTTTCAACTTCACTATAATCTAACACTCAGTGGATATTTCTGAAATGATAACTCATTAAAATATAATGCATTTCTTTGCACAGAAATCTACTGATATGTGAAATGTAATTTGGAAAACTGATAAAACAAACTGACATAGAGTTCTGAATAATACATTCAGATTTATTGACGAATTATGCAGGATAGTCTTTGAGAATAATCTCCAAAAGTTGAAAGTTTGATAGATATTGTGTTTTTTAACAAGGGATTGTTGTTTGAAAATAGTAAATTACAAGTATTCGTAGTTCGTTTAACCCATGCTTGATGTGGCAGAATTGATTCATATCCGTATACTTGATTTTTTGTAACATTATACATGAGTATATATATATGTAATGAATTAAGTATTCGTATTTACATATACACAAGAATACGGTTGATAATCAAGCTTACGGTTTAACAGAAAAATCATAGCCCACAAGTACTACAGCTTTTAATAGATATCCAATTGTTTGAATACTCTGTCTGATTATAATTGCTTCATTTGAATTTACTTGTAGTTGAAAAGTTATCGGCATGTAGACAAAGTCTTCAACGAATTTCACTCGAACTTCTACAAATGTACTAAAGTTCACTGTTAGTTGTGAATTCCGTGGTTCGACTTTTTCAATAGTAACTACAGGAGTTTTAGAGACCTAATTTCAAATAGTGTTTGCAAATGATAACAAAAAATAATTGATTTAATGCGAAATTGAGAGATCGATTACAACTTAGGTTTACATTTACATGCAGTTTATATTTGGGTTATAAACATTCATCTGAAATGATTTGCATGGAATAATAAGTGTTAGACAAACAGCATGAATGATTAATTTAGGTCTGATTTAAACGAAGAGTATTTGGTTGAAAATTACCAGGAGCTAACGTGGCGTAGTACTATATTTCATGCTGCATTTATAAAGCTGTGCAATTTAAACTGCTCCATGCTAAAACATTGATATTTTTGTATTTTGATTGCTGACGTCTGTAACCACCAAGTCAAATATCGTAAAATAAACGGCCGTACCTTTTAATGCTAAACGAGAGATCTTGACAAAATCTGTACCTCTTTAATTGGGTGCAAAAATTATTTCAGTGGAGCAAATTAGTTCACTCACCGTCAGTTCAGTGACAGATAGAAGAAGACTCAAAATTAGACTATGATAGAAAAAAATCAACGTGTTTAGGAAAATGGTGGTTGATATGATCTGGGATTAGAAGCCTAAATCAGTATATTTACAGAACAAAAGTGTTTCGACGTGACTTGCAATAGTTTGGATTATTCCGTTGTAGGTTTTCTGACTGAATTTTGACTAGTCATAGTTGGTTTATGTGCATTCTATGCAGATCATTTTGTTATTGTGATTAAGTCACAATTATTTTAGGCAGAGTCGGACAGTAGATATCAGTAGAATCCACGACTCTTCTTCATATTTGAACTGGTGTCCCATAAATTGGTAAAATATTCCCAGTATGACCCTGAAAAGAAGTATAGAGATCTGAATGTTAGATAAACTTATCGATCACTGAGGTAGCATAGTAGACTTACAAATGAGTTTAAGCTGGCATATACGATTTCATATAAGCTTTCCTGTACTCTAGTATTGTTGTTCATATGATGACTAGAACTCAGTACTTCGAACACGCAATGCGTCATCCACTTAGTGTCTGTGATCATATATGCATAATCGTCCTGGATTTTATTCTTATCTACTGTCCAACTCTGCTTAAAACACTTGTGACTTAATCACAATATCGAAGCGATCTGGACATGATGCACGTATACCACAAGAAATTGATCATTTGCTCTCCAACATATCAATGGAAGGCTCATGTAGCAAATACAAATAAACTAGATCGATATTGAAAAAGATATTTGTCCTACACTGATAGATCAGGTTTTATCTGTAGAATGTTGTTTAAATGCAGTAGTAAATGAAAACATGAATCAAACTTACAGGAGTAGTGGTTATGGGTTGCTCCATAGACGTTATTGGAAGCGTTACTACAAAAGAAGATAGAGTTAGTACAAGACTAAACATCTGAAGCCGCACTTGCATTGTATCACCCAAGGTATAGCTGGCATTGTATAATAATCTTAACCCGATTCGAAAATTATGATTAATATTCCATGGGCTATTGTTTCTGAATATACCAATTGTCGTTGTGCCTGTTGTTCTTCGCCCTTGAAATACAGTGTATTCTGTTATTAGCCTGATCTGTAATGTAAGTAAAACAATCAAGTTGAAAATACTATGTCAAAACATTTACTAATATCGAATTCCTTGATGGTGACATGATAGTTCTTTGTTTATAAATATCAACGAAATCAATAGGATAACGTTTAACATCACTGAGTAAGAAAAATCTATACTTTATGCCCAACTTCGAGAGAAATATTATTGCTCAACTTCCAGCAATCAAACTAGTAAGAAGTATTACACACAAAACACTTTACACATATACGACATTTATTGTAATGACAAGATATTATACACTGTTCAGTCATGTGACATATAAGTTTTCGGGTCAAATCGATTATATGTACATAACTCAATGTAACTGATCCAGTGAAGATGGATACATGATTAAGTAAAGGATGGAATAAATCTATTGAAAATCCATTACTGTTTCATATGATGAATACAGCACTCAATCAACAGGGTTCACCATCAGATAAATAGAACCAATGACTATTGCAAGGATTTTGCTTTTGCATTCATTAAGCATACCAGAGACAAAAACCAACAACACTTTTTTCGTTTATTAAACTCCTCTTTAAAGTTTCCACCTCCCAGATTAAAGCAATGTTCATTCGTTGTTTTTATTAAACATTAAATGTTAGAGTATGTGCATCTAGGAATCATTGATCAAAGGAATGTCTAAATAATTTTAACTACTTAGAATTTCCATAGATCAGTGAATACTGAATTAATAAACGGGTTGAAATGCATGTCAAACACAAGTCAAAATATTAAAAGTAGAAAGCTTTACTGTTAAGGGCTAAACAAATTTATACTAATGCTGTAACCGTAGTTTATGTTACATGCAACATGTAGTAACTGTGTATGGAAATATAATTAGACACGTATTATCAGTGGAAACTCATCCATAATTATAGAAAGCATAGTAAAATATGAAACTATGAATTTCTGACCTGTAGCTCCCTATTCCTCTTTAACCAATTGATCATTACGCAACCTCCTTTATTATTTAAAATATTGGATCATTACATGAAAGAATAAATTTTATTGGTAGTGAAGAAGTATTCTTATTTATCAAGCAGACACAGAGCTGAGTGTTTTACTCCAAATTCATTGAAACTTTAATTCCAATCTTAGTAAGAAGGTGTTCGAGTAAATTATACATGAAGCTCAACATCTGATTGAACTTCTAATAAAAGTGCACAGAATGGAAATTATCGACTAGCCGTTTTCTCATTGTAGTTAAGGATCTATGATGTCTGTATGCAATTAGTAGATGTGTTAATCAGTCAATAATTAGATATTCTCCAAACATGTTTCTAGATAATACTGATATTACAATGACGAGATAAGCTTGTTCATTCAAATGATTTTGATTTTAGACAAATTCTTAGAAACAGACTAAATTGTTTAATGACATTCATTTATGCAATTCATTCATAAAACTATTAATTAGTTAAGGACAAGCAGAAATAATGAGGAATATTTGTCTAGAATGAACATTGAGAAGTGATGCCTGATAGGCGGAAACTATTAACTAACAAACTAAATTGTCAAGATAATTATAACTGTTATTCTGAATTAGGTTAATTATAATATGCGAGTCGACATTCAACTTTATCTGACTGTTGTAGTCAAATAATGGCAAGTCAGATAGATTTGTGATCAGGGAAAATATAAATAAAATCAAAATGTCTAATTCAATATTTATGAGGAATTCTGTTGTTATTCCACTGAATGTACTAATAAATGAGAATTTGATGACATGTGTTTTTCCATTGCAATAATAATTTTAATAATCATTATTATTACGTAGTACAGACAGACACATTTTATTCTACACTGTACTTTCTTATCAATTCCGGAAACTTTTATGCAAACCAAACACTCCAATGGGCTACTGATCAGTCCATTAGTGGAGAAACATGGATCTATTCCCAAATATGTTGTATACACATATACTCATTAAATTCAGATGTCAGAAACATTCGAGTGATAAACACCCAAGCATAGATAAGCACGTGTGGTAGCATGTATTACATGCAATCATAGAATGAGCAGATATGTTAAATCATCTCAAAATTACACATAGGTGTAGAAGTTTTCGTTTGCAATTTCAAGTTACATGCACATATAGAACGCATACGCCGCACCACATACACTCCACTACAAAAAATATCGATTAACATCAATGAATTCGTGATAAATATTAGACCTTCATCCTAAGTATTTTAACATCTTAAAAGTTATGTGCATACTAAATGCTCTATAATGTAACTTATTATCTGAATAATAACTTCAAAATATGCATTCAGATACCATTTTTTAGCATATTGTAATATTATCGTTATCATGTAACACACTAATGGATTTCGGGTTCATTCTATCGAGCTGTATATTGTAAGTACTCAGTGCAACGAAAATGCCAAACAATGAATTGAAGATCGAGTGGATTATGTTTTTATTCAGTATGAACATCTAATAACAGACATATTCGATCCAGACTTTTTCATTCAAGAAGAAATGGCAAAGCTGAGGAAACTGGGTTTTCAATTAAGTAGTTATTATTTTTGTGAAGGTGAAAGGGATTGGAATAGTCATAAGATATGTTTCAAAGTGAACGACTTGATACTAAATACGTCTTATGACTTTATGCAGAAAACGCTGATATCGCGGAATGCAGAATTGTCAAACAATCCTTTGGTGACCTTTGCATACATTGATATTTATCATAGTGAATTATTGATTGAAAAGCAATAAAGCACATATGCTCAATGGTTGCATTGGAATATTAAAGTTCCATGCTGTACTTTCAAAATATCGTTGTTGACTACTTCAATTAGTTCACTGAAGCGTTTTAGAAATCAGTTCGAAAAGGACTAATGTTTTCGAGGTATTTTCTCTACAAACACCGCTTAACATTTCATAAATATTCAGTTCTTAAGTTTTACAGGAAATCATAATGGTACGAATTATGTTACGGTTCGACGGACAACCATGGCGACTTAATGATTACAAATAATCTGTGCATTGGATGGAATGACAGTGTATTGATCATATCGCAATGAGTAGAAAATCGAATTACTCGCGTTAATAAAAAACCTGAAAAAAGTTGTTTCAATTATAAATGAGTTTTCATTTTCCCTACCACTTACTTGTCTATTGACTTGAGGTATCTCAATATCAAGTGGCAAGCAATATAAATGATTCAAATACAATCATGGCGGAGTCAATTATCAAGCATCAAAAATTCTACTGTTATTCGTGCTTTGAAATTATTGAAATAAGTTTGTTAAAGTAAACACGTAAAGTTTGTTCTCCCTTATGAGTTTTTTAAAAACCAAAGAAAATGGAAACAATCATTATGATATTTTAAACTTACGTTCTTAGTTGAATTATTTTCTGTTAACAAGTAATCCACAGAACATGGTTCCGTCATTAGTTTACCAGTATTAGTTATCAGGATAGTATAAGTCGCTGTTGTATAAGGTGGAACACTCAGTTCAAAATTAAAGAATTGCAACTTTTCAGCTTGATTCACGACTGACGTATCCTTTAATGTCAAGTTACTTTTCCAAGCCTATTCGTTAAAAAGGAAGTTAATATGGTTTGTACTGACAACTTACCAAATTAGAACCTGTAAATGCTATGGGTTGGCTCTCACAAAAATTCACTGTAGAATTCTTACCTAATGGTGAGATTTTCGCTTCAAACATGACGGATACCAAATTCGGTTTATATATCTGGATAAAAACTGTTAGACGAACTGATCGATTCATCATTGGCAAAGTAGTGTCATAAACACCTAAAATATATTTTAAATTAAATGTGAATATTTACATATGAATATAAAATAAGAATTGCTCGTTCCAATAACTAGGAAAAGAAATATTCAAAGAAATATGAAAACAAGTTCATTTTGTGAAAGAATGCTTGTCATTGGGACTTATGAGAGTAAATCGCGAAAGTTCCCTAATGAAATGTAATGGAAAATAATAGTTTATATTTGCAGTTTTTTAACACGGCAGTTAGCTATTTATGAAAAAATGAGCCCGATGAAAGCTAAAAGATAGTCAACTAAACGTAACTATATGCTTCATAGATGTAAGAGCTCTAATGGTGAGTAATGTTAGTAACCTTGAATATACTAAGGTCATTATCTTCCGGTCTGACTGAGAACACTGAAAGATAGCTGCAAGATATCAAGAATTGATTGAAGGTTAGCATGTGACCCACTGGATGGAAGCTAAGAAGTCTAGAGGTTAGATGTTTGCACGGCACACCAAGGGTCCTGGTTACTATTCACAACAGTGAAATGGTGGATGCGTACTGGCGAGGAGTCTCAATTTAGAAAAAAAAGTAGCTTTCCAGTGTTTCCTAATATTTATTAATTGTTCAACAAAGATCAGTCTGTGATTCGGAAACTCAAAAATCCACACAATCCTCCTACATTAGTCAAGAATGATCGCAAACTTTCTAACAATACATCCATTCAACTATGCCAAGAAAAGAAGCCTAGAATGGATGATAACTTCGCACATTTTTTATCAAGGTTTGAGGGGTGAGAAATTTTTATTGTTACATCTTTTATCAGTCTACATATGGAAGGTCTTGTAAAATGAGAAACAAAGAGGTAAAAAATAACTTTCTTCGCTGGCAATTTTTAAAATATTGCAAAGCATGGGTTGTTTTGAACTGCATCGCATTCTTTTGCGATAGTAATTGACGGTTCAGTATGTCACAATGCATTTGTGTTCGATAGCCACCTACAGACCTTGTAACGACCGCTATATAGTCGGGGTTCAAGTCAAAATAAAGCAGTTTACCCAATTGAAATGAGCAATATTCCACCATCTTACTGTTGGTACTTCTCTTTGTGATATTCATCTGCAATTAGCAATTATTCTCGAAAGAGGAAATAACTAGTATATCTTTCATAAAACTTTCTATAGATCATAGACAGAGTGGGTGTCTGTCACCTACTTATGATTTTGTAATTTAACTTACTCCAGTCAGTAACATATTTATGAATGCAATTACATTAAGAAAACTAAATATTCAAGGATGAAGAAACTATCGACTGAGCAGTTCACCGTCTTTTAACATCACTTTCCAAAAATAATGAATTTTATGTTATTGGACAATTTTTTACATAAAATTTCAAGACGCCTTGATGGTACTTTCAAAATGACCTAGACAGTAAATACGTGTTCAAAGTGGTTTCCTGGGAAACTGAAATCCTATTCGTCTCACTTTTAGTTACCTTCTTTAGCAAACTAACTGCTTATCGAAATCACAGTTTTCACTATTCCTTTGCTCTTACTTAAATCGGAGAATATTTTTCAGCTTATACTACTATATTTAATAGCAGAAAATGAACTATTGTAACTATGACTTATCAAAGATCTTTATTTCTCCTCTCGGAAAATATTTAGGACATTTCAAACTAAATTGAGAGATCTCTCGCTTCCTGTCGTAGTATCAAAATGAAAGAAATCATGTTTTTTGATTTATCTAATCAAAACTGTTTATTTATCGTTTCTTAATGATTACCCTGAAAGTTACGCCAGCATCTATGTGAATAATGGCAACACTCTAAGCCTAACATTTTTTCGGCAGTGGACATTGAATTGATACTGTGAACCTGGTTTGAATTGAAGCCTCAATAGGATAATGAATGATCTCTGGAGTGAACTAAAATTGATTTAAATTAATATTTTACACACAGACTTGTAAGTTACTTTTCGAGTTAGTACATAAATCGGAAAGTATGAAACCATTAAAATTAAAATATTTACTTGTCTATTTCGTTTGTTGTCAATAACACAAAATATTACAATCTTATTTACTGGATAGGATTCTGCTTAAGGTCTTTACAAGGTTACTTAAATTTTCCTGATAATTCTGAAACCATACTAGAAATGATAGTAAAAGCATACTTTATGGATGACCTTATAAAAACTGAACCGAATTTCCAGCCAGTTCTAAACTAATCAGAAAGCAGCTTTTAAAAATGAATAGTTTGTGAAAAAAACGATGAGATTACAGTGTGAATGGATTCTAGGTAATTAATGAATATATTAATGTCTTCTACCTGTTGTTCCGCCTGCGAGTTGAAGAAACAAAGGGATATTACTTCAACTGTGCTGTTAGAGACTATACGTTTTCGCTAATCTTTAAAATGACCCAAAACCAGTTCTCACATTATTTTTCGTTAGGGATAGCATATTTACGGTAATGGTTAGGGCTTTGGAGTTTTATTCACAAAATGACAAATTAAAACTCCTCTGTTGTCGTATGTGTTAGTGAATTTCAGTCAAAAATACTGGAGTAAATATTTGATCAGTTCATTCATGAAATGTAGTCCCATTAGGTATGTGTTTGTTTTAGGATTAAATATTTAAAGTAAGAACATATGGATAGTGCCGATTTGCCTGTTAAATACAATCAAAAGAGACAGAAGTAGAATTTTGATGCACTAAACACTTACGATTTTAATCTATATCCGCGAAAACGGAATTTTTGCAGTCATTGTGAATGTTTTGAGCAGTACACAAAAGTATTTCCACTGCTCGTCACACATAATATTTGGATTTCAGCACGAAATTCAATTCTGATTGACTTATCCCTAAAGTATAATTTTACTGAAACCATCGTCGTAATTACTTTTTGAATGGAGTTTTCCATATTACTCTCATTCCATTTTCTGATTGACTTCCATCGCTCCTAGTTGGCTAAATTTCTATAGTCTTAACGGTCATCTTTTTGTTCCTAGATTACAGAGTTAAGTGAAATCATAACCTTGAACGACGTATACTAGTGCAATTCACGGAAACCTCAACAAAGCATACTATGAATATACTAATTAATTTTTATTCAGGGAATAAGTTGGACAAGAGATATTTGATTTCAATAGACAGCTTGATGATAAGTGAAATGTACAAAGTTTAGAAAATAACAACAAAATATAAAGTATCTTCGTTGGTCTAAACAAGTTAGTAAATATTTGATAGTGGTTGAATTCGACTGTTGATCACAACCCGGTCAAACCGTACTATTTTTTTTCTATTAAATTTCACTATGACAATAGGAGACGGCTGTAAACTAGCGAAATCAGATATCAGGAGTCTCGCCGTGTGAATAAATCTAGAGTGATTCCATGATAAGCAGCGAAGAAGTACTATCGTGTATTTTTAAGCAGGATGATGACAACACATTTTAGAAACTCTCCTAATAGAAGTTTAGAAGTTGTAAGACAAATCTGTTAACAAATCTTTTACAAAATAAAGTAGTGTTACAAGTAGCAGAATTATTCAGAATTTAACTACAATCACACAAAAGTAAATTTATCTGATAATGAAATGTATAACAATCTGCTAGCAGATATCATTTGGTCAGTAGCAGTTGCTCTTCATTTGTAAACTGATATATAATGTAGGTATGAAGCTCAATTATCAGGTCTCGATTTCATTGAGAGAACTGTGAAATCCGTATCATACAGGAGCTTATATTTGAAGTGACTTCTACACATACTCATTTTTGTAGTCCATATTTTTATATGTAGACATTTAACTTTTCGTAAAACAAATCCTGTTCTTCTTTCCATTAGTATTGTCTTCACTTGGAGATTCGTGTCAATAATCTGATCTCGTATTCAGCAAAAACAGGGACTAAAATAACAAGACGTTTATCCATTGGTTTATTTACAATTCTAAAACCGTGTATTGTTCACGAGATGATTATCAGTAAAATCTATGTATTCAGCCCCTACCATTTTCTTCATTCCTCTTAATCACTCCATCGTTAAACATAGTCGATTGTTCACAACAGCTCTTGTCATTTCAGTTCAGTAATAAATATCTTTGGTACGTGGAAACTGTCATACCATTACACTACATGTGTCATATTTAGTAGCTTTTCGAAGTAAAACAGCCGAACACTTTCCAATTTATGACTGGGCAAGACAGAATAAACACTGAGCTTATTCAAATTCATCATCAACAGTTGAAAATGTTTTATTCACGGATTTGTCTATGCACAAATGTTGTCACCAAATATATGTGGTTGTTAAAAATTGATTAGTAGCATCACTTTGACGAGGCCATCATACTGACCGGTAAAAAAATTGATTCATCGAAGGAATATTAACAGAGAAGTAATTATCAAAAGGTTCAGGTGAGCTCAAAATGATTATTAACAGAAGATATCTATAATGCATAACACCAAAATGCAAGTAGCAGAATAAATGCCTTAAATCATATCATCCACTGCCCTAATGACATGCAATATGAAAATTCGGTACTTGTGTAAATAAGTATCATGAAATGAAAATGGGCTTGTTATTGTTTTGACAAGTGTATATTTAATTCCATAAACATGCGTACAGGAAAATATGTAATATTTGCAAAATACAATATTTATGAGTACCACGTTTTGAGAATCGTGGTTGGTTGTGAAACATCAGGAACTTAGTGTTATAGGACACAGCTAGACTGAACATAACTGTTAATATATGATACAGTTAACAATATACATGATTTATACTAAAATAGAGTGTTTCACGTTAGAAATCATTGTACGGTGAACTTACCTGGATTTTGTAGATTTGAAACACTAACGTAGCCAATGGTAGTCAGTAAGAAGTTATCACCAACGAATTGTTGCGTATCTATTTTGTAACCTTCTGGGTATGTAGAGAATGTTGTAGGTAGCGTCAAAGATATATGTCCAATCGAAGCACTCAACACATCAGTCGTGAATGTGAACTATCAAACAATTTATTAGGAAACAACAGTAAGTATTTTTCTGTACGTGTCTTTAAGGAAATAAATACGTTCAGTTTTGCATTGCGTGAACATACAAAAGTAAAGTGTTTATATTCAGATATATCTACTCAATGTCCTACAACATTATGATGGATATTTAAATGTACTCTTTTAATTTTGTCTGAACATGGATGATCTCAGATGTTGTAGAAGTTCTCTCGTTATCATAGTGAATAATTACCTGTTTCGTATTGTATTGGTTTGTTAAAAATTTGCCACACTTTATTTGTTCAAACAATTAATAGTCTGTGAAACACTGATCTGGTATATTTAACAGAATTCGTGTTATGAAATTGAATACTATTCATCAGGTCAAATACTTAGAAAAATTGTGGTTGATATGGTCAACAAGGGAAATAGTGATAGCGTTTCAGCTAAAACAACACACTATCAATACTAAAAATTGTCCCTATAAAAATAAGAATATAATCTCCAGGATAAAAAGTCTGGCAACTTCATTTCGTTGTATTTGGTCGATTATTCAACGTACTTCAAGTTTATAAATGTTATATAATCTATGATTTTGATTTATGGCTGTACGATGTGAGATGATAAACCTTAATAGAGTTTTATTTTATTCACCTGTCCTTCTTTAAACAGATCTTGTTTTTTTTCAAAAGAGTGGTCGATTATTCTTATATTTCTTCCAATGATTTAAAGGTTTACAAAGGTATTCCAATATCATATCAGAATTTATCGGAATTTAATGAAAAACACTGTACGACATTCAGTGTATTTGTTGAGTGTGGTAAAGAAAGAGGTGATGATTATAACATACTTGAATGTTGTTGATCTTGACAAATGATATTGATTTAATTAATATGGTGTTTAACCCACGTAATTCATCTCACTTATTTACAGTGTCAGCTGAATCATTATATTCTTAAGCAGAGTAACTGAATAAAATCAGATCTTCACAGAAATATGACTATCAGGTTTTACTATTTCGCAACATCTGTACTCCTCTAGCTAATATTCTCTGGAGTAATTGTCATCAAAACCTGACACCTTTTCTATTTAGTTTGAAATTTTGAAGTGTTCATCAAGACCCGGCCAGCATGTTTTAATAGCCTCGTCTAGTTCTACTGAATTTATCATCACCTTTAGATTACAGATTTTTATACGAAAACTAACCAATAATATTATTCGAAAGAGCGAACTAAATATGTGTATAATCTGTACTGAAGATTGAATTATAGATGTTATTGATCACCAAATGAAATTTATCGTGTTAGCGAAATCTGAGAGGAGGAAACAAACAGTCTTGATTACTGAATTTCGTGAACAATTTTTTTACTGTTAGTCAGGATCTGGATTATTATGATTGTAGTGTCAGTCATTATTTTAAGTCCGTTATTGGATAACGTGATTTAAGTCGACGATTGTATATGAGAATAGTCGATAACAAACATTTATACGACCTAAATAGGAGTCAAATCCACGGGCCACTAAATGATAACGAATTAGTGGTAAATTTAGGTAGGATACTGACTGTCAGCAATGACTAATTTTGTAAGAGAGAGGTTTTGATATAGTTAAGTGGATAAAAGCAAGTCTGGGTGAGCGTTAAATAAATTCGTTACATGCCTTGTCTCCAAACGATGAACATCCTTTTGATCTTCAAAAGACAATAATATGCATTCATCTAGCTGTTGAAATGTCTCGTGACATAAAGCTTCATATATTTTCTATTGGTGATGAACAAATTAATTTTTTGCAATGAGGCACGTCATAGTATGCAACAATTAGGTCGGAAGTCTTATTATTTAACAATTTTTTTCAAAAGAATGTAAATTGATCAAGTATAATACTTATCACTCACCACATAATCGCCAATGGGTCTGCTTATAAAGTAGTCCACAGAATATTCATAAACCCCACCAATTTCTACTTGCGGTGGGCACTTGGTAAAGTTAACTGAATCATATTGAATCGGACAGTTCGAGGAAACTCTCATGGGAATATCTACGATAATCTTTGGAGTCAACAATGCCTCCATTCTGACTGTTAAATTGGTACCTATTGATGGAATCGACATTTGAGGGAAAAGACCAACTTGGAATCGCATCCTAATACTGAAGTCATTTGAATCATTGGCAGGAGTGGATGAAACACTTATCTGACTTGTCATTGTGAACTCCGAAGACTACGGAAAACAATTAACAAAAATGGATTAAGGCTGGAATTCTCAGGAAATTCTCCACTTTTATACCTATCATTTGGCACCAAAGATATGAGTTAATATCAACTTACGAAGATATACTACTGCAATTTCAAACCAATTTAGACTCATTCACAGAACCGATTTCAAGCGATGTTGAGTCATTTGATGTGACATCATTTATCATATATTTCCTCAAGTTTGTAGATTGACTACAATTATTTGGTATATCAACTCACCTATAACCAAAATCTAATTTATAGAATAAAACAAGCAAATATAGAAAATCAGAAATTCTATCTATTACGGCTTCTTAAAATGTGAACCTCACAAAGACATTTCTACATCTTATCTGATCCTTTCTGTTTTAGTTCTTGTATTTTCCACTCCTTCGTCTCTCTAGAACTTTTACTCAGTGATGACTATAGTCTTATATTACAGTGTTTTCTTTCTTCTAATCTTGTAGATTATTCTGTTCCATTTACACTCACTTTTCAAATTCATACTCATAATGGAACTTTGTATTCAGGTTTTCGATAGGTTGTTAAGATATGGAGATTATTGGGTGAGACGAAAATCAGGAAGGTTTTTTAAGCGAAACTGAATTAAATTTTTTACAAATTAAATATCCATTGTTATGAATCTTCATAATCTCACTGTGAGTATTTAAAAGTTGGTTTCAACTATTTAAATCCTTTTTCTTTTGAGTACATAATCAGCATCAGCTGGTATTTTGAATATTTTTATATGAAACAGAACTATGATATTTACTCTCAAGCTTCAGTGAAATGTGGAATAAGTCCTTGAACATTTCGGTGTACTTTCCATAGTAACTTTTAACTAGTACAATATCTTTAATTACAATGTAAGATATATTGAAGGCCAGGAGAAAGAGATTAGATGATATATCAGCTTCATGAGAGACTGTTAACTAAGGGTTATACCTATACAGAAAGTGAATTCAAAAAACCTGATCGTGTCTACATAATGTAATTCGAATTATCTGGGGATTTCTCATTTTTATACACATTTAATGTCTGTCAGACAAAGTGTATTTTACTATTAGTAAACATAAATCAAACTTATTTGTTTACTATGTTTCCATGAGAAAGGTTTATGTATATAACCATGTGCTTTAAAAACCTACTAGATATGCTTCATTATTTTCTGAAGTGCGGTATCAATGGATATCCACAACCTAGAAACTTCCAGATATTTTTTAACACACCACGACAATCAACCTCTAGTGACAGGAATCAAGAGGCGTCATATGTATATTTACCTGGACATTCCTTGTTACACATACATTTACAATCTCTAACAGAAAATGCTGTAAACAGTAAAATTAATCAAACTACATTCATATCCTTACCGAGGAATTATTGTTCAAGTATGTGAGATTACTAAACTTCACAGTATAATTATTTGCTATATTTGAACCGTTGTAGTAAGCAAACAAATATTGTATATATCCGTAATAGACATTATTTAGAGACGGACCAGAAAATTTCATGATCAAACTATTATTTCCAGGTGGAAGGACAATTACCGAATCAATAAACCATGTATCGAATAGACAATAATTTGGATTATCTTGGATGTATACTCTGGAAAATGTGACATTGATAGTATTTGGTGGAACTATGACGCCCTATAAAGAAGAAAGAATGACATTACTCATCTGAAAACCTGAAATCATAATGAATTTGGCTAGTACACATCATGGTTCTATATCTTACTGTTCACATTTGCTGAATCGGATCACAACGTCCTAATGAATACACTATCTTATTTCATTAACATCGGAATCATTAAATCGAAGTCATTAATGAATGAAGGTTGCTATCTGAAACACCACATTGTTTTGTAGGATAAGTGACTGTGAAATACATACGAATTCAAAGACAATTATGCCTACTTACAATTCTTACTACTACCATTATTTAAATAGTTTTCATACTTGGAAGTTAACACTTTTGACAAAAATGTTATTCGTACGTTTTATGAGAGTTTGACGTTCATCTGATTTGGAGGTTGTCTCCAGTGGTAACATACCACTAATCGTGTGATATTCTGTTTTTGTTGTTGTTTGAACATCAAGGCTCAGAACTATGAGATAAGATTGAAGAACATTGATCATATTGTTATGCTTGTTTCAAAGAAAAAAATTTCTACAGAGTCAATTGAAACAAGTCATCAATCTCTTTCAGTGACAGCTTACCAATTGTGAAATCAATGACAAAAACTGCAGTTTCATTTTCAAAAAATACTACAATAAACAGAGATCATACCCTCTTGACTGCAGTGATTTCACTTCCTGTTTCTTCGTCAGAATACTCTTCATCAATTAAATGTTGACCGTTGCATCATCAGATATATTTAGTGAAGTATTTGCATTCCTAACTGTCACTTGAAAAGTGATGGTGTGATTATTCTTCATTGTTTCATAATCACTTTCAATTACTTTCAAAATACCAGTTGTTCCATCGATAGCTACTGGTAAGTAGTTTGAACCAGGTACAATGTTAAATTGAACACTTCCACACGATGCTGAGGAGGAGTTTTCATCACTCAGTGAAGACTACCAATCAGACTTCCATTGATCCAGTTAGAAAACTTGGTTTTGAAGGTGAATACTGTCTGAGTGAATTTTGGAATTCTATGTACTAAAATGGTAAGCACATAATCTCTACAAAGTTAATATTCCACAATATATATATAAACCAGAAATGAATTATGAATCATGGAATGGACAATATTTCTTCAACTGTAACCAATGCACAATACGAATGATTGAACGTTTTTACAAATAGATGAACCAATTCATGAGGAGATTTTGCTTTCAGTTGACCAACCGATGATTTTCCAAGATTTCTTATAACAAGATGCGAAGTGAATTTGACTACAAGCTTATCAAGAAATGTGAATTATTATCCATTCAGTGTAATGTTTATTTCTTCTACAAGTAATGTAGTTAATGGATAACTCAGGTGTGGAATACTAATTTATTGTTCAATGCAAAATTATAGAGTTACATTGAGTACTTCATTTCCAAATCCTACATCACTTATCCTTACATCATTCATGATTCTTCCACCTCTCAATCCCTTCATGCTTCCCTATTCTGTTTTATTCAGTGCTATTTTCTCAAGCTTCTTTTGAGAGACATTCAACTTGTGATTGGTTTACATACTAATTATGTAGACAGGGTAAGTAGAATACATTACAGTAAATCTTATGAGTTTGAGATAAGAGTCTTTAGCATAAACTTGATAAGGAAATAATAGAATGTAACCAAATATTTATAAAACCGAACAGAAAATGTCTCGTTATTAGTAATATTGACTAGTTAAACCATAAATGACTGACTTACCTCGCTCTTCACAGGTTTTCCCGATCCAACATGTATTACATACACACGTTCCATTAATGCAGTGACCATTAACACAGCTCCTAGTCAAAAAGATTGTGTATTGCGGTCTTATACACACAGTAATTTAGAATTTGTACATAGTGAAATTTGTTATGCATGTTTCAATAACTTTAGTTTTAGTGCATGAAGCCGACTTGCGAAAAAGAACATTATTATGCTAATAAAGATCAGTTATTTGAGTCTGAAGATGAGATATCAAGGTGTATACTTAGTACAACAAACTTTTATCGTCACATCAGCTAAATATACCGGAATTCGTACTATTTGGATATGACCTGACCATCCCAAAATCGTAATTTGATGAATATCTCTGCATAGTGTAGTACTTCTACAAATTTCTTCATCTTGCAAAGTCGATAAATCGAAACTAAGAGTAAAGAGCTTTGAATATGATTTCAATACGAAATCGCTGACTTTAGTTTCTACACAATCAACAACAGATCGTTAAGGTTTAGGGTTTGTTCATTCAGTTCAACCATAAACGAAAGCGAAAATAATGCCAATAAATATCCTGAAATTCTTGAGAATTGTGCTCATCTTACCTTTAACCACTATTCTTATACACTATTGATGTGATATTCCAAACAAACAGAAGCGTCAGCAAACATGCTTATATCAAGATAACGCATTAGCATTAATGGCTGACTAAAGATTAACTAAGTTCCATCCTTATTTTAGACAGTCCAAATATTTTAAATTGCTTTTTGTATATTACTGGACAGTTTTCGCACTTACCAAAAATATTATGATTATTAAAATCAATAATCAGTGAAGCTATTTCCGAAAAAGAAACTGATTTGTTAAAGTTCACAATCAAGCAACTGAATTTATGGATACACTATATCGAGAAACTTTATCTTCAGCACTGTCTTTCATTGAAGGTTATGTAAGAAGTTATATCATTCAACTGAAATGTCTCCAGGCCAATACTCTTAATTAGTTTAGAACCGTCATTTAAACTAATCAAGTCGAGACGTGTTTAGTAGTTATGATTACTTTCATCTGTTCTATGGGCTTTCTATGTGTTAGCTTCTAGAGGTGATCCTCTCCTCATTTGATTTTTTACCAAGTAGTTGCCTGTCTTTAAATAGACTGAGAATATGTTTGTGGTTAGTTTGCACAGTAATAATTTGCAATTTAGTTCACGTATATCGAATGGTAGAACAAACCTGTTTGGGATGTAGTATTGATACAGAAAATTGAAGATATTGCTCTACTACTTGTTTGTAGCATAGTTTAATTTGACTGTGATTATAGTTGACCGCTGCTTCTATCATTTGAGTCATATTAGTTCAATTGGATTAGTGATTGTGAATTCTAGAGATAAATAGTTAACAAACGATGTCTATACTGTATACCACAAGTGAAATAAATGTCTTGTCACTGCTCAATAGAAATAATTATACCACATTTTGTGTTACTTATGTATTTAAATCACACAGAAATTTGTTAGGTGGTTGAAGATAGTCGGTAGGAAACGCTGGTTGTGTGTTATTCGGTGCTTGCTAGTAGCTAAGTAAACCATAAATTTAGGTCACCACTAAGAACTAAACATAAATGTTATTAATGATTATTCGGTAACCAATCACTTCTGTTTATTAATAAGCCTATAATCAACAAAGGACACTTAAAGAGAATCATATAAATATTTATTACCATCACGACTATGATCATAAACCATTAATATTCTTTCAACAGACTTACGATGAATTATTTTCACACAATTTTGTGGATTGTTCAAATGACCCATGAATTACTGAATGCAATATATTAGTTTAAACCTAAACAATCATTCATCAACTTACAAACAGTATGAATCAGTATAATGATCAAATCTGTTGGAATTCTTTGATAGACGATCATAATGTATGAATGTGAAAATGTAAGTCAAACGAAGGTAATGATAATGATGATGAGATTTTTGGGTTAAACTTTGTTTAAAATATTTTCGGATGATTTAACTAATTTCAGTCAGTAGCTAAATTAATTTCAAGTAAAGCTGAATTCATTTAAATAGTTGCAAAATATGTAGTCGTTTCAGCCAATCAGAATGCAGTCACTGGATTTTGGGTAGTTACACCTATTTATTCTAATCCCTAATAACAAACGAAACCTGATGACAATCCACATATTTGTCATATGAATGAATTTTTGAACAACAAAAAACTTGAACACTCCAATAGCAACAATTATTCCTACATACTCTTATACTGACCAAAAACATGAAGATGATTAACAAGTCTTTAGTATTTTGGTCGATAGTGAGTTGAAAGTATGAAGTGAACCTGAGACGAAACTGTAATGAATTGTACTACTTGCAAAGTTGTCCTTAAGGTAAATGAAAAAACCTAACACTTTGGTAACCAGGTGATTGAAAATAACAATGTTATACGTTGACTTAATAAGTGAACAATACAAAATGGTGTTCTATAATAGGTCGTTGATATCATGTTTTATTTAACCCAACAATGGCTCTTTACTGAAACAAATCATATCTGTCATATTGTAATAAAGCATTGTTATTATTAGCGTGCACGTAATTTAAGGACAACAAATTGAATGAATATAAGCTACCGGTATTTAAGCTTTTCTATTGTCTATCTGGTTCTTTCACTATTATTTTGATTATGTATAATACGTTACGGAGACATAGTAGTTAAAGTGAATTAACTCTCCGTGTCACAGCTTGGAATTATTTGTAATAAATAACTACAATACAGAACAAGAATTAAGGTGACGTACCAACATGTTAAACGTACCCTTTATAATAGTGTGGTTGCTTTTAATAATTCAACTAAAAAATGTATTTATTTATCGAATTAATTACAGTCAATTAGTTCGCACTGTTTTATTCCGAGTTTGATTTTCTCAGATGCACCAATATAGTCAAACTAAGAGAAATGTTTTCCAGTCAAAGGTGTTGCTATCACATGTCTCATTGAAAACACTAAGTAATGAAACAACAGTTTGCATTATTGCTCAGTTCGAGTTACTGGATATACCATAGATGACCACAATTCTGTGAAATAGGGGTAGAAAATGACTATAAAGATCAAGCTATGTTTAGCACTGCATTTGTGAAAATATTTAGACAAATTTATGCGAATTTCCCCAGTAAGCAATGGTCACGAAATAGGTGACGACAAAATTCTCGACCGACATGGCTTTCTGATACGCTACTTGTCTCATAAAGACGTGATTTGTTAGAACAAACAAACAGCTAAATATTACATACAAAATTAATTGACAATATGAAAAACACAACCTGAACTTCGAATGCATGTGATCTGTTTCCATACATGTTCACCATTGCTGACAAATCACTGTCGAACATCTGAAACACGTCCAATTAGATGTGCTTTTTCAAATCCACTCGTTTGTGTATGATTTTCTACTGTCAAATCTCATTTTCAGATTTAGCAGTTCAGAAGTCCACATTGTCAAGGGATTTTAGGCTGTACATCTTAATCTCAGTCCAGATATTTTGTTTCTTTCTATTTATCATTTTATATGCATATAGTCAGGACTACTTACCTAGGCAGTAGGACGGAAGTTTCATAAACCACAAAATTGCATTTTATAGAATCCAACACCTGAGTAGTACTGATTAATCCTAACGTTTCCAATCACAATAACCTAAAAGCTAATCAAAATCCAATTTACAATTTCCCACTAAGTAACAGTGGCTCTCCGCTTTCACATGTTTTGGAATATGATTATATTTACAGAATTAAAGAAACCAGGGCATTTGTATGCGTTTTTTAATCGACATTTATTCTTAATCGAGTCTGGTTATTAGGATGAAGGAAGTGAATAGTACTTTTGAAGTGTACCCCTCGTTACCACTCCTATTAATTGTACTAAAAAAATTAGGATAGAATTAAGCAGTAATATGTAGACATTTGATCCCCACAATCAACTATAATATTCCTAAAACAGATCTAAGAATAGGTCCATTATTCACAAATTAGATAAATAAAAAACATTTTGCTTCCATAGAAATTGTGCTTAACAAAACGGAAGTTTTTTGTACTGCATAGACAGGTGTCAACATTTTTGCCTTATCACTTTTTCTGTCTATTAATTCCACATCTCGATGTATTGTTAACAATAAGGAGAGATGAATTCGTAAAAGGTTGACCCCGTAAAACGAAAGTGGAGTGGTAAACTAACTACTGGAGATCATGTATTGATTGGAGTTATACATTAATCGTGGGTACGCACTGCTGAGGAGTCACATACTAGGACCGAATAGCTGTCCAATGCTCACAGGTTTACAATTGTGATCTAACATCGATCGGTTTATGATTTTAATTAATTGTAAGTAATTGACATTCATGTTTGTGTTGATCTAAAATATCAGTTGAATGTACATCTATGAATACATTAATCCTATGTTTGTGTTGAAATTAAACATGTTGTGCATGTAGTTTTTCTTTTTCAGATATTAAGATGAGAAACATATTATTGAATAAGTACAGTACATAATTGTATGAGTGAGGAAAATCTATATTAATTTGTGAATTTGCCAAGCAATTTTTAAATTCGGGATTATAAAACATTTTCTTGCTAATTGTGTAACTCTTTTCATACAACGTGGTAATTTCAGTCTTGATATTTTTTAAACATAGGCATTTACTACAACTCTTACAAATACTTGGACTTTAATTTCTCCAAGTGCCACTGATGTATATAAACAAATGTGTACTGGAGGACCGTTTGAATTTAATTTCAATATGTGTCTGATTGAAAGACGTTGTTCATTCTTTACATATTGGATCAACAGAATTGTGAATGGTAGTGCAGCTCTTAATGTCACAAATGTAGTTGTATATAAAAGTGGTTCAGATGTGTGGTTCTCAACCTCATTCTCTATAAATTTGACATCTGAACGTAGGTTAGTTTAAACTGATTAAATCCTACGTTGTTGTCCATTAATTGTTTTATATGCTACTGTAACTAGACTTACTTACTTACTTGCTTACTTACTTACTTACGCCTGTTACTCCTCGTGAAGGAGCATAAGCCGCTCACCAGCATTCTCCACCCGACCCTGCCCTGGGCAATCCTTTCCAGCTCCTTCCTGTTGTTATTTATCCTTTTCATATCTGCTTCTATTATCCGACATAATGTGTTCTTAGGCCTTCCTCTTTTCCGCTTCCCTTCAGGATTCCAAGTTAGGGCTTGCCTCGTGATGCAGTTTGGTGATTTTCGTAATGTATGTCCTATCCATTTCCATTGTCTTTTCCTGATTTCTTTTTCAGCTGGAAGCTGATTTATTCTCTCCCACAAAAGGCTTTTGCTGATGGTATCCGGCCAATGGATGTTAAGTATCTTGCGAAGACAGCTATTTATAAATACTTGTACTTTCTTGATTGTGGTTGTTGTAGTTCTCAAAGTTTCAGCTCCATACAATAAAACTGCCTTGACGTTCGTATTGAAGATTCTCACTTTGATATTGATTGAAAGTTGTTTTGAGTTCTATATGTCCTTAAACTGTAGGAATGCGACCCTTGCTTTGCCAGTCCTTGCCTTGACGTCTCCATCTGAACCTCCTTGTTCATCGATGATGCTTCCCAGGTATGTGAAGGATTCTACATCTTCCAGAGATGGGTGGCACTAAACAGACTAGGAAATCCTATTTACTCATTATGCCAACTAACGTTCGTGGTACGTTGAGTGAGAAATTGATTCCATCAGAAAACGTCTTGCTAGAACCTATTGTAAAAATTTTATTTTCCTTCTCCTCACCACCCATCTGTACCTTCTTCAAAATATATAGCTATTTCAGATCAATTCATGTTGCATAATTTTGATAAAACATATTTTGATCCAGAAGAAGTTTTCCTAGATTTATCAGTCTGTCAGAGATTACGAGATACGGTTTGTTACATTCTCGTTGCCTATCACTTATACTTGAAGAAAGAGGAACCACTACTATTCACACGCCGCAAAATAGGAACGAAACCGACTGGGACGAGTGAAGATGCACCCACTTGAAAACACGACAAACAAAGTCGGAAATGCCCTCACTAGCATATTGATTTGTAACTCCATTTGATTATTGATTACAAAATAGCCACATATGAAAAATGTTCAGAATCATGACAAATACTACACCGACTAATCACCATACCAAATTAGAAACAGAACTAATGTTGAATAGAAATCACAATGAGTGGGAAATGTAATTTTGTCTTCTCATGCCGTCATATCACGGCTCGCACATATTTTATACACAATAAACACTTTCTTCGCGTTTTTCGATTGTAGAATTGAATGAAATATGTCTTGCACCAAAGTACAGAAAAGTTTCTATATTCTAGCTGATAATTCATAACTCACACACACCTAAACTGCCTTCATATATTTCAACGAGATTTTATTTATTAAAACCGAGAACTTTCCTAAACGATAATAGAATACGACTAAACCTCAAACTGACTGTCCTTAGATCTTTGCGAAACGCAGTACCTCAAGAATCAGCGCTTGTATAAATGCTATCTCATGTATATATATATATATATATATATATATATATATATATATATATATATATATATATATATATACGAAAACTATATGGATTTTTATTCAGGGGATGAGACTTGCAATATATGCAGTTTAAATGTCTAGTTACCAAAAGAACTTCCGATAGGAAAGTTAATTTATCTCCTAATATTGGATATTCGAAATTCATATGCAAACCGCAATCCAATATATTCCGTTCTAAGCTCATACCAAAAGCTTCGAAATGAAAGTTAAGTCATCTTAGACATAGAAGGTCGCATCAGATTTTATCAATTTTCCAAGTTCTTACTTTGAGTTTGTGAGCAATTTAGTTTCTTACATTTCCAAGGGACGAGTTGGTTCCTACGGTCATTGTTCGTTCAAACTAATTATTCTTTAAAACGGATGCACAAACTAATTGATGGAAGCTTTCCATACCCCTTATTCTAGTTCAGAAATCGTCGAAAATGTGAGAAGTTAACATACATTCACAAGCGAATTTCATAACTGCGGAGTGTCTCATTCTTCACAGAGTGGGATTCCGGACAATAAATGCTTTTAATAATACAAGTAGGTATGTACATGAATTTCGTCAGATTTCATCTTTTATCTAGTGATTATACATTTAGAGCCAATCCTCGGTCCATTTCAAGCAATCCCAAATTATTTCAAATCCTGGATCATACGCAATGCACAATGTTGACAAGATAGAGCTTCCACTTGCACGGTTATAAGCTTTGAATTTAATAATACCTGAGCACAGAGACCAATCGATCCCTTGAAATGACTTCACAGTGATAATGGACTGTGTTTACCCTTAATGAAAATAGTTTCCAGGTAATACAAATTCAATTGACGTAATAACTCTGAAATTAAATGTTTTTCAATAGGTGAGGTTAGTTTGGTCATTATAAAAACCAGTTAGAAGCACCAATTCTCAAAAAATAATATACATCTGACATCCATATTGCTTTCCTTAACAGTTTATTCCAACAATTTCAACAAGAGATATAAACTCATATCCGTAGAATTGTCATTAACTATTGAATGAGATTTTAGTGACTTCACAACCACGTACATGTACAAGTTTTTAGTTCGATATGACACGGTCACCAACTAGCATTTATATACGTTTCACATTTGGATTTCTCTCTTGCAATCATTTAGCATGGAATAACGTTTAACTCATTTCTTGTTGGAATTATAGTGACTTTAAAACAGTACAAATCTTCACTTTGTAATTTCATCATTTACTCAAATGCATGGTTTTTGTGCCGTCATTCCACGACAGAGAATCTAGTCTAGGCCTACCATAAAGTGTGCAGTCATTTTGCTTTTCACTTTTACAGAGCATTACATGACATCACTACGAATTTTAAAATCAAACTAACTATTCACTGAAACGGAACACACTTCGAAATTCGGTTCTTACATTGGCGAGTAACAGACCCAAAGGTTTGACTTTCAACTATTTTGTTACTCAAATGATATTTGTTTTCATCAAAGCAAAAGAAACTGAAGTTTTACAAGCATGTAATCAATTAAAAATAGGTAAATTTTTAGATGAATAATGAGACAACAGTATAAATAGAAATTAACTGACAACTACATAATCGTATACAACCTGAATCTAACATAACTTAAATTCACCAGTGTTTAAGCAATGTTCGTATTTCCGGTGGAGATAATTGGTTGGTTAAAACAGCTTGATTTTTGGGCATGTGTAAGTCCAATTAGCTAACAACATTTGGTTGGCATAGATTTGGTTGATGCAAACTAAAGGTAAATTATATGAAAACAAGTAAGATTATACTGTTCTGAACGTAATCACGTATGAGACCTACTTACTGATCTCCACGTTATGTGTTGATTGTGATGGACAAACTTTATATCCAAATAATCAAAATTCTATTGAAGTAAGCTATTTAAGTGAACATATATTTGTTTGTTAATTATCATAAAAAGTAAAAATATGTCATTTGTGTTTATACACAATACTATGTTTTTATCAATTCCACTGGTTTTATCGTATGTTTAATAAACGAACTAGATTATCGAATGGATAAACACTGTTTATCAATATCCACTAATTTCAAAAGAGTGAATGAATCTCAATGTGTAAAAACAATGGAAATTATATCACTTGTGTTTGTAGATTATGATAATGTGTCCTCATTCAGTTATGAATCTTAACTACAGAAACTGACTCAAATAGCGACATATAAAGGAGGGTAGTATGACAAACATGCAGTACTAACGGTGTGAGTAATACTGTTTACCAAGAAGGAACTACACACTGCATTTACTTGTAAAGCAATTTGCAGAACAATTCATTGAATTCACCATTAGCACATCTTCCTTGAATTATCTTTTACAGACTTCTTTGTTCTTTCATTCCTGTTATTACTCCACCTCCTTTTGTTTTTCTTTCCTTGCTACGCATTTTTCACTTCTGTCTGTAAGGATCCTACTTCCAGTTCCTGAAACATTCTACTTATATCTGTTCATATAAGTAGAACACAACCCACACCTTATCTGGCTGCACGACCATTTTTCAGTGCAGTTCTACAAATTCAAAGGGAAACCTGTGAAGAGTCATAACCCTGAACATTTAACTGATTGTGATCATTGAACTAACACACATGTTGGTTTTATGACCGTTTATGGAATCCTTCCAAATCTACCAGGATCCTCAATACAAAAGAAGCTTTAGTTATCCACTAGAGGAACTCTGAACTTTGTACGCAAATGGAGTATTTCCTAGCTTATCAATTACCTTGTCCTTAACTCATTGTAATTATCTGATTTTCATTTCACAAATGTCAAATTTTTTATTAAATTATCCATAATTTTATCTCACATTTGTTTCACTTAATCCTTCTAGCACCTTCAACTATAAAAGCAAAATATATCAGATATCCTACTTTACTCTGACTGATCCAACATCAGTTCATTCGCTTTAGGTTTTAGTTTATATTTGTACGTTCAATTAAACAGAGTGATGATATTTTCGCTGAAATTTGTAACTCTATATCCCTTACCATTCCATTGTTCAGCCACTGGCATCTTGCAAAATGACTCGGACAATGTATTGTCAATTGATCCAGTTGATGAAATCCATGGTACGACACTTGCTGTGATGATTTCAGTTGACGTATTCAAAGTTCTTTGATACATGAATGAGTTGATTGAAATCCATGTTTTACCCAAATCCTTACTCATCATTACACCTCCACCATTTGCCCCCAAACCGAACAATATGCCAAGTGGATTTGTGTATGCTATAATCTGTTCAACAAATGGTCCCATGTCTAAAAATTAAAAGTTAGGTATAATAAGATTTCCATTATTCGTATCAGAGTATTACTGAACAGAATGTTTGCCGAATATGTTTCTCGTAAATTCGTACTAAGAATATCTCCAATCAGTGAAATTTGAAATAACTTCAATGAACATACAATGTGAAAATCATTTCTTACTGAAGGTCTTTTCTACCACTTTGTTAATTCGATCCTTCAAAAATCTGAATCAATTTGGAAATGTTCTTCATTTACATAACGTTTTAGCTTGTAGATTTGGATGTTTATGCCTAATATTTTGTATTCATAAATAATATAATTAAATTTCACTCAGATAACAGACTAAAAAGGAGACTATTTCTCATTTTTGTCAGAGTAATATGTCATTACATCAAGCGGTTAGAATTTATGTAATCAGATGCTGAATTCAGAGACAATTTTGTAACATTAGAATGTTCGCTAAAGCCTCATGTGATGTTTAGTAATCATTGTGGATGAGATGATGAAATAGTGGTTGTTTATTAATGACCAAATAGCAAGTTTGAAAAGTCTAAATATGTATGTTCCTAAGAAAGTCAATATCCGTATCATTGTTTACTTCGAACTTTGGTTAGACTAAAATAGTTCGCATATCCAGTATATTCAACATTAGCTAACACAAGAAGCACCACAGAAGCAATAAATGGTTTTCTATTTAGAAAGGTCGAATTTTTTATTCTAACAAAGAAACATCCTTCAATTTATTTGTCTCAATCATCTTGAGATGCTAAAACATCTTTAGATAATCGAGAAGGTAATATATTTCGATTCTAACCCACTAAAACACACAAAGATATAGATTAGATGTTGTGTATATATATTGTTATTTGTTAATTTATTAATGAATGAAGGCTAACATTATGGTGAAAACGATAATGTAATGCTCACAACTTGGAGAAATTCAATTCGTCAAGCTTAGAGTTGTTATGTATTTCTGTCGAAATGAATATTATTGCAACGAATCCCTGAATAAACTTAGTCTTTCAACTATAAATAATAGCATTCGACTAATAACAAAACTGAAATTTCTATGATAACCTACCGATCCATATTCTGTCAGGTAATTTGCTAATCATGAAGCAACGTCTTTCCAAACCAAATGACCCCTTCATATTAAATGCGCGTCCACAATAAAACAGACGATCACAAACACTTAAGAATGTATCTGACTGACGACTAGGCAACGGCACAGCAGGATTCCGCAATGCCTTGTAATGAGGTAAATCACATGGATCTGAATACAGAAGTTAACATCAAGACTAATGATTATTATCCACCACAGCATAATAATTTGGTACTTGTTACTGGTCCATTTCATATGATTAACATTATATGCGTGAACCGTTTTGTCGAAGATGAAACAAAAGGATACTCAATAACATTCATTAACATATGATGGTCTTGTAACATGTCCAAACCTATTCACTCAAAAAAGTATGTGTACATCATCCTATAGTTCGATGATGGATAGTAAATTTATTTAGAATCCACCTTTGTATTGTTTTATGAAAGTTCTCATGTGTGTATCCAAACATGAGAAACTTAAATCTCCCCCCCTCCCTTAACCGTTCAAAAACAGGCTGCTGTACCTACATTAAACCTACCATAAAAATATCAGTTTTGATTTACTTTCCAAAGTAGCGTGACTATTGTCTTTTTTTATTATCTCGATTGCTCTATATCCTTTCCTCCAATTGACAAGGCAAATTACGATGAAGCAGTTAAGAACATATTGTGCTAATATATTGTATACTTCTAAATAAAAATTAATGGATTCTGATGTGTATATTTTATTCAATAACTATTACTGTTGATTTTCTAAGTTGGTTGGTACCATGCGCTTGAGAGTTATGCAACTAATGTTACGCCATATGAACATTCATTATTGAGAATGATCATCATTGACATTAATACACAATGATCGTAGATCTTGTTTGAAACTCTGAACTGCTAAGTATTTGACTATAAGAGGAATGTGCGGAATGTTACTTACTACTCAATTTATCGATAAATAGACTAGAAGTTCAAGCAAATAGTAAACCGTACTTGCAGTGCACAGAATGTTTTGAGAATATTTAAGATTTTGTCAAGATTTCTTCAAATGCATTTGGTTTTCTGTCTGATCTTCATCTTTGCATAAGTAGATTACTCCTGTCCTTATATTTTTGTAATATCAGTCGGTTGACTATCGGTGACACTACAACACTCAGTTATACGAAATTCTTAACAAAATGGAAAGACTCTGAATTATTTACAAATTTTGGTAAAATTAACAGTCTGTTTAGTAAACTGATGAGATTCGAAACACCTGGACAGACTACGTTGCATTGCATAGTTGTGTTGTCTAAACAACCAAGATCCTTGACTTAATGTGAGAAATTTCGATTTTTCTAAATCCTCTTGGCCAACACGGATAAATGTCTTAATTAATGTGAATAAATCTTATCAATCTTATTCTTTACAATAACATATTTACCACTGAATGTTTCCATGCTAAGAAATTATCCATACATTTGTCGACACAACTGGTTCTTAAAACCAAGTTGGGTTATGCTGATTTTATCATAGTTGGAAAGAGAAAGAACAAAGATTTTGCAAAATAACATGAATTCATTTTATTTAGTAGGTTCTCGTCAGCAGCTTGCAACCTTTGATATTTAAAATTATAATGACATAATGGATTAAAGTTACTTACATGAAAGAGTTTGGTTGGAAGTTAAATTGAAGACATATTCGTATAGTATAGCAAGGGAGGATCACCTGATGTCCTGTTTCAGGGAGATGTTTGGTGATTGTACTGTTTAGAGTCTTTCATTCCCTTGTTCTGAGACGTTTTGGAACATGTTCACCGAAAGTTCGCAATCATGACGCTCCCCTTAGACCTATCTTATCAATGATCAACACACCATATCATAAAGTTGCACGCTGGTTAGCAGGAAATGTAGAACCGGCCCATTGGAGATTAGCAACATATACATTAACACGTTCATCCCAGTTTACTGTGTTAAACCAATCATATTTGGATGTTGTTTTTGTAAAGTAGGATAACATAAGTCAGTTAAATGCGAATCATGTGACTTTTTGGAACATGTTCACCAAAAGTTCACAAACATGACGTTCCTCTTAGACCTATCTGACGAGCTGACGAGAACCTACGAAATAAAATGAATTCATGCTATTCTGTAAAATCTTTGTTCTTGCTATTTCAAACTATGATAAAGGAAAATATGTGCATGAAAATTCATCATAGTTGTAAGATTGCTTTTGGGTAAAAAGTAAGATGTGAAAAAGTTATCAAAAAAGTGGATTTCACTTATCAACCGGTGAATAAATTATATGACATAAACGTATTTTCCATGTTGCATTCACAAATCGGTAGCCATAAATAGTTTTTAAATAATATACACAAATAAAACTCACATGAGTATGTATGGTAGTCAAGTTCTACATGTATATGAGATCTAAATTTGTAAAATTTTGATCTTACACAGCCACTAAAGACAGAAATGTTGCGTTCATACGGTTTACATACAACTTCGATTAGAACTGGGTACTTCTCAACAGATGTCCGAGACGATTTGAATTTCAATCGAAAGATAACTGCATAGCTTTTACCAAAGTACAAATGACCGGTCTAAATAGAGGAATAAAAGAAGTGATGACTAACAAGTGTTGTTTCTGAACAAATTGGACGTATATAAGTAGTTCAAATGATTTACAAATATTGGGTCTTTTTTTTCAATCCAACCATAAGTCTAAGCTAATGTTAAAAAAACCACACATATATCGGTCTATCAAGTGTCTTCAAAATAAACTGCCTAGAATAAGGTTAAATGAATAATTGTGAATCTCAGAACTGAATATAAACAATTCCATTTCATAGTATTATATGAAAAACTTAAGAATACAAAGACTACAGCTTCGGTTTTACACGATACAAATGATTTAAAACTGACATATGTAAATCTGTAGTAAATTGGTTTTCCTAAAATGTCAAATAAGTTCAGCTAAAAACGGACATAGAACATTACAGTAGGATTTCTATTGATTATTGTCAAACACGATGTATGTAATGGAAATATTGTATCGTGGCCGGGTTCGGTTTTAAAAATATTATCTCTTTGACTGTGATCAAATTTACCATGCCGTTCAATTAACCAATTTCGCATGCAGACTGTTATTTAAGACCGTAATAATTTTCTTATAAATATATGTCTTCATGCTTGTATAAAGTAGTATTTATGACTGACCTTTTGTGAGAGCCCACGCATTTATTCCTCTTATTTGCTTAATTTATAATTGCTTAAATCTCTTGAATCTTCACATACGCATGCATATATGGTGGTTTGTTAAGCAGCACTCATTAATTGGTCTTGATCGCCTTGTGCTTATCAGTTGTTCTATTTAAGCGTTGCCTAAAATACGCTATTGGCACTAATTTATTATTTGGCCTTCTGGAAATAATACCCCTTCAAGGAGTTATAATGACGACGGTTATCCGGCCGATTATTAGAAATCGATAACGCCGACAGAATGTTTTACTTTAAACAATAATTTTCTAGTAGAAATCTGACGGGTCATTTCAAGTCTGAAAAATTGGTTATCTAACTCACAAGAATGCTACATTTTGAAATTTAAATGATACTTCATTTTCGAATAATTTGGAAACATTAATATACAGCTATAAATACCAACCAGTTATTCATTTTAGAAAACTTATGTGAAGTTATTTCCCAAAATAGAATTCAGTTCATGTGAGAACTTGAAAAACTGTTTGCAAATCTTTAATAATATTTTACAAATGACATGAATGTTACCAAAGATTGAAAACAAATCACAACAATCGGAAGCAAACTATTTCTGCTTGTCAACCAATTCAATGCCTTACGTTCCTTTCGTTTAATACATTTTACGTTTACCATATTCGAATCTGTGAAATTTTGTGATTTAACTTCAATATGCAACAAAACACATAAGCTTACTGTGAACTGAACCGATTTGGATACTGGATTTAAAGCAGTTTTCAATGTTATATCATCTGTATTCCCCGTTTTATTAAGTACGTCAATTGACTGTATCTGTGGACTGAGATAGAATATTATTGACTGTCTTTCGCATTCCAATCCGGTACCGTTCATCATTTGAACCAGAGTTTGAAGATAAACTACATCCTGTGTACAGCATTAGAAATAAACAATTTGAAAATAAAGTATTGAAACAAGCTACCCTGGTTACAAAATGTGGTAGTAATTGTACTACAAATAGATAATGTAAAATATCATATTGACTGAGTATTGTGCACAGTTGTTTTTACGGATCGATTTAGAGGTCTAAAAATGACTAAGTATTCATCAAATAACTTGAATTATACTCCACACTACATTTGGTCACAAATTCACGCTTTTATTGCGACCAGCGAAGTCCAGTGCATGTCGGATGTGAGGAAAGTACTCATCAGAGACAATGGGAGGTCGTAACGCAATCTCGCTACTTGATTAGACATGTACATCATTGGATATATATGTGTGCAGAAATCGAAATGTTTATGCTTGAATAACTGACAGATTTCAAGATATAGAACACTCATTGAATATCCTCTAAATACATGAGTTGCATTTCCTGAAGATAGAATTACCTTACTTGTCTTGATGTTCTTTTTTCTGAAATACAACTACACTTTTGTAAGGCTTTGTTGTTTGATCACTTACCCGATTAATCAGATCACTTAAATCTTCACGCGTCCTTAACCATCTCCGTATTCTGTTAAACAAGCAGTGTCATCATGAAGATGTTTTAAATGAAAGTGTAATAGTATTAATAGAAGGTGTATTGTTGATACCTTCTAAAAATGAGGAAGATTAGAAAGGCATGTTTGATATCTGATTAAAAACGAACAAACGATATTTCTGATGATCAGAGTGTTCTGTTAAATAATTTACAGTTGGCTATACAGTTGACTGGATTGATCCACATGAAACGAAATTACTAATGCTAGTTAGGTTTACTTTTGGTATTATTCCATAGGTTTGGAAATCATATGGTTCAACATATCACAAACCATCCATAAATGGGACTCTATTTATATGACATATAATTAGTAGTAAATTTTGAAACAAATCACGTCTAGTAGAGGATAAATTTTATAATTTTGCCTTGAGATATATTTCATATAAGTAACAAATAAAGGTCAGACAAATTATCACAGCCATTGTATCCTCTCACATTTGATTCTTTCAATCATTATATTTTACGCATTCACCTCATAATGCTTCTGACCAGCTAGAATTCGGCTAAACAAACAGATCGAACAGTTTTAGTATGAACTATGAACAAATAATTGAAAACTCATTCTGAGTTAAAACAGTATTCCTTAGAATCAAAAACAGGTTAAGCCGGCGGAACAGTTGAATATATGACTTTATCAAGTTAGAAACCACTGATTTTGAACTGAACGATATAAAAGCCGAGAAACTGGAAAATTTCACATTATGCTGGTGAAGCAGAACCACACGAAATGTATTGCCTCCTGTCGCCAAAACAGTAGTTTTTATAATGGTTCTAACCTGTATAATTGATTTCGATTATTACCCTGACCAAGTGCAAACCAACATCGCGGACGAAAGGTTGGAATTATGTAGGCTTAAATCGCTGAGATGATCTCAAATATAATATTCATGCAGTTTTTACATATAACTTAAATTACTAGTGACCTGCAGAAGGTGAATAAACTCATGTGAATTAGCAACACTGTGTGACATGAATGATTCGAGTTTGACATTAATCTGTATCACAAGGTAATTCGTTTTCAAATCAAATTTTATGACATTGACTTAATGGTAGCTTGGTAGTCAAGTAACACAATAGACTGATTAAGGTATTTCTTGTGGTAGTGTTGTACAAATGGCTACGAACTGATATCATTTCATACTGATATTGACATCGTAAGTTGTAGGTGATTTACACTCGGTTTAGAAGCTGATAAATAGATCCTGAGATGCACTAGAAGACTACTTAACAGAATAATTACAATCTACTATTGTAAAATCAACTCATTTGTAATAGGGAATCAATTATATGAAAGTATAAACACGAAACGAAGGTTAGAATATTTTAAACAAACCGATCAGGGCAATCATTGGATGCAACCAGTGATAATTGAGATGGTACAACTTTAATTGAAGGTTTTTCCAAGCCAGTTCTTACACAAGTTACAGATAAGTTGGTGAGTTTTGTAATATTATTGAATTGACCAGCAAATTGCAGCAACCAGACAGTCCCATTTTCAACACTTTTACTATCACTTAACTGGATATCCACTGAAAGTATGGCAGTGTTGCGCATTAGAGGTACACTAACGGTTCCTGTAAATTGGAAATAATGTTCTCATAAATATTTCGTGCAATTTAGATTCTAGGACAATGTATTTTATGTTGAATTAATGGTAGACCATCCAAGCAACACTCTTAAATTAATTGTATGATAATATAACAAAAGGCAGAGCAGACGTTTCTGGAAATTTGTCACCCATTTGGACATCTAGAAAATGTATTGTTTCTGGCAAACGTTTCATATTGTAATCCGAGTGGATTTCAGATTACTTAAAGAAATCCTTATCACAGGTAAATGGTTATTTAACCACAGAGGGTTTGCTGAGGTTACTGAATCTCATGGATTACATCATGGATTTTGTCATGATTAATGATAGATAAATAATGATTGAAAGTCAAAAGCACTGAACGGTTGATTCGCTTTAATACTGGATTCTTTGACAGCGTACATTCACGACCCACCTGGGATAGAACACGGACTCACAGTGAGCCCCCAAAATTTAAAAAACCTAACTGGTATCCGGTGAATTCCATTTATACCATAATCTCGAAAAACTATTTGCGTAAATGAGTTTGTAAGTATCATCACCAAGGTTTGACTTGATAATTTCAAATAAATTGAGCATTGGGTAGATTGTTATAAATAAAATAATATATTTGTAATATCCCAATGAGTAGAAAAATGAGATTTTCTGACCTAAGCCTCTTCTTCAGAAAATTAATAGCCAGATTAGAATCAACCAAAAACTAATACCGCCATGGCACAACAGGAGAACTCCAAAGAATCTTAAAACAACACATAATTAAAGTATATTATAGAACAACGAACACACTTTGATATAATTTAGTTCGCTTGCAATAAATACTCTCCTTTATGTCAACAGAGAACTGTGTCTACAAATTAGGATGTGCCGATTGTGATGCTTTCGATGTTGGAAAGTCATCTTGCGAAATCTTGACTCGAACCAAAGAATATCTTAGGTACACAAAGAAACTATCGAATAATCCCGTAGAACTGGATAGACTTCAAATTAAATAGGCAATAGCAATTCACGCCATTTTCAACAACCACCAAATCGATTTCAAAAACATCAAAATATTACAAAAGGGTTTTTCCAAATATAAAGAATGCAGAGTAGCTGAAGCCTTCCATATAATGCTTAGTCCTACCGCTCTCAATACAAATGAAGACCTCAATAAACATCCAACTTGGATTATCTATCCATGACATCTGCTTGTTCAGACCTGCTTCTTATTGATCGCACATACTTTCTTGCGTTGTTCCTTTGTACTATTTAAACCTGGATTAATTTTAATTTTGTTATTAATTCTCTGAAGAAGTGGCTTACGCTGAGTCACGAAACGTCAGAAAATCTCATTTTTCTACTCATTGGGATATTACAAATGTATTAATTTACTTTTATTTGCATAAACATTTAATTTTGTTCTGAATTGTAGGATTATCGTGGCAACTAAGTAGCTGATTTGTTGTCTAAAAAGATAAGGAATATGAATCCCATTCATTAAAACTAAATTTAATGGTCAACTCACCGATATTAGAGATATTTTCAAAGTGAATTATCAAGCGATCGATTAGGCCTGTCTGATTATTTGGCTTATAGGTAGATGAATAAACAGTTGTCAGTGGGACTAAATTTGAACCCAAGCTTATTCTGAAATCAATAACACTTATTATGGTCTCATTGTTATCGTTTGCTCCACCTCCACTAATTTCTACAGACGAGTTTGGATAAGTGGAATTCAATGGAAATATATACTTCACAGTAATAGTTGTTCTTTCACCTGGCTGAAGGTTAACTCTGATTGGGAGTAATTCGACCAGTATCTGAAAGGAAAATAATTGAAGTCATATTATCGCAATAATAGTTGAATGTTGCTGAAACTTCGAATAGTTTTGTAGTTCAAATTTCCCAAATACTTTCTGTTATTTGCGGACGAGAATAAATGAATGGTAACAGTTAGGAATTATTTATGGATTAATATTATATGTATATTCTAATTGTATGACTATTAAGTGATTATATATATACATTCATATTCCTCTTATTATAAGCTTTTATTTAACCAATAGACTATTATTATACGATTTATCATTCTTAAGTTATGTCAGGTTTATTGATTGCAGTCTCCCACAATCACAGCTACTTTTGGCTTGATCTTGTCCTATTCCTGAGAGTTACAATATCTTCAGTCAAAAGAGTTATGAGGCCTCATTGTGATGGTTAAGTTCCTTCAGAAGTTACGAGGCTGATGCCTTTTCTGACAACCAGAGCAACCATTAATTTAGATACGTGGAACGCTCGTACAACGTGGGAAACCGGAAGAGTCATCCAAATTACTGCAGAAATGAAATAGGTTCCAGGCCTTTCATGATCTACTCAATAGAGGGGGAACTACCATGGAGAACAACTTGAAAGGGATCAAGGAGTCAATCACTTCAACATGTTGTAGTGACCTACTTTTATCAAGAGAACGCGATTGATTTGATGGAAACAATTATTATTATAACCAATTGTACCAGTGATTGTTTTACTGTGCTAAAGACAGCCATATTCCTACTCCACTACTCTCCATTACTTTTCCGCGGATTGTGACCTTGTACGTTCGTACACTTGCCCGCTAATTCCACTTGTACCCCTTTGGCACGATTTCGGCATCCTTCGATACCACGAGATCGCCAACGAATAAATCTGGTTACGTTCAATCTTCGCCTTCTGATTTATTTGATACGCGTTTCCCTGTAGTGGTGCTCATAGTCAAACTCGAGTCGACACCACGCTACAATGTTATGAGGTTCTGAGCCACAAGAAACACCATCGCGAAGAATGAATCACTGTTGATACACTGTATAAGATTCAAAAAATGAGGAACAAGAAGGCAGCAATCAATATCAGCCAAGGCACAGGCTGAATACACAGAGGCGAACAAGCAAGTAAAGAGAAGCTTCAGAGCCGACAAACGTAAATATATGGAAGATCTAGTAATGAAGGCGGAAAAAGCTGCAGCAGAAAAACGACTGTAAAGGAGAAGGATTGGGCATGGAACCAGCAAAACCATCCAATAGAAAACAATACTGCTAAAGACCTAACCGGATTAAACAAATAAAAACATTTAGATTCAGTTCTCCGAGTTGAAGGAAGAATTATGATGCCTGAAGAACAGAGAAAATCAAGGCAAAAACTGAATACGTTGAAGCAAACAAACAAGTGAACATGAGCAACAGAGCTGACAAGCAGAAATATATGGAATCCCTAGCAACGACAATGGGAAATGCTGCAAGAGAAGAAAATAACAAACAACGATATGACACGACGTAAAAACTAACAGGGAAATATAATAAACCAGAGAGACTGGTCAAGGACAAAGGATACAAGTCAATCACTGAGATTCAAGAACAGAGCAAGAGGTTGATAGAAAACATTGAGGTACTCTTGAATAAGCCAGCTTCACTGAATCCACCGTACATCGAAACAGCACACAAAACCATCCTACGGATGTCAGTCCACCAACAATAGAAGAAATTAGGATGACCATCAGACAAATCAAGAGTGGGAAAGCAGTAGGACCTGACAATATACCAGCTGAAGCACTGAAGTTGAACATAGAAGTAACTGCAAACATGAGCCACATTCTATTCAGGAAAACTTGCGAGGAAGAACACGTGTCGACAGACTAGAAAGGAGGAGACCTCATCCAGATGTCAAAAAAAAGAAATTTGAGCAAATGTGAGAACTATAGAGGCATCACACTACTGTCAGTAACAGCAAAAATTTCAACAGGATGTTGCTGAACCGGCTGAATGATCGACAGACTGAATTTCGTTAGGATCGGTTGTGCATAGAACAAATCGCAACACTACGGATCATATTTGAACAATCAATTGAATAGAACACCTCAATATAAATCAACTTCATTGAAATTGAGAAAGCATTCAACTTTGTGGATAGGAGGAACTTATGGAAACTTCTTCGACACCAGAGTTCCCGAGAACATCGTCAACATTATCCGAAATTCATACGACGGACTATAGTTCAAAGTGGTGCATGGCGAACAGATGACAGATGCATCCCAAGTGAAAACCTAACTATTCTATCACATGCACATCGAAAAATGCAGATAAGGGCATCCAGTGAAGCATCAGCCTATGTATCAGTAAGCCTCAACATGCACATGGAAATAAGCAATATCATTATACACAACACGGAGAACACCAACACTTTCACACTTGATTGATAAGCAGATATATAGACGATGATTAACAAGGCAGGAACAGGATTCCCGTAATTGAAGGACATGTGAATGTCAAAACAACTGTCAGCCAACATCAAGGTCTTGACCTCAAATACAAACTTCAAGATAGTTATTTCTATTCTACGAAAACGAAACATGAATAACTACTACGAGCATCGACAAAACGGTACAAGTATTTCTAAACAATTGTCCACGCGAGATACTGAATGTCCGTTGGCTGAATGCCATCAGCATCATTCTAGTGTGGAAAAGAACAAATTAGCTTGCAGTTGATGAGAAAATTGGGAAAAGATGCTGCAGGTGGTTAGGATATATGTTACGGAAATCACGAAACTGCATCATGAGACAAGCGCTTACCTTGAATCCTGATGGGAAACTGAAAAGAGGAAGGCGGAAGAACACATTACGTTGTGAATTGGAATCAGACATGAGAAGAATGACTAGCAACTAGAAATTGTTGGGAAGGATTGTCCAGAACAGAGTTGGATGGAGAATACTGGTTGGTGGCCTGTGCTCCTCTACGAGATGTAAGAAATGTAAGTCAGTAATCTAATTATGCATTAGGCATGGTCAATTCCAGTATCTATGATATTTCACCTCATTCTGTTTATATGATAGACGTTTTGAATTTCAGTTCAAGTAGATAAAGATAATTCCTGAATCCTTGCATTATAGTCCATCAGTCAGTCAGTCAGTCAGTCAGTCAGTCAGACAGTCAGTCAGTCAGTCAGACAGTCAGTCAGTCAGTCAGTCAGTCAATCAGTCAGTCAGTAATAACCTGGACCTTCGTACGTACGTAAATACGTTCGAGTTGCCATGCCACATTAACACAGAGATGCAGTTATGTATTCAAATCCCGTACTGCTAGATGTAATAAAATTATAAGCTGTAATCAGAAAAATTAGGGTTTGAAGATGTTATTCAAGGAGTATAATCCAGTGAAACAAATTTGCAAAGAAAATAAGGGACATAAAGAATTCAGAAGACTAGAATTTGGGAGAACACAAAGAGTGGATGCACCTGCGCCATTGCAAACGATTTTGAGCCATGTCATTCAAGGTCTCTAACCATCGGCTGCTATCATCTCGCGGTCCCCAACCAGGTAGTCTACACCTACCGACCCACTTGTCAGTGACTTCATGGACTTGTGCCATGTTTTGGTCTGACCGCCCTTAGCTTTCTTACAACTTACTCCTACATCAGAAAACATCTCACTTCGGTGGAGTCGGTGGTTGGGCATACGTAACACATGTCCCAGCCACCTCAACTGATGAAGTTTCACTACGTCATCAATTGATTTGCCATCCTTACCTAGTACCTGTTTCCTTCACAACTGAGTTACTTACTGAGTATGAATCGGAAATCACGAAACTGCATCATGAGACAAGCGCTTACCTTGAATCCTGATGGGAAACTGAAAAGAGGAAGGCGGAAGAACACATTACGTTGTGAATTGGAATCAGACATGAGAAGAATGACTAGCAACTAGAAATTGTTGGGAAGGATTGTCCAGAACAGAGTTGGATGGAGAATACTGGTTGGTGGCCTATGCTCCTCCACAAGGGTTAACAAGAGTAAGTGAAATAATTAAGTGTTCACTTTAAAAGGGCTTTTTTCCAAGACCTGTACTACCGATTTCTTATTACTTAAAAAAAAATAGAATTATTTATTTGACAAGTGATAAATGTTCTCAAACTGTTTTTATATAATTTAATACTTACGGCAGTGTAAACTGGAAAATTTGGTATGACTACGAAGTTCATGCTGGGTGAACCAATAGCGTTTTTGTTACCACTCATATTATACCAGCCTGGGAAAGAATACGTTGTTGTCTGTGTTGTATTGCAATCCCCTAATATGTAAGTAGTAAATTGTATATCCATCTATAAAACGTAAACAAGAACACTGAAGTCGATAGAAACACTTACAAAATAACACAAAAACGATTGTCGTAAGTTGTGAATTAACTGTTTTTTGCATCATATCTATATTACAGTCTTATTAACTAAACCTATGGTCAACAGAATTTGATTAAAGAACATACTTTAAGTTATATCAGTGAGCGAAATATGAACTCGTTAACAACATGACCCAATAAAAATTCTGAAGCAAATATTACGATAGTATGGTGTTACTTATAACGGCTGTAGTGAACAACAACACGAGTGAGCCTATTCAAATTTACAAACTAACCCAATAAAATCTGAATACCATATAGTAAATCGTCAATTTGCAAAATATTAATGCATCATATCAAACTGGACTGTTCCTGTTGCAAACACCAATCCATTGTCTCCTATTCCATTGTTCATGCGTTTTCTTACAAATTTCATTTTGTTCTCGCTCTTCGTTTCTTGATCTTCCCCTCATCTTCTGCTGCCAGACATTACAATTTAACTCGAGTCATATACTACTTATATCAATATAAGTAGCATGCACCTGATGAACCCTTATGCCTAACCGGAAACTTTCGGGACTCTCTATTTTATTGATTGACAAATGTATAAATACTAAAATCAGTTTGTTGAGAAGAAGATTTTGATGTTTGTATTAGTCTTTTGTGTCATAGCTATAAATGGAAGATACAGAAAAGGAAAAACATGAACTTTGTATGTCTCCAGAAAACTACTCATTTTTACGAAAAGACTTAAAATGATGTAAACTCAAATTTTATCTTTTTTGTGTTGGTGTGATCCAGAAAACTCCTCGTAAAAAGCCAGAAAAGCCTCGAAAAACCCTGAGGGACATTTTATCCAGTTAGCATTCAATATATGTTTTGCCAGAAACATCTAGTAAGTGAAAAGTCACATGTCACATTTCTGATTGGATGATTACCTATACTAATACTACGTTTGGTAGCGTTCCTGAAATTTTTGGAAGCATAAGACCTTCTGAAATACGATAAATACCCTGGATTTTCTGTACATAAACGAACCCTTGAGTAAAGCGTTTCTCCCATATTTCGCGTATTTTCTCTCGTGTTCAAGTCTCTGTTTAGATTTAGCCTGTGGGTTACTAGAAGAGCATAGGAACCGAATCTAGCGTTCAATTAGAAGACTTATCATTCTGTATAGCAATAAACTTGATTTATCTCAATCTGATGTTTACGAAATTTGTTTCATTTCTGAATGATACCGATAGTTAGACAAAATCCTGCCAACCAGCATTATTTCTGTTCTGCCTTCTTTTAAAAAATGACAACATTTTCAAAAGCCTATGAAGATATAAAAGTGCTCAAAATATTCTTCAACCAGTAAGCATTTAGACAGACTGAACTCAATAGTGTAAGACCTAGAATAACCGTTCATTTGTTCAAGCTCTCGAATTTCATATTAATTCTGTAAAAGAAAAAAACACAAGATGAGAAAATCCAAATATTTAGACCGAAAGGACCAACAGTAATAGAAGCCGAATATAGGTGAGAAGTCAACAGAAAGAATGAGTTCAATGAATAAAGGACATTCAGTAATATAGAATTAATTGTTGCAGTTATATAACTTTTTATTTACTGATTTGTTTATTTAAACACATTAACATTGATACAAAGATGCACCATGTATTATAAGTGCCGCACTTCGGCATTCAGTTTGTGTGAGGGTTGAGACACTAGCCGGGCTCCCAAACACTTAAATATATTGATGAATTATAGTATATTATCAGACTGGGGATTTGTGGGGATTGTGGTAATGTAAATAGTTGAATTCATGAGCCGATCTAAGCTAGACTGCCATTGAAAACCTGGAAGCACTGGATGACGAATGAGTTGTCTGGAAGTTAAGCGTTCGAGTGAGAGATGGAAGGTCCTGGGTTCGGGTTCCACGTGCGGAATCGTGGATCCGCACTGCAGAGGAGTCTCATACTAGGACGACACGGGGCGTCCAGTGCTTCCAAGTTTTCAGTGGTCATCTAGCATAGATCGACTCGTGAATTCAACTACTAGTATAGTTTATTACTTTCACTAAATTTATGTACGCATTCCCAACGTAAAAAATTCGTTAGTCACATTATTGGTCTCTAATAAATACGATTGTGTAACTCTTTCTCAAAACCTTTCTTTTCTGAAAAATTTTCATTCACCATATAGTTTTGTTTAATTCATATCCATTTTTAATAGGTATGCTTCAGACACTCAAAATAATAAACAACATACTGACGGTCATCTATGAGATGCTATAGGTTGCTTAGTTGAGCGGAAACTCAATAAAACTTGGGGCAAGCATTTTGTATTTTAGTGTCTTTTTTCAAAACTACGATACAATTTACAGTTGTCAATTCACTAGATCACTTCACTGCATGGCACTAAATTGAGCATAAAAAATAAGTGATAGAGCAATATTTTTCACTCAAAAACTGTGAGGGTAACATTTGGAAAAACTGTGACTGTGCAAAAATCTTATTTATTCTTCCGCTTATTCCATAAAAAATATATTGATGAAACTAAATATTATTTGGTTATTATTGTGGAATTTGTAGACCACTGCTTATATCTGGAACTATTTCTTTCATTTTGTGGCATCCATATAATTTATGAAGTAGCAGGAGTTAACTAAAAACAAACAATGACGAATATCTTGAGTTTTTAGGGATTTTGAAATATTTTTCTGTTGAACAATAAACGAAAGACTATCGACTAGAAATGAGTCTGGAATTGAGTTCAACAATCTTTAACTTAATGTTACAATTATATGTTACTAACTGATAGAAATTTCTATTGAATTACCCGACACTTCTAAGCCACAGTGTCAAGCTTCACTACATTGCCCAAGTGATGACAAATGAAATAAAAACAATTTAAACATATATGATGATTGTGAGACAGTCTATATCTACCAATTAAAGATATGCATTTGTGGTAATGAAGTATGTTGTCTGACTTGGCATAAAGTTCGGACAATGAGACTGTCAACTTTGTATCCACGAATGGTTTCACGAAACAAGGTTTACATTTTATAATTTGAATTGTTAGCAACGTTTTCATCCACTTGGAAGGAAAGATTAAATTAAGTGTTTTACCAAGAATAGAAGAAACAAGTAAAATTGTTTAATGGTATGTATGGTGGATTTCATATACTACGAATGTGAAATCACCTACAGATTACAGGAATCATTCTGTGTGAAGCTTAATATTTTTTCTTAGCACCCTATAATTAAACTGAATTAGCATTAGTAGTATGATATACTTATAAACTTGGTTTCAGAGTCTAAGAACTAACAGCTGCAGAGTGATCACTTTCAACCTCGGTAGGTTTTATTCGCACATTTAAGATGTTGTCTAGGCATTTCAGAGTATACAAATATCACTTCCTCTGTTTAAACATGAAGAAATAGACTGTGCTCAACAAAATCAGGCTTCTTCTGACGTTTCCCGCAGACCATAACAATTCACAAGCAATAAATACTAGTTATCTGTGAGGCACGCCTTACTTCCAGGATACCATAATCGAATTGCAAGTATGGTTTTCCTCACAGATGAAATGTTCGATCATCTAGCCTGACACGAACATATGCACCGGTATATTATGAATGAGCAAGACCATAAAATTGAAAATATTCATTACATTCATCCTGCCTTATTTGATAACCCCAGTACAGTTTATCTGATTGAACTTTTGGTAAAATTACTTACGACTTAAGTGCTTAGTTATAATTTTAACATATGTACATTAATATTCAGGTAACTTAGTGTAATCCTATTGTTTGAAAGCACATAATATTAGCGGCTAGCCAGAAAAACTTTGTCAAGCCAAATAGTAATTATACGACTGACTTACGAAATAATTATCTTCATATGTAGGACACACTGGGCCGAAATCCACTCTCACCAAACTATGAAAATAAATAAAAATATTTTGTCTACTTCGCTTGCATAAAAGAAAGGAGTAATACAACATATTGTGAATTTAATAAATTTCTAGGGACGTAATGATAGATTTGAATCACATATATACTTTGAGTTCATCATGAATGAAATCAGAGGACAGAGGTATCGTTTCTTAGCTAAACATTCACTTTTCGAAGGTACTGGTGTGAACAAAGACTGGAATCTTCTCAATACACACTCAATAGTAGCCTATCAGATGTTTTATGAAACTGGTTATTTCTACATAGATAGCGGAAAAGTTTACAAATTCTCACTTGATTGGTTATTTCGAAAATATTCCACAGTTGTAATAGCATTACTCACATCCATTCATTTGAATATCTATCATCTTGACACTTAGTGGGAATGTCACAAATGTACTCTGATCAGTTATTTACTACGTCATTTTCAGTTTTCCAAAATGTAGTTATTCCGCAATAACTTGTTACGATGATTTAATAATCTATTTATAGTTGTGGATATATTTTTCATAATTATCAAAATGAAATAACACTGGCTATTATTTATTTCATTGAGAACTAATACAACAACTCGCTCTATTTATAGTTGTGGATATATTTTTCATAATTATCAAAATGAAATAACACTGGCTATTATTTATTTCATTGAGAACTAATACAACAACTCGCTCACACAGACAGATATAATTGTCAAATCCAAAGCTTACTTAGTAAAAGAATAGTATTAAACAGTTTCAAACATAATTTTACACATGTAATATGCATGACTAATGAGTAAATCATACCATTCTCAATTAGTCAGCTGAAGCTTTCAAGTGGAGCAACTGCTTGCCAAAACAAATGCAGTCTTTGATGCCTAAGATTCTTGTCTTTATAATTTCACATGCTTCAGTGGCCACGGAGAAGGTAACTAACCATAGATGTTGGTTATATAAACATAATCAGTAGCTTATCTTTTAGCTGTAATTAAAAATTGAGATATTTTAGTGACCGACTCAACTGGACAGAAAATAGCCAACTGGTACAACACTTTATCCCCAGGTTCTTATTGCTAGTGTGATTTTACTTGACCTATTGACTGACAACATAATTAAGAAAACAGACTCCTATATCTGGTCCTGTTTCG